TTGGCGATCAGGAAGCCTCTCAAATTGCATAAATATCGGCTTCTTTATCGTGTAGTTAGTTGAATTAAGACCTTCATAATTAGTCCACTTGAGCTTATTAAAAAGACCAGCTGGCCTGAAAACGATCATATTCCTCGGCTGAATAATCGCATCTCGGAAGACCCACAGTAATCTGCCACACATATATTCTCTGAAGCACACGTGATCATGGTGACTTGGCGTGTTTCTGCATTTTGACTACCAAATATTGACTCCTTCGTTCTGGATGAATATGGGTATCTAAGCTTGAGTAACCGACCTCTCACCCTTGAAATCCAACAATTGGATGACGAGCACATTCCGGCCGACATGCAGAGAAATTCAACGTACGTCAGTGTCGACTCATACGTGCATGATACCCTAGCAGTCCATGAGAGTCGCCTTCGCCATCAGCCCAACGCAGTCAATAGTGTTGAAGATGGTTTCTATCAGACATCTGCATTGATGGTCATGAGAAGTATCTGGACATGTTTTTTTTCATCAAGCTCTTTCCAGAGAACCATTCTTTCTCAATCTCACGGACCTCAACCAGTCAAATATTTTCGTCGACAATCATTGGAATATCAAGTGTCTGATAGACCTTGAGTGGGCTTGCTCTCAGCCAGTGGAGATGATCCACCCCCCGCACTGGTTAACAAATCAAGCTATTGATTTAATCAGTTCGGATGAGTACGAAGCCCTCCATACGGAGTTCATGGATGCTTCCGCGGAGGAAGAAAAGACCTTCGACCCGCCGTTTCATCTCTACCCTTTTTTGAAACAGGGACTAGAGAAAGGCACTTTCTGGCACTCTCTAGCTCTCATGAGTCCCACGGCATTACTCAAGATCTTCTACGATTATATTCAGCCGAGATTCTCCAAGACTCATGACGACCCCGCCTTTTGGCGGATCACTATGCCTTACTGGACGTTCAATACGTTCGCGTTTCTTGAGCAAAAAGTCCAAGAAAAGGAGAAATACGATACTTGTTTGCGAGAAGCATTTCAATCCTGAATCTTCGATAGATATCTTATTTATGCTAATAATACTTCACGCACAGACATCCAAATGCAGTTGTCCTACTGGAGGAGGACAGAGAAGCCAAAGGAAGTGCTGTTTTGACGTGCCCACTACCTAGGTAGGTACGTAGAGGTTGGTCCCTTGTCTTACCTAGATGGTAATGCACAATGATAAATGAGAATAAAGAAAGATAATTAAGAACAATAAGGACCAATAAGGAATGGTAAGAATAGATCAAGACAACCCTCGGAGTAAACCCATTCCAGCAGCATCATCATGTAGTCAAGCTGGTCATTGCATCTTAGTGCATACATAAGCAATGGTAGAAAGTGGCACAGTACAATCAATTCATGTCACTAGCGGACCTCATATCATTACTTCCAAGGTTTTCACATTCAGAGAGCTTAAGAATCTTCTTCAATTTACGGTGAATCCCACCCTCGAACAGAATAGTAGTTAACTAGTTAACTATTTAACTAACTAACAACCCCATCGCATTCCAGACAAACACTTCTCGGCGGTGAGAGCAAACTGCCGCGACCCCCGCCCGCAGCCCCGCCGGTCTGCCCACTCGGAAAGGGGAAAGTCGGATGGCGTGAGTGTCGCCCTTTCTCCACGATCCCATATGGCCACCCCGGCATTTGGGCGCCCAGTCCACCGATCGCTCATGTACTCATCATATGTTGTGTACATCCATAGCCTCTGTGACGCGCCTGTAGCCTATCAGGCACCCGCCGGTGGGGGATGGTGGGCTCGGTCCGTCCTATCGTGATCGATCTGGCGCCTGGCTAGGGGTCGACTCGCTGCCTATCTTCCTGCGTCGGATGACTTGGTCATTGGGTGGTCCGGAATGTTCGTCCAAATGCTAGTGATTCATGATACCCATTCGGCTTGAGAGGTCCCGGATAAAGTCTTTCGACTGCGGTGTCGATGCCATCATCGAATGGTGGGCCGGCATGAACCCCGCAGGCAAGTGAGTTCTCCACTCCGGCTGTTTCTATACGATGTACGCTGTGTCAATCACCCTCCTGTATATCCCTATTCCTCTTATAAAGCTGGCGCCATCTCCTGTCCTTGTTGCAGTCTAATACAATCCTCCAGTCTCACGCTCAATAATACGCAATAAATAGAACACACCGTCCATCACCAAAGTTCAATCCGACTCTACACACAATCTTCCGATCACTACGTCGAACCTCCTTGATCATCCCACATCTAGTCTCCGATAGATCCAACTCCGTCTACATAGAAGCAATCTCCCTCCAAATCCCATCATGTCTATCGCCGCTCAACTCGTCCGTCCTACGATCCGACACTTCTCTGTCCACCGTCCTCGTCCGGATACACGAGCCTCTCGATTCGTCGCCATGTCCTGCCTAGTTTCCGCCGTGGTAGTGCCCTTCATCCCACCGGCTCTTGAAAGCTCCCGCGAGAAGAATCTGGGGTACCCCAACCATAACAAGTAAGGGTTATCCGCTACCTCGCGATTCTCGGATCTCGTTGGCTAACAGTTCCTGCTTCCACCTGCAGGCCTCAACCTCCTCTTTGCTTCCATGCTCGCTAGATGATACGCCCCCACGATCGGAGTCTTTATCCGGTATCGATGGCATCATCGCGGCCTTGAGCCCCACGACTTCATTCTTTCATGTCATGATCCTAATTTCTTATGTCCTGGTCTGTCCTGGTCTGTCCTCAACCGTGGGGACATTACATATATGGGATGGTGTATCGGCGCAATCATGCGGTTGGATATATGCTTTGAACGGGGTTAATTGGGTTGATATTACTTCTTCGGATTATAACCCTTTTGTTTTGTCTAGAGGCTGGCCTCGGGGGGTGTTTTGTTTCGAAGATCTGAAGACGGGTTGCGCCATCATATGGGCAATTCAGGGAATTGTCATCCATTTATGCTGAATCTCATCGAAGATAGCTAGACGGGACGCACCCGATGAAGACGAAATAATGAAATAAGATGATGATACCCATTTTTTTTTTCTATGCCTTGCAAAATGGGTATGAACAGCTAAATGTACAGAGTCGTCCGAAACAGCAAGGGTTTCGTATATTTCTCCTTTCAGATAGGCATCCTGAGCGCCTCTTGTCAGTAATATTCCGTGTTAGGGAACAGACCTTGTGTTTGGTCTTCTTTCTAGGGTTTACTGCAGTCAACATTTGATAATCAAAGCAATAAAGAATAAAGGCATACTAAAAGCTTCCCGAAACTCTTCACAAGATCGACTTCATATTGACAATAGGCTTTCTCATAATGTCCCATATTATCGAAAGTCATAGCAACGTCGAAATCAATCCATACAATCTTGGCACCAGAAACGACAAGCATATTCTTCGGATAAATATCATGATGGTGGACATAAGCATCATGTATCTGTTTGATCCCATCAACCGCCGAGCGAAAGAGATCGTCGAAGTAATTCACACAATTCAATCGTGCCACATCCGGTAAATACTCGAGAATGATCGCCCTCGGCTGAAATCGATCATTCGCGAAATGTTTCAGCTGTGGGTGGAAGCTCAATGGATCAACTCGATCGAGGTAGCCGTGAAAGGAAGGAACAAAACCGCGGTCACACACGCCAAATTTAGAGAGGTTACGGTAGGCATTTAATTCGCAGCGAAATCGGTTGAGATCTCGGCCTTTTTTGGAGTAGCCTGGGTCGCCATTTTCATGGAACACCTAACATGTCAGTGAGTGTTGTATAGGAGGATTAAACAACTATACTCACAAGCTTCATTATATATCTCGTCCCACATAGCTGTATTTCAAAGATAGTTGAGACTTCCGAGCGACCGATTTCTCGTATTATATCAATATCACAGGGATTTAGGTCCGGCGAGTAACTGTCTTGCGTGCTCATGGTTGCTGAGTGAACTACATGGAGCTGAAATGTGAGATGGAATGATTTGGTGAGGCCCTGTACACTCAACCAAGCAGCACGCGCCCTTGTACTATGTAAAATACTGGAGCCAGTAAGGATTGAGAATACAAAAGTCACCTAGCGTTTTATTTACAAACCATGCTATTATATATTTATATCTTACAATTAGCTTATCATGTGATTAGGGGTGGAAAATAAGTCTCTATACAAGAATATGGAATGCAGTTTCGGGCGGCTCCGGATCAATTTATCTTCACAGCCCAGCCGTGGAAGTCCATAGGAGCCGACGAAACACCCAGAGAGCCTCGAGTATATTTACAGGGCCATGGTACAGTAGCTTCTCAACCACTATGCATATGGCAGGAATCAGATTCTGGCTTTTAAATACCACCCTGGTCCCTCATCCTACTCACTTTTCTTATCAATGTGTCCGAGGTAGGGAGAATTTACAGTCGATTGCCTTTCGGAGGCCGGAATGGTTGAGCAGCTTCGTATTTCCCCTTCTCCAACACGCGTTCTGCATCTGTTTCGGGCTCGTGACGGGTCGGGGCCGGGTCATGGCTGGCCTCGGCGCTAGGCGAACCTACGTCGTCGGAAGCACCCTGGAATCGGGCCATATTGGCACGTTTCAAACTCGGGGACTCGGTCGGGGTTGGGGTCGGTTCGTTGAAGGCGGCTTGTCGTCGGTGCTGAGCTTCCATGGCAGCCAATTCCGCCTTGCGCTTCATCTCGCTCTCGAATCGGGTAGCACGGTCGGCGTTGATGGATTTCTTCGCAAAGTAGTAGGCTCCGCCACCAGCTATCGTTGGGGGAGTGGAAGGTCAGAAGCTATGTATAGAGCATTAAGGTATAACATTGGACCTACCGACACACAGAACGCCCCAGCCATACCTGTTGGTATTCGCGTTTGAGTCAGTAATCCAGATCTCAGGTCGTGCGAAGACAATGGAGGTTTAGCCAGTGATCTCTCACCAGGTTGATCGAATCTGAATGGGGAGATCCAACGTTAGCCACACCTGCTCGGGCCTACATAGCCATTTTCAGAAGGAAGGGAGCCTACCGTATTCATGGTGCCTAATATACACAAATGACAAGCGACGAGAGGACGAAGTGTGCAGAAGCAGAATGCAGGCGGGTGAGCTAACCTGAGGCACTAACTACGTCAACGTCAATGGAGATTAGCGCCTGGGCGGGCGGTGAGCCCTTCCAGCCAATGGTGTTTATCTGTTGCCACCCGTCAACGCCGTCGATCTCCCATTCACTTCTTTGCCTTGTCTCTTTCTCAAGCTTTCTTCCAACCCGTCCTTCTTTCCACAACCTTCCGATTCCTATCTACGCCTCTTGCCCTTCAGTCCCATCAGGCTCTGCAGGGCTCGGACGTGGACCGCATTGCGAGGATCTGTTTACTCGCTAATCTCGAGTCTGGCTCCCTAAGGCGCTGGCAGCCTTCCGACGGAGTTCTTACACTCAACCTTTATCCGCTCGAGACATCTCGGCACGATAGACCATAGACCTTCGCCTCTATATAAAAACAAAGAAAAAAAAAATCACATTATGCCGCCCGCCAAGCGCAAGGCTACTGATAGTATGGATTTCCGAGACATGAGCTTGGTGGATAGCAGGCTGACCTTCAGCTAGGCGGTCGGTCAAGTAGAGCTTCGAAGCGGGCGACACCCGTGCCTGACATCCAAGATGTTGGCAGTAGCGACGACTACTCGGACTATGAGCAAGATGCAAAGGCAGACAGTCTGAAAGGTACCGTAGAGTAACCGCACGACAAGATACTACCCGGAGTGCTAACAAGTTGTGTTTAAAAAGAGGTCGTCGACAAATTTTCGCTCGAATCGTTTAGCAACAAAAAGGACAACTCGATCCAAAGGCAGGATCCAAACTTTGGTTACAAAGACTTCTCCTCGCTTTCCTTGAAACCGGACCATGCGAACCGCCCCCTCTGGATCGATCCCTTAAAGGGCACTATCACCTTGGAAAGTTTCTCGCCGCTGGCTCCTCAGGCCCAGGACTTTCTGACGACTATTGCCGAGCCGCTTTCGCGCCCGACCCATCTACATGAATATCGACTCACCGGAAACAGTCTGTATGCGGCGGTGTCGGTCGGTCTCCAGCCTCAAGATATTATCAACTTTCTGGATCGGCTATCGAAAACCCCGCTACCGGACACAATCAAATCGTTCATCATCGACTTCACGAAGTCATACGGCAAGATCAAGGTCGTCCTGAAACATAACCGCTTTTTCGTGGAAAGTACCGATCCGGGGATGCTGCAGATGCTTCTTCAGGATGAGGTTATCGGTCCGCAGAGGTTACAAGGGACGGAGGGAATCATTCAACAAGCGGCTCCAAAAATGGGAGGCTTGGTCATTCCAGGTACCAAAGATGCGGCAGGAGTACAACAGACATCCGAACAGAAACCGGCAGAGGATGCCGGGGCGGAAGGCCGTCAGGAGGATGACCTTCTTTTGGCCATTCGCGATGATGACGATGACGAGGAGCAAGCTCAGGTTCACAGTTTCGAAATTCCAAACGAGGCAGTGGAACCGGTCAAAGCGCGCTGTCAAGCCATGGGCTGTCCGGCACTGGAGGAGTACGATTTTCGAAACGACGAGATCAACCCTACTTTGGATATTGATTTGAAGCCAAATGCTCGGATTCGAAGCTATCAAGAAAAGAGTCTGAGTAAGATGTTCGGTAACGGACGTGCTAAGAGTGGAATTATTGTCCTTCCGTGTGGTGCAGGCAAGACGCTGGTGGGTATCACGGCGGGGTGCACGATCAAAAAAGGAACCATCATCCTTTGTACCAGTTCCATGTCGGTGGTTCAATGGAGAAATGAATTCTTGCGGTGGTCGAACATCGACCCTGGTGACATTGCCGTGTTCACCTCGGATAACAAAGAGAAATTCCGCCGATCGACCGGTATCATTGTGTCGACATACTCCATGGTCTCGCAAACTAGAGCTCGATCTCACGATGCCCAGAAGATGATGGACTGGATACAATCCCGGGAATGGGGTCTCATGATCCTTGACGAGGTCCACGTCGTGCCTGCATCCATGTTCCGAAAGGTCACCTCTGCCATTGCGACACAGAGTAAGCTTGGTTTGACCGCCACGCTGCTCCGTGAAGATGACAAGATCAAAGATTTGAACTTCCTGATCGGACCCAAGCTTTACGAAGCCAACTGGATGGAACTAGCTGAGCAAGGGCATATCGCCAAGGTCCAGTGTGCCGAAGTCTGGTGCCCAATGACCACGGAATTCTATTCCGAATACATGCGGGAGAAATCCCGGAAGGCGGCCCTTCTTTATATTATGAATCCTCGCAAGTTCCAGGCCTGCCAGTTCCTCATTGACTACCACGAGAAGCGAGGCGACAAGGTCATTGTTTTCTCGGACAACGTCTACGCCCTCGAACGGTATGCTTTGAAGCTGAACAAGGCGTATATTTACGGAGGAACCCCTCAGAATGAACGAATGCGTATTCTGGAGAACTTCCAACACAACGAACAGGTCAACACCATCTTTTTGTCGAAGATTGGAGATACGTCTCTCGACTTGCCCGAGGCGACCTGCCTAATTCAAATATCTTCTCACTACGGTTCTCGTCGTCAAGAGGCGCAGAGACTGGGTCGTATTCTGCGAGCCAAGCGTCGAAACGACGAGGGCTTCAATGCATTCTTCTACTCACTTGTGTCGAAGGACACAGATGAGATGTTCTATTCCTCTAAACGACAGGCCTTCCTTGTCGACCAGGGCTACGCCTTCAAGGTGATCACCCACTTGCAAGGGATTGAAAACTTGAACGGCCTTGCCTACGCAACCCCCGGGGAGCGTCGAGAGCTGCTGCAGGAAGTGATGCTGCAGAACGAAACCTCGGCTGATGTGGAGCATGTCAACGACGATCTCTTCTCCGGGCGTAGCGGTGGCGTCAGAAGTGGCAAAGGCGCCGTCAAACGCAGTGCGGCTACCCTCAGCGGACTGGCTGGCGGTGAAGATATGGCGTACATCGAGTATAACAAGAGCAGGAACAAGCAGCTGAAAGACAAGGGGGCCAGTCACCCGCTGTTCCGGAAAATGGAGCGGGATCGTCTCAAGCGCAAGAAGGAATTGCAGGATTTCATGCGCTGAAATCAGATTGGAATTGGCGTTTAGACTTGGTTTGGTTCAGATTTGAAACGGTCATCTTTGTATCAGGAAGCATATGGATCGATTTGGAGGTTACTTCACAAATAAATTTATGATAAATAATATGAAATAATTGTCTATAGTCCCTTTCGCATAACTCGGATTATCCATAATCAACGACTGCCAGATAGTATTTTAGGAGTTCGTGGTGGTCGATCTCGTTTGAAACCTGACTCCTGAGGTGTCGATATATAATTGTCCCGTATCAGTTCGATCTCTCCCATTTCCATCTTTCAAGTTACTATCCATCGAAAAGCAAATAAACGAAAACATCTACGGTGCACATTCTACTTACAACAGAACCCCCAAACCCAAGCCAACAACAGGCCAGAACAAATAATCAATAAGCAATAAGTAATCAAAAGGGTCTCGACGATCTCGGATCTCCCTCGGTCCCCCGGATTTCCGAGCAGCTTACAAGTTCGACCGTCTGACATGGCCCCCCTGCATATCTGCAGAACAATTACTAACAAGAACTCCCTATCTGGTAGGTCTAGAACCCGCACGATCTGCCGATTTCTAATTCAGAGCCCATCGTGTCCTACACTGTCTGACCCAGTGGGCACGTGAGATCGCGCCCGCTGACAGATCATTTAGCGCCGACGTCGCCGACGGGAAGCGCGAAGGACCGAAGACCGAGTCGAAACGGGGCCGGCCTACGCCCTAACTAGTTATGCCTGTGTGGATTCACAATTACAATCAGGTTTACGATGATTTGATTCCCTGCTTAGTTGATTTTCCGGGGGGTGGACGATCACGGATTAATCTGTGGGGTTGGACGAGGATCAAAAGTATTTAAGGCTGGTTGATGGGGCGCGTTCCCAACTGCTTTCTACTCATGTATTGGTCTCGAGGTTTCAAGTGCGCAAGCCTTGATCGATATATCTTACAGAGGACATTGCAATTACCAAATCAGAATATTGGGTTCGGTTTTCGAGGGTTGAGTCTGGAGCATAAGTACTCTGGTCGTGCTTATTCGACTACTGTGAATAATTCTCGGACTTCGCGCCATCAATTGCGTGCGCAATTCCCAGCATTAGGGCTTCGACTTGAGGATACCAAGCATCGCCCCTTTCCCACTCAAGCAAGGACAATGGCTACCGCACGCAAGATCCAGTTAACGACGTCCGACTCGGGCGTGTTCTCGTCTGGTATCAGAGAAGATTCCGCGAAGGTAGCAAGCGAGCTATTGCAAGAAAATCTGGAAAAACACCATGCGTATTTCAATAATATGGGGTTCCATAGTAAGTGTCATTGTCACGTTCCTACCTTCTACGCGTGTGGAACAGTTTAGATCCAGTGTGATTGACGTTCGCAGACCATATCGTTCATCATATTTTGAGCATCTTTGCCCTGGGGGGAACCCCAGAGGAGCTCAGGGATGCATATAACCGAAATAAAGGCTACCAGAGACCGGCTCTGTCAGCTGATGAGGGCGTCATCCAGTCATTGTATGATAAGGCGGAGTTCAAGAAATATCTCGGAAGGGATAAGAACTATCCCAGTTTCTTGGCTTTCTTCCAGCAAGAGATCGAGAAGAAAGGCGTTGAGAACGTCCTCAATGAGTATTTGTTCTCTGGGGATGAAAATGCGGAGAGCATATTGACTCGGTTATTTGGAGGTATGGAACTAAATGAAAGGAACTATTTCCTTGTTCTGGTTTTGGTTTTCAAAAATTACTGTTGCCCTTCGTTGACATTGGTCTCGCTTAGGACTCATTCACCCCCTGATCCACCTTGGATTCGGAATCGAGTTCAACCAGCCCGCTATCATAGCCGAGGGTCTTGCTCAGGCAGCGATCCATGAAGACTGGCTTGGTCCGATGTTCTTCTGGCCAGCTGAGAAGTTAGCTGGGGGCGTTGGAAAGCCGGGAAAGAAGACTCTGCTTCAGATCCTGGAGGACATTCGTGGGGATGAAAAGTTGACTCGTTCTACCCATTGGGAAGACGGTAACAAGATGAGGGACGGGGTTCTTCGACGAGCTCCGGATGAGATGCTCAGATATGCCGCGGAATTCTGTGTCTCTGAAGACCAGGTGGAAGACAAACTGGCCGAAATGACCAATACAGTCGGTAAGGAAGAACCGACGCTCGCACGACCTCTGGTAGCTAATGAGTTCGACTCCGCGCAGTATATTATAGCAGCGCTGCCCAACACCCTCCGAAGCAGATCAAATTCGATTTCTTCCACATACATTGTCTGAACTCGTCCATCTTCTTTTCGAAGATCGTGTCGCTTCCATTCCTGGATATCAAAACCCGCCTGCGTCTTCTTGAATGGAAAGGACGCTTGGATCTCCTGCTCTATGTCTCGCGCGGAGCTCCTCAGCTTCTCCTGGACGAAGTGACGACGTATCCGGCTTCAAAAAGCTGGGACACCATTTTCAAGCACTGCAATGCCCACCCTGGCGACGACGGACACTTGCCGAAATTGGCGAGAGCTGTAGCTCATGGCGAAAATGTGTGCCGTAAGTTTGAGAGCCAAGCTAAGGAGAGAGGTCTCAAAATTACGGGTGATACATGGCTGAGGATTGGCAATATGGGTAAGCTGAGCCCGACTCCCTGAAGAGACTGATCTTTGTTGCTAATTAATTACCCAAGTCATGGATTCGACCTCGGACGAAGGACCACTGTGGGTCCGCTCAACGGGTTTCAAAGAGGCCTGGGCGGAATTTCCAGAGCGACGTCATCGGCCGTGAGAGGGAGATGAGTTAGAGTTCAGGTTGCCTTCAGGTTAATTTCTGTAGTAATGAGCAATGAATGAATGATCTGTAACCGAGCACTATAAGATAACCGTCCAAATAAATCAAGAGTAGGACGCACGTGCAACCAGAGTTTACACTGTTTGCACCCCAACTCACGTGGCGATTGCCCGGGTGGGGCGACATCCCCAACAGCTTCATTTATCGCCGCCGCTAAGCTTCTTATACTTCTTTCGCTCCTCCCCTCCGGCCCCAGTGTTCATCCTCATATTCGCAACGTCAGCATGGCAGGCGGCCAGAACTCGAACCAACCACACCACCACAACGACGGCTCTCGCGGCTGGCCCGACGACGACAATCCATTCGTCGCCTTCCGCCGTTTCGCCAATGAGCAGATCTCGTCGATGCTCCAGTCGGTCATGGGGATTCCATCTATGGTCTCCCCTCCATCGCCCAGCGGATGGGACGTTTTCGCAGACGACCCAAATTATGCCCGAGACTCCCGCTACCGTCAAAGACAAAACGACGACGCCAACGGAACCGAAACCCCCTCCGGCGATTCAACCTCAGACAACCATTCTCAGTCGCGATCGGAAAATCCTTGGCGCTCTCACGGATTTGGAGGACGACGGGGCGCGTCTTCCCACGACCTCTTCGATACGGATTTCTTCGATTCCTTCTTCGATAAATTCTGGTTCGATGACCACTTCTCCTCGCGCTTCTTCCACCCATACCACCGTCCCATGTTCTCCAACATGGTGAGCGACGACTCGCCCACCTGGCCGGTCACATACCTTATGTTCAGCCCCTATTCGCCTCTTCATCTTGAGCGCCAAGCACAATATCGATCTCACCGCGGCGAAAGAGGGGTCTTTTCGTCGCTCATGTCGTCTTTGAAACCCACTTCCGAGCGCGACCAGTCGGAACCACAATGGAGAGAGGCTTTTGAGGATCTCCTGCGACTCGAGAATGGAAAGCCGATGCTCGATCATGGGTCGGAAGACACCAACAAGCCGGAGACGGGAAGGGAATGGATGCAGGGCTTGGTAAAGCGCGGTAGCTTGGGAGATCGGTGGAAATACGTTTCTGGCGCGAACGATCGCCCTTGGTCGGGTATCACGTTCGACGGGTCTAAATCCGAGAAAGACGACTCCAGAGGATCGGATGAAGACCACCGGAACAACAACGTGAAAGCCGAGTTCAGCTGGAACGCACAGCCCGAATCGCTAACAGAATTGGACCTCTACGACCGCTTCCTGAACGACATCGAGGCTCGTGAGCGTGAATTTTCCAGAGTGCGCGAGAGCCCTCTCCTTCGTCTATTATTGGATGACAGATATGGAATTAGAGATGGACGGGATCCGTCGCGCGAAGAAAATCACCGAGACGATGCAGAAACTTGGCTGGAGCTGGTCTCTGGCGGCCAGAGGAATTCTGTTCCGGACACCGTTCCTGAAAAAGAGCAAACTACCACCACACCATCGACAGCTGTTGATACTCCCTCGACAGCAGAGCAGAAGCCCTACGTCATCTCCACAAAAACCACGACGGAGCGCGTGCGACTCTCCGATGGCTCTGTTCAGACGAAAACTATCAAGACAAAACGCTTTGCTGACGGGCGCGAGGAGAGCAACGAGTCTGTAGAGGTCGTCAACCCTCCTCAACACAATCGGATTTCCCCAGCGGACCAAGACGAATCGTCATCTCATCAGAATAAAGACGGCTGGTTCTGGAAGGGTAATTGATTGAGATTAACTATCTTTCCTTTTGTTTAAAAACCATCTACGTCTCTCTTTTGGATTTCTTCATCGATTTGTGAAAATTTAGCGTTGTTATCTGCTGCTATTCTTGGGTCGTCATTTCATGTTCTCTATTGTCAATTCTTTTATTCTTTCATCACTTTTTCTTTTCTTTTTCTTTCCCATGATAATACTTCACAATAACCTGACATGGGGACCATATTTGACCATTGTGTCACCAAATGAAATTATTATTTCCTTGAATTTTTGAAACTTTCATGATGCCACTTTGGAAATTTAACTTCTCTTATTCTCAGATGTAGTTACCATTCCTTTCGCTCTTGTGCTATGTCTGAGCTATAAGTCCGGGTCTGGTGGCATGAGCTGTGGAATCTTATGAAGATATGCGTTGTTTCTCAGTGAAAAGTATTCTTAAACGCAGGAACATACGATCTTTCCACAGTAAGAATTCAAGAATACTTAACGTAAGTTGTGTTGTATGGTTTAATTTCGAAAAACTGACCAACTTGACAAGCCGTTCAAACTGTCCCTCCCACAGTAGCACTAGGAAATCTGATCTAGTATGTAACTCATCCCGAACAGAAGAACCGAAGAACATAAGAGAGAGGGCGAGAGAGAGGGCGAGAGAGAGAGCGAGAGAGAGAGAGAAGATTGCCTAATCAGCCTTGACGCTCTTCTTCTGAGCCTTCCCAGTCGTCCATCCCTTCGATTCCCAATACTTCACACTGTCTTCCATCTTCTGGTAGGCCCAGGAGAAAGAAGGATCTGTTTTTTGTTTGTTCTGGTCAGCCACGTCACCTTACTTAACATCACCGATAGGTTGATAGCTAGATGAATATGTGGAGAGAGAAAACTCACAAAGAAACTGCCTCAAGTCATGCCGATTATCATCCGGCGAATACTGTTCCGCATGATAACTGGGCGTAATAACCGTCTGCTTATGCCGATTAATCGCATAATTATAAAAGAAGTGACGTGTCTTCTCATAGATCTCGCGCGGACTATACTCATTGCCCCAGAGATGAAGCAGCCGCTCGTACATCGACCACGGACCCAGTTTCTGGATCTTGCGCAGACGACCGAAGATGGATAGCTCGGCGTAGGTGACGCCCATGTCGGCTTCGTCGGATTGGACGTATGTCGCTGTGATGGGCTCGAGTTCTGCGGTTGGCGTGGCGGAGAGGAACTCGTGGAGGATGGGGAGTTCGAAGGAGTCGCGGGACCAGGCGATGAACTTTTTGAGGTCGACTTTGGAGATGGAGCCGATTGGGTTTAGCTACGGAAGAGTTAGTTTGTTTGGTGTAATCATGTATGTGGTATGAGGGCGAAGAATTGGAATCAAAGGACATCGGATCAGTTGGTACTCACATCAGCACTGCTGGCGTCATATTTTGTTAGATAACCTCGGAGACTGTGTTCGATGTCAGTTAGCCAGATGCAAACCAGAAATATTCATAAGAGATCCAGGGTGAGATTGAAATCGGGATGATTAAAAATCAGATGTACACACCATTCTAGAAACAATTAGTAAATCGACGCGCCAAAAGACAGAGGATACATACCATCGACATTGGAAGAGGCCAGCACGAGAAGTCCACCACCACCCGGACGTTGACGGACTGTCGGCAGCAAAGAAGCAAACAGATACGAGAGAACCATTCTCAAACGCGCCTGGACGTTCTGCAAAGCCTGATTCTCTGCCCGACTACCGCCGTGGACCTTGAATTTAGGCTGGAAGGTGGTGACGACAGTGAAAAGGTTCGTCAGAGCAGTCACGACGGTGTCGAAATTGAAGTCGACATGGTAGGATCCGATATCCGAAGCTAGACCCTTGGCTCGGTCTCGTGTCTCTTTGCTGGAGTTTTGTGTACCCATGAAGCTGGTGTGGAAAATGCGGCTGGAATAATGTTAGGATATCAAACATGGGAAAAGACTGCAAAACTCGCAGTGCATAATAAACTTACTTGCACACTTCTTGGCTGGTAGTAGGAAGCCAAGTCGAATCGGCGGGCTCGGCACAGAGCCTTCGGACATCTTTAATGACCTGCTCATTCCCCTCTGACACGGCTTTAATGACTTCTCGACACATAGAATGCACAATAGTCGCTGTAGCACAGCTATCGATACCGCCGCTCAGAGGAAGGAAAAAGCCTGCCGCACCGCTTCTCCGCAGGTAATCCCACAGCCAACAAGCCGGTCCAAGAGCAACTTCTTCCTCTGGGGCATGATACCGCGCGGCAAGTGTTTCCGACGGAGCAAGACTAGGCTCAGCTTCATCATCCCGACGAGAAAGTCTGGTGTCCAAGTCAAGGCGGACAAACGGGGACTGTTTGCTGGCTTGCATATTGCGGCTGGAACTCGAACGGTATGTCCGCACCTTTACAATAGATTAATAAATGCCCCAACTTTTGATGGAAATAGGGTTGGTTATACCTCTTCGATATCAACTGTGGCTGTGACAACTTCCACATCATTCAGGGAGAACTGGGAACCCTGAGCGACGATGTTACCATTGACTACAATCATTGCACAACCATCGTAATAAAGCCTATCTCCGTCGCAGCCTTGCTGGTTCGCGTACAGGTAAATGCCGCCGCTCTAAAGGAGTTTAGCACCGACATTGCTAAAGCAACTGGGATATCACAAACCAATTTCGTTGCTTGGGTAATGAGGTTGATCCGAGTGTCCAGCTTTCGAAGCTCGTGGTGGCTTCCTGACGAGTTGGAGATAATTTCAACGCCTGTGTAGAGGATCAGTATAATGCAAAAGAACATCTTGAGGAGAAATACACGAGCATACCAGCAAGACCGTAAGGAATATGAGGGCTAAGAAATTAGTAAGTTGCTTTACCAGAATGTAGTGAAACGTACCCATTAGGAGTGAAGAGTTCCTCGCACGTCTCCACGCCGAAACAAGTATCCCGAGTGCTTATGACCGCATCACCGAAAGGAACCTTATACTGTCCAGTGATCTTCCCGACGATCTGCTCAAGATAGTAATCCTCGATCTCCTGGGGTCGTTGCCAGGGCGTGAAGTGACGGAGCTCTCTGTAGTTACCATCTAGACGTGCAACATCTCTGTCAGCGACCCATGTCTGACCAGTAAATGGAAAGCCGGCAGGGATAAAAGAGAAGGATAGCAACGAACCGTTGGCAAGCCACATCTTTGGGCGAATCAAGCTGATCTTGCGGTTGTAGAAGATGACCCTTGAGTCCCAATTAATACTGTATCCACGCGCAATCACCGTGGATAGACGAGAAAGCCTACCTGCAGTTATACGAGACATTCCTGTGGCGCACAGGCATACCCACCTATAACTTGTCAGCTAATGCACACACAGGTCAATAGGTCGAGACACAAACATCAACCACAATATCCTGGCAGTCGGGGTGATCGATGATGCGGGCAAGCATCTCCCACGAATGAAGGAAGGTGTCTCCCTCGTGGAATCCATCCAGAACGCCATAGCCTATATCCTCGTGAATACCATGAACCACTTTTGGAACCTCGAGATGGTGAAAGTGTACCGGTGATTTCGAGTTCGGGGCCGACTCGAAGAGTAGCACCCGCGGCCTTGGCCTTGCGAATACTCTCGATGATTCGTTCCGTGTTCCCCTCAAAGTCCAGAGCCCATTGGTTGAGGGAACTGAAGTCGCAATTTGTCAGTGTACTGGATGGTCTTGTAGGAGACGAGGCCATGCGATTGGCCAATTGAGGCGCTCACCATGTTGCTAGAGTTACAAGGTGACCCATGTTGACTCGATTCCCGATTCGAATGACCCGACGGTGAATGTAACCCGGAAAAATTATATGAATAGATGCAATGGCCCCTAGTAAAAGGTGGGTTAACGATTGACTCTTATGGCTGCTACGCGAACACCCAGACTCAACATGCAGCTATAAAACGGACGTGATTCCAAGACCACAGGTCCGAGTAGTCAATAGAGGACCCACCTACACACGCAACAACAGCGATATCCCGCACAATCGAGGGCAAAAGAAAGGAATTCTAGAAGAGTGAGCTGTTGACATGGAATGGATGACGATAAGAATTGGAGTCAGTGACGCCCGTCACGTGTGTGGGGAGCTCCCCTCGTGCCCCGCTGCCGTCACAGTATTACGACCATTACCGCATCTACTGTTCCTTTAGCAGGGCTGTCGGGTTTTATATCGGTAACCAAAATACGAAGCATATCGATCACGTGCAACATGTGCTTGTCCTTATCGGACTACCGCAAAAGGAAATCCGTTGGCATCAAATCACTCATCTGGCACTCCCTCTACAAACACTCCCCCGACAGACTTCTGGTCGTCCCATCAGACACAATGGCGGGCCACGCAGCGCAAAGTCTCTTACAAATGCTACGGGCTGCCCGCCAGACCCATCTCCGCTTTATATCAGGGACGTTATCCCACGGGGAATACCCCATCTACGTCATCGGCAACTCCTCCGCCGACTTAGACTCGATGGTCTGCGCCCTGGTGTACTCGTACTTCGCCAATCGCACATCCCGGCGCCATATTCCACTCATCAATCTTCCCACGGTACCGTCGGGTGCGGAGCTCCGTCGCCTACGACCGGAATTCGTCAAAGCGCTCTGGATCTCCACCAACACCGCAGATCAACTGTGGGAAGAAACGCCCGAATCCGCGGGGCCTCTACTCCGCGACCACATCCTCACCGTCGCGGACTTCGAGCAGGATCTAGAACACCAGCACCGTGGATCGAATGACCAGCCGCGCCATCATCGCACAGCCGACGCGGTCCTCGTCGACTGGAACGCTTTACCGATCCGGTCGTCCGCCGACGGTCCGCACGGAACAGGGCGTCTCGACGGTCTACCGTCGGTCGAATTCTCCGTGGTTGGCTGCATCGATCACCATGTCGATGAGGGATTCTTGGGCCCCAACTGCCACCCCCTGGTCATTGAGAAGGCCGGGTCCTGCTCCTCGCTGGTCACGAATACCTTGAATACGATGGGGTTATGGCGAACTCCTTCCCCCACAGACTCGAACGCATCTTCCAAGGAAGAACGACAGCTTGCCCTATTAGCCATGGCTCCTCTCCTCATCGACACGGTCAACATGACCGCCACAGACAAGGTGACCTCGGCTGACACGCTCGCACGGGATTTCCTGCGGCAGACGCTTGCCTCTGCTGATGATAGCAACGGTCCCACCGACCCCAGTGCCTTGGATTTGTACTACGCACAAATCCAAGAAACCAAACAGAACAGTCTGGATCTGCTCACGGTCGACGAGATCCTCGACCGCGACTACAAGCAGTGGACCGAGACGTCGCACCTGCGACCCGATCAGCCCGTGAACATCGGGTTCTGCTCCATGGTGAAGTCGATCCCGTGGATTGTGCGGAAAGCGGGCACCGCAGAAGCGTTCCTGGACTCGCTGCGCGGGTTTGCGGAGCAGCGGGACTTGGATATCGTGGTGGTGATGACGGCGTTTAACGCGTCGGTGCGGGAGGGAGCGTTCATGCGCGAGTTGCTCGTTTGTGCGCGTGATGAGGGAGTCGCGGTTCATGCGCTGCGGGATCTCGAGGCGCGGTCGAGGTCACAGTTGCAGTTGCAGGAATGGGAGGCTCTGGATGGAGCCGATGCGGATAAGACCCAGTCTATCCGGGACGTTTTATCAGGTGACCAGGCCCTCTGGAGACGCATCTGGGTCCAGGGGGATGTGACGAAGAGTCGGAAACAGGTGGCGCCGCTGGTTCGAGAGGCGGTGACTTCTCCGGTTGGAGATAGGCTGTGATATATATGTGGTTTCCATATGAACATTAGGTTATATATTGGAGGAATAAGACAGAATACACGGCGATGATGATAATGATGGGCAGCTCCAAGTTGTGAGTGGGTTTGCCATGTTTATCTTATAGATACACGAGCTAAAGAAGAGAGAGAGAAACACACTGTTAGAGTAGCCTAGGCTTGGGCCTAATCTTCGTTCTAATATTCATGCATCAGTCTATGCGCTCGTTGGTCGTGGCACAAGCATTCAGACATGGCCATAGATCAAAAAGAGATACACATGTCAAAGGAGACAAAAAAAGAAAAAGAAACAAGTACATGATCACAGATTGTACACCCAGTCGCCATAAGCAAGGAGTGTTCTCCAGTAACTCCAACTCGTGTAGCACATTTGCGTCCGTCCATGCCTGCCCTTCACATAAAGTCCGGATAAAAAGAAAAAGAAAAAGACCAAATGAGATATAACATCTGAATGATGCAACTATGCAAAGACCCTAACCCCAGGCTCAGTGATGCAATGCAACCATTAGGCAAGGAAGAATGTGGGAAATAAAAAAACAACCAGCCACTCCAAAATGCACGACGTTGCTTTCGGTTCTCAGATCAAAAGATCATGCGTGCAAGGGGGAAAATGGTTCAAAAAATCAAAAGGAGCAAAAAGGAAAAAAGAAGTAATAAATAGAGCCGTAGTCACTGTATCAAAGGAACATGAATCATTGCGAATATCATGTCGTTTAGAAGCACTCCCATTCGCAGAATACACACCATCGGGCAACACGATCCGCAAGGACGAGTCCTCTCCATACACCGCGCTCCCCAATCTTGATCACCGTTTCCCACACGCTGCCTTCGGCTGCAGCATCAGTGGCGGAGTCTGAACTGCTCGTGGCGCTGACCATGTGGTCGGCTTTGCGGCTCAGTCGCAAGATCTTGCCCGAGGGCGATTGGATCGCCAACTTGGCAGGTTTCTCTCGCCCCGAGTTTGATCGGTTGGACGAAATGGCAGACGTCGAGGCCGAGAACTCGTTTGAGACAGTAGAGACGGAGGAGCCACCCGCAGAACTAGAAACCATACTAAGAGCGCTCGCTGGCCGGGCCAGGATGGACGGGGAGATACGGCCACTCATAGCAGATTCGTTGCCACTAGACGGGACTGGGAGGGAGGATGGATGCTGGCGAACGGCGAAGACAAAGGTGTTGTTGACGGCCAACTTGGAGCATTGCGGCTGCATTATGTACAAATCATGTCGCTGGGCATGCGGAGTCGGATGGCGCAGGACAAATTCATACGGCGGATTGTCGCCACTATGCATAATGGGCAATGACAGGGCCAGTGGATGAGGAATATCGCGATTTGAATGCATCAGCCCCTTCTTGCCCGAATATACCTTCAGTATCCCCTGGCCTTCATCGCCCGGTAGAACCGCTTTCACGGTGATTCGCTTATGGCCATGAATCCAGTCAGGTTGGACCAATGCCCGCTTGCGTACCACCTCGCCACTCTCAAAGAAATCCCCATCCGAGTCGCGGGCGAAAATAGGCGTCTCAACCTCGGCGGCACATTCCACGTCGGGAGGTACGATTAGGCGAATTTGCATGACTTCCAGACCGTCAATTCGGACTAAGCTAGTGTCGTAGTCTGGGAACTGCATATCCATTTTGAAATAGGGCGGGCATGCGGCGGGTAGAGCGAGAAGAACATCCGGCGAGATCGGCGGGCAGATATGTTGCTCCTCAGGGATCAGAGGCACATGGGTGTAGCAGATCTCTAGAGGGCGCGCCAGGAAGTACCATGTTTCGGCTGCGGGCGAGAAGGTTGTAACAAATTGGCTTCTCTGCGGGTTGGTTGGACTGGCGAGGGAACAGTCCATAATGCGCCATTCGCCGTCAACCAGAACCGCGTTCCACCAATGATTTGGTCGAGAGAGGCTGTCAATCTCGTACAGTTCGCCCGGCGTTTTGAGGAATCCTTTGATAGTCTCTGCGTGCAGACCAACGGCGGCACACATCTCTCGTACAAGGAAGGCAACTTCTTGGGGACTTCCTCTTTTCGTCTGGAGGACTCTCTTGAGGTCAATGTCCATTTCCTCTACCGGTTCATCCCACGCGATCTTTTCACTGACCCAGGTGAAGAGGGCCCGAAGTCGCTGCACGTCACTCTTGTAAGGCCGACATACATACCCTTGGGCAAGACTCATCGGATTGGTCATCGGTGGAAGGCTGTTGACAAAACGGGCGCTCTTGTCTACGAGGCTGAGATTGACGGTGCCGAAATCCGTAGGCTCGCTGATCGGTAGCCCGTCGATGCTCTCGTCGCCTTCAGCGCTTTCGTACAATTCTTCCACCGCATAGATCACCGGGTGGTCCATCATCTGACATCGTTCAGCCCGCTCGACCCTCTCGTTTCGGCTGGGAGAGCTAGCTCGATTCACGTCCCGCCGGACTTGCACCCAGTCAATAGCACTACCAAGGCCCATCTCACGGGCCGTGTCTCTGTGTGACTGTGCGGAGCGAATGGGAGATATGGCTCGACCTTTGGTCGGTGAATAGGAGCCGCCATTCTGCCCAACCGCGATGCTGCTTCTGGCATTGGCCGCCCCAGTCTTTGCTGATTCGAAGATTTTCTTGAAAAACCCGTGCTTCTTGGCCTTTGGTGTTGAAAGCCCTCCGAACACTCCAGCAGATTCTTCGGTGACCGTATCGGGGGACGTCCACGGAATCGCCGACGAAGCACCCTGCCGAGAAGTGTTGTGACTGGAGTGGTAGGAGATGCCGGTAAGTGGAGTTTCGGGTCGAGGCGACATGCGCGAGATGTCGCTGAAGCCCCTACCACGAAAAGCGTCAACGGCCGTATTAGGTCGTCCGTTAGCGCCCACATTCCTCCGGGCGTAGCTTCCCGCGCTGGTGGCACTGAACCCGCCGGCGGATGCGCCACTTATCAAGCTTTGGCTTGTTCTTTCGGTGCTGGTCGTCAAGTTGGTGCCATTACTCTGCACCCCACTCGAGGAGTTGGTTGTGCTCGATTTGTTCGTATAGCTTCGGTCAAGGATATCGCCTCTCAGATCTTGCCCTGATCGCCGGCCCGTCGGATACGAGGAGTAATGCGCCGGCACAGAATTGTGCCGTCCATGATAAGGAACGTGTCGCGGGGGTGGTGGAGGAGGCTCCTCGTCCTCGTCTGACAGGTGTATATCCTCCGATCCCCTTCGATTCTGCTCCTGCATCTGTCGAAGCCGACTTTCCATCCTCTGCACGTAATTGTTAAGCTGCGGTGGGCTGTCGAGGAAATGGTCCGTAGGATAGACATTGTTTCGGTGAGGCGGCGCGCTGGGAGGTATATCATCTTTGTCCCCTTCAAAACCTAGAGATGTCATCGAGCGACCCGTTGTTCGTGGGGGCTGGCTTAGGCTCTCATAAGCATCGGGCGACCATGGGTTGTCATAGGACGGTTGCGGGGACGGTGATTGTCCAGGACGCGACAATCCCATATCCTCCAAAGATGTCATCACATCCTCCATGGCGTCTCGAAGCGGGGAGGGGGTATGTCTACGGGAATGCGCTGCCGGAGATGGAGTTCTTGACATTGTCACATAACGATCGTTCATATCATAATGCGCCGGAACGCCCAGCTCCATGGACGGCTGTCGATTGACTGCGACTCGATGCGGGGGCGGAGGCGGCGGGGGCGGTGAATCTTCGCGATCCTGAAGTTCTAAAGGCGAGATTTCACGAGACGAGGGTTGGCGGAAGGGAGCATGGTGATAGCCCGTGGGTACTGAAGGTGGGAGGTAGTTCATTTCTGGGGGTGGCAGGGGAGACGCTGCGCGCGACGGAGGTCTGGAGCGCGCGGAGCTTGGCCCCGGGGGGATAGTAGGTAACGAGAGTTCTATTTCTTGCGGTGGACGAGGGGATACTGCGCGAGATGGCGGTCGCGCTACTGGAACGATCTGACCTGTGGGAGTTGCCGAGGATGGTTCTCGCTGGGGTCGCGACTGTGGGATTAATGGTGACGCTATCCGTGGGGAGGATCCTGATTGTGAAGAAGGCCGAGCCACCGAGCTTCTGTGTTTCACCGCGGTTGCCGGAGTGCGCAGAGGCTTGACTTTCCGCGAAAGGCTCCCATCTCGGGGCGGAGTCTGGGGAATCGAGCTTGTTACCGGCGATATCGAGGAGCCGTTTCGGGACAGCTCCCCAGAAGGCGCAATCGCTTCCTTATGAGCTTGAAATGGCCTTCTAAACACGGTCTTCTGTTTCTTCGGTGCGGAGGTCGGATTTGTGATCGGAGACTGAGCCTTTGGGCCCATCGGACTCTCCGTGCGACTGACCGGGACGAAGTTCTCGCTCAGCACTTCGACGAAATTGGATGGAAACAGTCCCATCATGCGCCGATCGCGTCGCAGTCGACCCATCCACCACTGACCGTCGCCCGCGTTCAAACATTCTATCAGATCGCCCTCTACAAAACCCAGATCTCGCTTGGTTTCTCCGCCCCAGGAGTACACGGCTCGGCACCAGCAAGGGAACCGGGTGGGCAGTTGAGGTGCGCCCGGGGCCATCACGGCGAGAGATGTGCGATAATGAGTGTCGACACCGACTGGAATTTGATCAAGAGCGGCTGGGGAGCCAGTGGGAACGAATTGGTGGACACGAGTCCTTCCAGGCGTGTCGCGTTAGCAAAGTGGGGATGCGAAGCTTCCCCGAGGCGGAGTGTCGGAGGAAGGTACTCAGGAAGTCAATAAGGGCATGGTAGGACAGAAAGGAAATAAATAAAAGAGGAATGGGCGGAGAGGGAAAAAAAGAAGGGGAAATAAAATTGAGAGAAGAAAAAAAAGAAAAAGAGGGAACCACCTGCGTATGGCAACGTGCGCAACGACAGGGGGGCAGGGAAACGAGGGAAGGGAAGAGAGAGAGAGAGGGAGGGAGAGAGTCAGAGTGAGAGCGACAGGTGAAAGTGACCTAACGGTGAGGCCCGATCTGTTTTGGTGTTTACGTGGGCGCCCCTTTGGGTTTAGCGGGGGGCAGGTTGTCTTATCGATAAGCTTATTAACCATCAACGCCCAAGTCGTTATCGCCCGTGACGTTCCTTCCTTTCCCTCTGTCGTGTCTCTTGTCTGGTCTTTCTCTGCTCGCTGTTGTCTCTGGACTTCGGCTCGATCTTATTCCCTTGGATTCAGAACTAAGTTTTGCAGAAATGCTTCTAGTAGGCTGCTGCACTGACTATGCATAAGGCATGCTCCCTGTCATAAAGCGACTCCCCAGCCACCCCAGCCTGACCCATGGTTGTTCCATCTGCTACCCGCACAGCTTGCTTCCATGGGTGGCCTTTCCATGGGTTTCCAATCATATCCAGTTGTCACAAGAGGGTGAAGAGTCATCCTGAAACAATTGTCGGAAGAAGCAGTCTTTGTCCTGGCCGTGAATTTGGATTCCTATCTCACCTTTTCTATTTCAAAGCCTCGATTGGACCGAACATCGTCGAAAATAGCTCTGAAACACGGACCATTTTCAATCCCCCGTCGACTTGATACATCCAGCACAGCACTCGGAGTTTACCCCAGATTCCTATTCGAGACAGGTCAAATCGTGTGTTTTCTTTATATATCCCTGATTGTACAACCGTGCACAGGTGCCAAAACTCAACAGACTCTCTTAGGACGCATGCAAACGCACAATCCTCCTGGAGTCCTCCCTTGGGCTAAATTGAGTTTGGTCATTGCGTAGGAAAGCTGCACCATTTGGTTTCCGCCCAAAGTTTATACTTCGCGTAGTGCAATTTACCATAGCAACATTCCGATCCCTTGCTTCAACGACTCCATGAGCTGACGCCACCTAAATGCCATTCGTCTGCTCTATTTATACGATTCAGAGCAGGGATATTTCGGAAGACCACCAAGCAAGGATCGACGGTGGACGGGTTACTCAACCGATCGCATTCTTGCCCATCAATCGAGCACCGGGGACGTGGACGCGGTATCATGTGACTTTGTATAACAAAGGCCATTTAGAAGTGCGTCCCTTGCTTGACTATCAATAACCTAAGACCGTGGTATCTTTGGCTTTATTCACACTGACATCGCTTTCATAGAGGCAAATGACGAATGAGCTTTCAGTAGAAGTGTTCGCTGTCCTTTCTTCCAGAGAAACATTCCTTCTTTCTTTTAGCACCTCGAAACCATGTTGATCCCCGACTCTACATATGTCAGCTCCCGTGGGACATTCAGAAAGACATGTCCCATGTAGATCCTTAACGGCTTATAGCGGCAAGAACAAGAACAGGAATGCTCATCCTTGCTGTATAATCTGGACTATTTAGACCAGGGATATGCCAAGTGGGGCGACGATCAGGCGATGTCGGTGCCTTACAAGGCTTTTTCATAGTACTCCGTAGTAATTACTGAGTGCCCAGCGCCCAGTGATCTCCGAAACACGTCGTATGATGACTCTCCGGTGGGCCTGCAGAATTGAAAACGTACTCCGTACGGAGTAGATACAAATGGCTCGACCACGAAACCTTCATAGTCATGAGGGTAACAAGCGTAAAGTCTTAAAAACGAGGCTACCCTACGTGTCGCAAATTGTCGAGCTCACCGGGACACAGGCGCTAACTCGGAAAATTCCAGACTTTGTAATCAACGAACAGAGACCTGAATGAAAACGGCGCTCAGGAATCATATCAGATCCCTTAGGTATTGCATGTAGGCTACTTAAAGACGCCCGATTTCATAAAAAGACTAAAACTAGGCATATTTGGACTCTACATGACGATTTCGCATAGGAAGATCCAAAAGAAAAAGAAAGGGACAAATAAGGGAATAAAAACGCCCTGATAATGCAAGCAACGCATATCGCCTGAGTAGAAATGAACAAAACAGTTAAAAAAAAAGTACAAAAAAAGATAGAAACACAAAGGCCCGAGATAACAATCTTCTGCGCTGAAGTGCTCAGACGGGCCTTTCAGAGCTGAACCTCAAATTACTGGCCCGTGAAAAAGTCGAGTAATTGTTGTTGACTCCAGGGCTCGTAGGGCGGCTACCGGCAGCCAACTTGGGACTTCGGGGCTGCGTGCTGGTGGATCGAGTCGATGGGCGGTTTTTGCGGATTTCTCGAAGTTCTTCTTCTTTGCGGCGCAGTAGGTCGTCGCGATTTAACAAGGTGGCCTCTAGCTCGGCGATGCGAGATAGATGCCGCTCTGCATCACTCTTCTGGTTGAGCTCTTTCAGTCGAGTGACGTCGCCAGCCACCTTTCGTCTCAATTCTTCATTCTCCTCCCGGAGTTGACGACTCTCGTTTCCGGCTTGGGCGGCCACGCTGGATGCATTTTGATACTGCTCGCGCGTGTATTCCGTTTGCTTGCTTTCTTGTTCGGCCTTCCGCTGCAAGGCAGCGTTTTCCTGGGTCAGACGACGGACTTTTTCCCGTTCGGACTCCAGCTCTGCCAGGTTACCGCCGCCAGCCTTTATCTCTTCTCGGGCCTTTTCCAGATCGTGCCTTAGCTGAGTACGCTCATCTTTCAGTTTTACAAGCTCTCCTTTCTGCTTTTCGACTCTTTGCTCAGCAGCAAGTTTGGCTTCGAATAGTTGATCGCGCTCCTTTCGGGTCTTGCGAGCATCCCGGGTCTGGCTTTCATAGCGGTGCTGGAGCTTTGCATGAGCCTGTTCTTCCGCCCGAAGGCGAGATTTCACCGCATCTAATGATGCTTGAAGGTTTTGACGTTCCGCTGCATTCGAGGTTCTCATTTGCAGGAGATTCTTCTCTAATGCTTGAATGTCACGATCCAGCGTCTGACTGGGAAATTTTGAGGATTCGGTGAGCTGAGTTGCGTCTTGTGATGTATCTGCTCTAAGTCTTTTGGAGGCTTGCTCCTCATTCTCTTCCACCTACTCACCAGGTTAGCAGTGTGCTCAACAGGTTGATAAAAACATAAACAGAGCAGCATGACTTACAAATGCACGTTTCTGACTCGTAGCAGGCGCAATTGACGCGCTCGCAGCATCGGTTTTACCTTGGCTCCCTACTGGAAGTGATACCAGTTGCTCTGGGTTCACAATGTGTAAGGGTTCAACCTGGGGCAATGACCAATGGGAGTTGAAGTTATCTGACAGGAGACAAGGGATAATCTCCTCTACATCCTCGCGTACCCCAAGCGCGTCGTCCTGAAGGTCGCCCACCAGATCACGAAGATGTACGGTATACTGGATGACCAATCGTAGCTGCTGGATTTGATCAAGGCTAGGGAAACACAGCTCAACATGCTCACTCGAGTTTGCAACAATGAGCCGGATCACGGGCAGCAGCTGTCCATTTCGCGCGAATGTGGTGCGCATATGCTCCACCGACGGGCTTTTTGCGTTGAAAGAGGAGTCCAGCGAGATGATTGCAGAGGGCCTTTTGTAGGTTTCCATAATCCCATCACTGCTAAGGGACTGAATCCCGAAACTTAAGGAGTCTTTGACCATGGAGACTTCGAGGTTGGTCCCGGGCCCCATCTCTTCGCGGGGCCGCGTGTAGGTAAGACCTTTTCCTATCAGATAGCTTTCGACAACCGTTTGGGTCTTCTCGCCATGCACGAAGATCACCAAGTGGATGTCACGGCTACTCGCAAGCTGTACGAAGTAGCCCAAGAGCAGAAATTTGGCGCTGGAGTACTCTGCCCATGCAGCTTCCTTCGTCATATCTGACCCTGTCTCCTTGATGTGAACACTTATGTTCAGATCGGGGTGCGTTGCAACGTTGCTCAAATGTTTGAGCACATCATGTACCTTCAGTTTAAGGCGTCCCACCTGGGCAAGTTTTAGAATACTGACGTAGCATGATGGTTTTATGAATCAAGGTTTTATCTTACCTCGTTCTCGGCAGCCTCATCCTGGGAGCTCGAAACCTTGAGGAACTCGCTAATACTTTGCGAATCACTAGCTAAGACTCGCTCATAGTCATCCTTGACTCGGGAGTCCATGGGGAGTGTTACTGCAAATTCTGATGGCCCAAGATGAACCGACCCCGGGAGTATCTCTTCCATGTGATCGACTGTAAGTGCGCTTGGCTGGATGGTTTGCACATCATGTTGCGGAGGTACTTCTAGTCCAGGTTCTTCCACGGACGGTGCAGGGACAGCTGAGGTGGCTTCTGTTTGCGTGTGGCCATCATGCTCTTTATCCACCCTGACACTCAGAGGCGCAGCCGTTTCCGGCATAGGAGCAGCAGTCGAAGGTTCAATATCCCCTGCAGAGGATGGTGTAGCGCTCGCATCGTTACCTTGGAAGACTGGAGTACTGAGACTGGCAGTGAGCTGAGCATAAGCATTCTTCATCTTTTCTCTTGGTGTGCTATCAACTTCGCTAAACCTGTCCATGGTGTCGGTTAACTGGACGTCCTTTTCGCCATCCATGGCTTCAACAGCGACTTCAGTTGTCGAAATGATTTGCAATATATGTTGAGACTCTTGGCTTAGTATTCTGTTGTCGGGATAGTCTGGTATTGAATTCGCAGATTTAAAATTGGTACTACCGCCTGCGGATGAGGTTAGTAAAATTTATGACAGATAGCAGTGTAGGTTGAACAACCTGTTGAAGACAGATCACCGGAGTGGTGAACTTGTGAGACTAAGGTGCTGACGACGGACCGGTAGCTGATTGTCCTAATGGAGCGCTGTGAGCGAGAGCCTTTTGAATCGGCGTGAATTTGCGACCACTGGCTCTCAGGAATGGTTGACGGACTAGAAGGAGTCTCAGCTATTTCATCCACTTCCTGAGTGTGGTTGGCTGGAAACGTAGTAGAGTTGGGTCTTCCGGAATCCCTGGTCGGCTCGGAAGCTAGTGCTCTGCCCGATTTCGGTACTTGACAGTCAATAACAGGCGAAACTTCTCTGGGACTTTTCGTAGTGTTCGGGGTAGTGCAGGTATTTGGGATTTCCTCGGGAAGTTGATACTCTGCAGGAATAGCAAATTTCGGCGTTAACCCAAAAACGTCCGATATAGGTGGAGATGGCGAATTCGGTCCTTGCCGGTCAATAACAGGCGAAACTTCTCTGAGACTTTTTGGTGTGTTCAGGGTAGGGCAGGTATCTGGGATTTCTTCAGGGAGTTGATACTCTGCAGGAATGGCAAGCTTGGACGTGTATCCAAATACGTCAGATGGAGGTGGAGATGGCGAGGTCAATTCAAAGTAGGCTGCCGAGTCAATGCTTCCAATTCTAGCTGGCTCTGGCGATTGCTCTGGCGATTGCTCTGACGATTGCTCTATGAAAGATCTGTCTGAGATCTGACTGGCAACCTCAACCTGCGGCGTTTCAAATACGGTATCAACTGGAATAAATAGGGGAGAGTCCTCGCGTTTTGGATCTTGCCCTTCCCGGTCACAACTTTGGGGTTGTGGGGAGGAAGATTCAATCTGTTCTACTTCAATAGAGCGACTTGGCTCGAGGGAGACTTGTTTCTTCTTGTCCTCCCAAGTTTGAATAGCAAGATCGCTGGCGTTCTCCTTGGGTTCCTGTTTAACGGATCCCCGATTAGTTGCGATCCAAGTCAAAAAGGCTTACCCAAGATCAATGCACGGCAAGCGAGCAGAGAACGCAACTCACCCAAGTCGGCGACCAATTCCCTTCCCAGTCAATAAGATACTGTGACTCTGTCTCGTCAAGAATACAATTGATGTACCATTCGTCCTCGTCTAGATTGGAACTTGGATTGTTATCGTCGTTTTCGTCCCCACTAGAGATGACAATAATATCCTGCTTTGTTTCTGGTCTTCCGTGTTGATCGGTGGAGTTTATAATTACAGGAGAAGAAGACTTGCGCTTGCGCCACATTATGCGCGAGCAGAGGGCATCGGCGAAGTGGAGTCCATGGCGAGGGCGAAAGATCAAAATAACAAAGATACAGTAAATAGTGAGGGGGGGAGTGTTATAAGTGGGGCCCGTATGTGTCTCGCCAACAAAGGACCGATGTAGCGGGGAGTTGTGGAAAAATGATGTGAGGAAGAGACAATACGTAGAAAGTATGAGGGTAGAGGGAATGAATGGAATGGAATGAATAATGAACTCGGACGACGGGGAGCACCGCGGATGATCGCCAGCACGTGATGCCTTATCGCCCAATTCCGCTTATCAATGACGGCCACTCCTTTGTCACTGCAACGGTGCTTGAATAGCTTCACCTCACCTATCACTGGATGTTCTTGCCATATTCATGGATCTGTGTATTAGGACGAGGCTCTGAGAGTATGACTCTATCATAAACTGCGGACCCAACATATTCCACTGTGAATATTTGATCATAGCTGATTCCCCAGTCAGGACTCGAGCGTTGGCATGGCGACCTGGACCCAAATCGCCATCGCGCGGCAGAGGACGGCGCAAAGGTCAAAAGACAACTATAATCTCCTAAATAAGGACATCTCCGGCTATATAAAAATAACATTCAGATTTCATCTCTCTAGGTTCTATTCTAAACCCGACCATCTATATATGCTCAATCATCATGCTCTCTGCAAGACGAAGAGGGCCTCAGCCATCAAATCTATCTGGCGTCTAATTCATAACTTCGTCAAGGATTGCTCCTGGCTCTGTTTCCATTGTTCAAAATCATAGCCAAGCTTCTCAAGGCTTGTAATGTGTTTCCTTGCCTCACCCTTTGCAATGAACTCTCTTCGGATCTCAGGAAACAACTGGCGCAGCCATTTCTCTTTCTCTCCCCAATGGTTAGCTACTTTCCCATTGCCGTCATTAGAAAGACCAGGGCGAGGTAATGCCTGGGCCGCCCATTCATAGAGGAAATTCATGTAGTTTGCGTCGAGCGGGAAGTGCAGGAGATGAAACGAGGTCCCATTACCCTTCTGTGCAGCGGTGGACTCCTCCCAGTCTTTCATGTCGGTAAGGGATGGGAGTGCCAGTCGGCCAGACCAGACTCGTGCGTAAACAGCAGCTTGGTTCTCGGATAATGGAAACGGTATGACCCTCTGTGGCAGCGCTGGCAGAACTAGGGTGGGGTCGTATGCGTAGAATAAATGCTGGTACGTATTCAACGTTCTGCGACCATCCGTAATAAGCGGAGGGTTAAGGGTTGACAGGAACGGGAACGAGTAGAGATAGCCAGTGCAGAAGACGATCGCATCGATTTCAGACTCGATCCGACCATCAGCGAAACGGACTGCCCTTGTATACTGAGTTGCCGGCAGGAACTCCACTATCTCGGGATAATATTCCTTGTCTGTGGCAGTGGAGGGTGCAAGATACGACTCCGACCTTTGCGAAACCAGGGTTTTCCCTTTGCTCACTGCACTGATCTGGCTACCGATGTCGATCCCTGATGCGGAACCCCCTACGATAATGACTTTCTTGTCTCGAAAGTCATCCGGTGAGTCGAAGAACTTGGAGTGAGAAATAACACCTGGATATTTCTCGTTCCAATCCTTGATGCCAGTGATATCGGGCGTGTAAGGGACGTCGTAATGTCCGCTGGCGACGACGACGGCATCGTAATCGTGCTTAGTGCTAACTCCCGTCCGCAGGTCCTTAGTAGAGAGAGTCCAGGCGCTCGCTTCTGAACCATTCCCCCTCACATCTTCGACCTGGGTTTCGAACCGTATATAGTTTCGCACCTCCTCTGCGTACTCATCCAAGTATTTCTTCACCGTAGTATGCTGAGGTAGCAATTGGCTGTCGGCCGGGAACGGCTTATCCCCGAAGCCCATTAGTTCCTTGGGGATGTTGGTCTCCAAAGTGCTATAGATAGGCGATACAAAGACTGGCTCTAATTTCCCTTTAGGCCAGATCGGTTTCTCCAAGGGTTCGTTCGGATCAAGCTGGGGTACAGGCGTCGACAGGCCTTGTTTCAAGGCACCGGGGCAATAGTTCCAGACCCCAGCGGCGGCGCTCCGTTTCTCAAATACATCGATCGTGTCAAAGAATTTCTCGGCCAGAAGGTACCTGGGGCGTGGTCAGCCAAAAAACCGGTAAAAGCTTCCTGGCAGAAACCTTGGGTTCATACTTGACGGCCGCCAGGCCCGACGGGCCAGCTCCGATAACCGCAATTCGACGGATCTGCTTTGAAACCGTCATGGCTTGATCACAGGTATAGACACCCAGGAGTCAATTGAGGGTAGATTTCCCTCTAGTTGACGAGAGGGGAATGTATGAACAAGGAGGAAGGGGGAGAGAAATCCGGCGTCGAACATGGCGGCGGTTATTTGACTTTAACGGTGTTGCCACCCCGCAATGAGATGTCGTGCTTTGGAGATCGCGACAACCCATCATTGGATCCCAGCAGCAGCGATACCAATCCTAGGATTCCTCCGATCCGCCCACCGGAAAGTGTAAATGAAGTCTATCGCAGTGAAGGTTCCTGGACAAAGCATCAATACGTCGCAGATTCCCAGTATTACGAAGATTACCGCCTGAATGCGGGGAGAATCGCGGCAGATAGAGGTCCCCGTACAATACCGACAATACTAATACTGGCCCCGTGACGCAAGCCCGAGCTTCCCTCTTCTTTTTCCCTCGTACCTTGACTTAACAGATTCAAGTCAGCCCTGCCATCCAACAAGTCGGTGTGCCTCTTCTCGGCTTCTTGTTACTGCATTGACTTCCTGAGTGAATCGCAGGCTGAGGCCCGGTGGTGCAAGGGGGGAATGCAACGCACCTGACCGATCCCTAATCGAAGAAATGTGGAAATCGTCTTGCAATTAATTAAATGGCTGCCGCGATGGACCAACAGCTTCCGATCTCAACACCCTTACGTTCGCCTCGCATCCCGATCGCGCAGCTGTCCCCGACAGCCGATAATCTGCAGGGAAGCGCCATTCATGCCGTCGTCGCCCTCCTATGGCCTTATTCGTCTTCCACCAAGTCCCTCAGCCTTCTGTTATCTGAGCCCGACTTCCGGCTGCGTCGCTCGAATGGCCAGGTGAAGGTGATCTTTCACGGGCCCGTCGCTGAAGAAGTTGCCAAGTCTAAAATTGGCATCGGGGATGATGTGTGCCTGGATTTGGCCGGGTCGAGGCTCGCGAGTAACCAGGCTGCGGTCCAGACGCCTGGTAAGTGCGTGGCATGGGATGTGCATTTCGACGATCGCGTACTTCTGGAGGTGATTCCCCCACACCACCCCAAACCTTATGAGTAACTGGCGACTGACTGGCTGGTATTTAGGTCTCGCGATCCTCCACCCCTCTATCAACCATCAGGGTTGAGCCTTCGTCGTCTCAAACAAATGGTCTCGACCCTGCGACCACAGCTCCGACTACTCCTCCTAGGAACAACCTCAACAAGCGTGGGATAACTGACGATGCGGAGGACTCAGGGTCATGGCAAACTCCAGTTTTCACGGGCAAGTCGCGCGCATCCTTCGGTGGTCTAGTCGATTCCGCATACGATCCCTTTACCGAAGAGGATGGGTATGTGCCGGGGAAAGGCAGAAAACGACCGAGATACAGTATGCAGCATAGCGACTGGCGCTTGGTCGATGAACCAGAAAGTCCTGGCGACAAGGATTTCCCGGTTGATTGGACGCACATATTTGATGAGGATTGGGGTGAGGGGTCGGAGCCGGATGAAGACAAAGAAACTTCCACGGAGAAGCTTCCTGAGGCGCCAGGCGACGGTGCCGATCAGAAAAGTCCGTCCGATGTTGCTGAAGCGGCCGAGGGGGATACGTCGACCCCAGAGGTCTCTACAGAGCCGATTAAAAGCCCAAAGCCGGTCGAGGCTGATGACCTGTTTGTTCACCCTGGTTCAATTCAAAAACCAGTGTTACCTCGTCAGGCCTTCGGGCAGGGATTTCTCGATTTCTCATCTCATCTTCCAACTGACACGCCTCGTCTGCATCCTATCCCATCTCCTGGACTACCCATTCCGTCTCCACTCGTAACGGCCTCATCCAATCAACAAAGCTACTTCATGCCAATCACTGACATGGTACAACCCAACGCCACGACCGTCAGTACATCGTTATCTCAGGAAATCCAAGGCACCGAAGAGGAGGCAAGCAAACATGTGGACGCCATGGTAGAGACGGAAAGCTTAGCGACGTCATCTTGTGAAGCGAAAGCAAGACCGCTATCCACGCGCCAAGACAACAAAGCCATAGCTTCAACCCCCTCCATGACCGCCACAGCCGCCGATGACCAAGTCGCCGAAGTTGCAAGCACCGCAATTGACTACGTCCTGCAAGACCGGATGCCTCACGTCATTTCTACCGAGTCTATAGTGGAAACCGCCGTAGACCTCAGCAAAGCTGGTCATCCGGGGGAAGCAAAGGCGGACAAAGTCGATGAGCACGGTCACGATCTCAGCGATGATGAGGATCGGCTTAGAGAGAATAGTGAAACCCACGAAACGACAGAGCATCATGAGGCCGAAGCATTTGAGGATGACGCAGTGGAAGAGGACTATCCTGATGATAAGCACGTGGAAGACAATGATATAGTGGAGACCGATGTGAGAAAAGACGGTATGGATAGGGACTATGCCGAGGATAGCATGGAGAATTATGATTCAGATGAAGACGAACCGGTGGAAGACAATGGGCATAAACAACCTATTGGACAGAGCTTCGTTTCTGAGGAAACTCGCGTGGGTGATAAACCTGGGACACAGGAATATTCTCTGAACGAGCTTGCCGAAAGCCATAGAAGCGTGGACGAGGAACGAACCAACGGTTACGAAAATGAAGAAGGTGATGATGACGAGGAGGAAGATGAAGTTGGTGAAATAGATGACTGGGATGAAGACGAGGAAGACGAGGAGGAAGAAGGGCTGTATGGCCGCTATGAAGAGGACGACGAATCGGAATCGCAATCAGACATGGTAGATGACGACTCGCCTACTCAGCATCAACCTGCACCGAAAAACTCGCAGCCTGAAGTCATCGTGCTCGACAGCGATAGCGAAGATGAAGCCCCTCCAAATCCTCGTACGGACGATGTTGCATCTCGAACAGGGGAGATCACTAGTGAACAGGAACCGGTGTCGTCACCGTCACTGGGAAGTCAGCGTTCGTCCAGTGAGGATTCTGTTGATTCAGAGAATGAAAAGTGGCCCGAAGATGAAGACCGTATGGACATTGAGAATGCGGACGATGATCAACCCAAGCAAGAGAAGTCGAAAATCCCTCCGCCAGAACGGATGTCAGACGACCTTTCCAAGAACGAACCCTTGGGAGCTCAAGCCGTGGAAGAAGATTACCCGGAAGAAGAGATGTCAGGCGACGAGGAACTGCCTGATGATGCCACAAACTTGAAAGCGGCATCCCATGGCAGTCAAGATGATAAACAACTCGAAAGCGACTGGGCGGAGGACGATGTGGAGGATGAAGAAATGAAGGACAGAGATGAATCGGACCAACAATCAAATGAATCAGAGTCTGAATCGGGGTCCCAATCCGAATCAGAATCAGATGAAGACGATGTGGTCCTCCTCGACCAGACAGATTATGGAAGACGCAACGAACAATGGGCGGAGAATCAACAGTTGGACAATGAGCCGACTCAATCCGAACAAAAACTTGTCGAGCAAGCGCCAGAGCAAATGGAAAATACAGAGCGGATGACCCTGTCTACTTCAGTTGCCGATTACGAATACTCGGATGATGGTGATGCGACTTATCACGAGAGTTACGAACAGCACGATGTGATAGCATCACCCCAAGTTCCAGAACAAGATTCGCTGCATCATGATTTCCGTAGCACGCACACAACTGAGGAAACGCATAATGATGACGGATTTGCTTCCCATGCTCACGAGCTGGCCATTGATCCTGAACTGTATAATTCCGGACCTGGCCGAGGAGAAGCAGTAGGTGACATTTATCAGACTGACAAGCAATACAACCGAGTTTCTGAAACCCCAGAAGCAATTACGGTGCCCAGGTCAGAGATTGATTATAGCTTGATGCTCGACGGTGCTGCATCTCCGCGCATTCCTGCCAGCATCGTATCAGAGAGGCAGGGTTCTGCTTCACAATCCCAGCGAATGGAGACTCCAGGCTCTACTCCGGTGGTTGAAATATACCGGCAGTCCCTGCCGGCTCCAGCGGCAGCTGAATCGCTACCGACTCCTGAACCTACCCAAGAGAGAAACTCGCAGCTGAATGGAAAGCCACCGTCAACCCATGCCGAGTTTTCTACTCCTCAGCCGCTGGGTGAGGATCTCGTGGAAGTAGACTCCGAAATCGAGGCTAGCTCTGTGGAAGAATCGCGAGAAGGATCGCATGACATTGGGGAACCATTGGAGAGCCATACTCCCGATGAAGATCAGTCTCACCAGGCAGATTTTGCCTTTGACCATGATGCCAGAAACGCCTTGGACGATATCAACTTCGCTGACGTTGACCGCCACTACCCGGGCTTGCGCAGCAAACTCTCTTACTTTGCACCCCTTGCGACACTCGTTGATCATTACAATGCTTTGATAGATACCATTTCTGCGGTTACGGAAGTACGCCCCGTTGTTCGAGCATCTGCGGGCAAGAAGGACTACATGTTAACCGTTCAGCTGACGGATCCATCTATGGCGGGCACGACTCAATTTGCCCAGATCCTTCGACCCTTCAAGGCAGCTCTTCCGTCCGTATCGGAAGGGGACGCCATTCTTCTGCGCAACTTCAAGGTCAAGAGTTTCAACCGCTCCATGATGCTCGTGAGTACGAGCACTAGCGCCTGGGCCGTTTTCGACGGCCAGAACAAGACGCGGGTCGAAGGTCCACCAGTCGAATACAGGAAAGAAGAGCAAACCTACGCGACGGACATGCGGCAGTGGTACCAAGAAGACGGCATGGCCATGGTGGCGGACGCCCAGCTCCAGGCGTCAATCGAGAAGGCCGGTCGAGAGGGGACACCGGCCAGCAGTGTGGCACTCAGCGACTCGGGCAGTATTGACTCGACACAACGTGTTGGTGAACGCGGCGAATCGTCTGTATCGAACCTTAGCTCACGGCGGAATAGGAAATCTCATCGCAGAATCACGATTCATGAGTTAAGGGACGGAAGGCGGTACACCGAGGTTGGTTCGCCGTCTGGCAAGGAGAGTATCCACGAGCTTCGGGATGGGACTGTGTATGCAAATCTTTGAGCGTCTATGCGTCTATTGAAAGCTCTTTCAAGTCATCTTTCAAGTCATATACCCCTAATTCGACTCGGATTTTCTGTACAGGTGTACAGATGTACATGCTATTTCTTCGTTTTCGTCACCATCAACACACGAGTGTTCATTCAATGTCCACGTAAGCCCCCAGGGCCGACTGGCCACCCGTATGAATGAAAAGGGCATTGATTTGAGGGTGATCCTTATGATGGCTCGCCCAGTCCCTGACCAAGTCTCCCTGTTGCACCCAATGTGCCATGCCCGTTGCCACCTTGGCTGTATAGACGGGATCCAGAAGCACGCCCTCACGCTGTGCCATCCACGCCAACGTCTCCTTACTCTTGGGATCTAACACACCATACCCGGTCCCAGCAAACCGATCATCCAACCGGATATCGTCCGGGGTGATATCTGCCTCGTCCAACCCAATCTGAACCGCCGCACGCCGCGCAAACCGCAACACCCTTTCCTCATGATACTCGCGCGGTTTCGTCGGCGAGTTCAAAATGCCAATGACTCTCCGCGGTGACCTCCTCTTTTCGCCTGTGCGCTGTGCCTCCTCCAACTTCTCCGCCAATTTAAACCCAGCAACCAACCCAGCCACCGTACTCCCACTCCCACACGCCACAAAGACATAATCGAACCGCTCCTCAACCCCCAGATGCTCCTTCTCCTGCGCCGCAATCTCAAACGCACACCGCGCATACCCCAACCCACCGAGCGGATGCAAACTCGCCCCGGACGGAATCCAATACGGCACTTTCCCGCTTGCACACAGCCCCTCAATCACCGGCGCCACCGGATCGGTCCCATCATCCGCAACATTATCTGACTCGAGCAGACGCACCTCCGCCCCAAGCAGTCGATCAATCTGCACATTACCCGTACGCAAGAACGCCGCGGGGTCCGTTGTCGAAGCCAGCCCGCCGCCTGTACTCTTATGCAGAATCACCACAGCATCCAGACCCAGGTGGTTCGCTAGCGCAGCGACCTGCACGGTATGATTGCTTTGGACGGCGCCTTCGGTGACGAGCGTGGTGGGTTTCTTGGAGATGTCAGAGCCGTTAGGCTGATGGGCACATTGTCGGATGTGAGGCACGAGGTATTCAAGCTTGCGGTATTTGTTGCCTGAGCAGGCCAGTGGGGAACCTTGGTCTTCGCGTTTGGCGAAGAGGGAGATCCGCGTGCCAGGGGCCTGGTGGGTGCGGGGGAGGGTGGTGGTTAGGGTTGGGAGCGGGTGGATGGGGGATGGGTGGGAGTATAGGAGTGGATGGCGGGGGATTTTGGCGAAGGTTTCGGGGAGGGTAAAAGACATTGTCAGGAGGGCGAGGTCGCTTTTTGGTCAACGCAGGAAGGCAGTTAGATGACTTGTATGTATAGATAGAACGCAGAAGGCTAGCATGGCTAGCATGGGGTTCGTCCTAAACGAAAGGCTTATACTAACAGAATAAATCACAACTCATACCACACACCAAGCATTCAACATCCATTGACTGACCAAGAGAGACGAAGAGAGAATGGTTGTTGACGCCGTGCTCAAATCCGTCGGCGATGACGCAAGGGCGGTGACAGGACAGTGAAGTACTGCCCGATAATCGACAGCGCTAGACTGACCGCCGAACCCCGGAGCGGCGACTGCCCCGCGGCCGTCACGGGATTACCGACTTTCCCGATAAATACGGTCAATACCAATAGCCGTCGGCGTTTGCTCCGGTCACGGGATTACGCGACCTCGGCGAGAAAGACGGCTGATTAATGCATTCTTATCGGAGGCGAACAGAAGCAGAACGAGGGGAGACTTTCTTGCGTGCTCCATCTCCGCTTTTTTACTTCCTTACTGGCTTAGAATTGCGGTGTCTTTGATATAGACTTCTTCTATAGACGGTTTTGATTACCCCAATCTCCCCTCTCTTTTACTTGGTATCAATTACATGATGAGCAACCATCCTCAACTTCCCACGCCTGCGCACACGCAAGCCGAATCGATGCTGTCTCGTCAATTTGGAAAGGAGACGGTGAATTACTTCTCCAGTACATCCCCTGCACTGCCTGATGCAATCTGGAGCCCACATTTCTAACCTTGATAGGCTCGCCTTTGAACCGGCTGTCATTCTTGCGCGGAGACCACCCCTTCCTGTCCGCAGCCCTGAAGCACCCCTCCACGCGCTTCGTTATCCTCAAGGAACTTGCGCCTCTCACAAAATCCCCCGCGGAACTGTACCATGCCAAGTACGAGGAAGTGCAAAAGCTCGTACCGGCGAACATCTACGATAAACCCGAGGAGGACGTCATCAAGGAACATGACTCGCGGAAAACCAGCCCGCATCTGATATTCCTCGGACTAGACGAGAGTTGCAAGCAGGGCGGCTTTGCGTGGAAGATCTACACTGGAACGCCCTACTTCGCGCTAGATGCCACGCCCAGAGGCAACAAGGAGCAGCAATCCAATGCCAAAGAGATTCTTACCGCGATGGAGGCGAAGGGACTTAGTTTCCTTCAGGCGCGAGTGGCCATGTCATTTTCGGCTGATGAGGGTGCGTTTTTTCCCTTTCCCTTAAACCTTGTGCTCTGTGTGATGGGTGCAACATTCAGGAATATTTTTCGCTAACTGCATCATTCTAAAGCCGCCATTTATGCCCAGGCTCGCGCCTTGGCGGATTGGAACACCCGGAACACCTTCTGCGGGACCTGCGGCAACCCTACAATATCCGTGAACTCAGGCACCAAGCGCGCCTGTCCCCCGACGGATCTTGCACGTGTGGCCGACGGAAAACCAGCCGAGCGACCTGCATGCAACACGCGGACTACCATCTCCAACCTGTCGTTCCCGCGTACCGACCCGACCATCATCGTCGCCGTGGTGTCGACCGATGGCAAGCGCATTCTCCTCGGTCGGTCCAAGCGCTTCCCGCCCAACTGGTACTCCACGCTGGCCGGGTTCATCGAACCCGCTGAGTCGGTTGAGGACGCGGTTCGGCGCGAGGTCTGGGAAGAGGCGGGCGTGACGCTCTCGCGGGTCGTGATCCATTCGTCCCAGCCGTGGCCGTACCCCGCTAACCTGATGATCGGAGCCATTGCGCAGGTCAGCGACCCTGCGCACGAGACGATCAACCTGGAACATGATCCCGAGCTGGAGGATGCGAAGTGGTTTGATGTCTCTGAGGTCGAGGAGGCGTTGAGGGTTGGGACGAGTCCCTTGGGGGAGAATGCGGGTCCGGAATATAAAGAAGGGGGACTGAGATTGCCGCCGCCTACTGCCATTGCTAATCAGTTGATTAGAGCGGCTATCAACATAGATTTCCTGGGGGATAAGAATTCGAAGATGTAAATAGAGGGGAGGGCTTTTGTTTGGTCACTAGACTATAGATAGGATATATGAGCAGTACATACATACACAGGGTCGGTGTTATAGAATAGCGCATGAACCAAGCTGTTATCAAGGAACTAAGGGCCACATATTACACAAGCAGTTCTTCAATTTTCATAAGAATCTTCACGACGTCAGAAGTCCATTCCCTAAGGTAGATTGGTATCAACTGATACATTGTATGCTTCGTAGTTGAGAGAGGATGGACAAGGGAGGGGGAAACATACCTTCTCAATAAACCTAACTCCCACAACAATCCCATCCTGATCAACTCTGTCCAATCCCCCCCCCCCCCCCAAAAAAAAACATTGTCCTCTCCATCATCCAGACAACAGAGACACACCACGGTGACTTCCGTATATCGCAGCCCCACCAGCGAAGGGAGTCTGTCTTGAGCAAGTTCCACAAGCCGATCCTTGACGACGAATGCGCCGCGACGTAAATCTTTATCCGCCAGCGCAGACGCGACATCAAGTTCCGGCCAGGAAGTGTTAGCGGTATCCTCCCCAGGGCCACTCTGAACAAACGATTTCCATAACTCAAGCTCGAGCAGACACACGCCAAGACTGTAGATATCATGTTGCATGACGAACAGCTCTTAGGGCCACTGGCCTTGACGCACGGAATGTCGATACAGATTGCGCTCCCATTCGAGGTCGCCCGCGTAGTTGGTGGGAGATTCGGCATGACGGGACCTCTCGAAACCGATGAGGAATGAGTGGTTGTACTCAATTGGGTTCTGGGCGTCTGCGAACACGAGGACCGACTCGGGGCGGATCCCCTTATGTACGAATCCGGTGGTATGGACGAACATGACGGAGCGGGCGAGTTGCTTGGCGAGTTGGAATCGGTGGTTCAAGGAGCATCGAGGCTGGCTCTGAAGGAGATTTCGTAGGGTCATTGGCGCTATGAGACCCCGGGGGACTTCTAGGATGAACTGGTATTGCGTCTGTGTTTCGTCTGACACGTCAATGACACCTTAGCAACGGAGGAGACTGAACGTTTTATGGTTGACATTGCGGAGGAGTCTTGCTAGATCGTGGACTTGAAGCCTGGACCTTGCAGCGGTTGCAGGTAAGTAGTTTGTCTGATCGAGGATCACAGGTTGGTCGTCGTCGGTATAGGACGCCGTGAAGGTATTGATATCGGCGATTCTGGTCTAAGCCGAGCTGATCGTATCTGGAGACTTGAATACCGAAACTGATCCGTGGTTCTCGGTCGATGAAGATGATGACGACTCTCTGATCGCCTCCCTCATGCGCGCAAGCCTCGTCGTGGAGGGATCGCGGTGCGATAAGCCGGCCGTCAATTGGCGATCGACGGTTGAATCCGAGATCCTAGTGATGAGGTACCAAGAGGGATCAAACCTAGCCTGCCACTCTTCGATGTCGGAAACCATATTTTTGACATGTTTCTTCAAGTAGAGAGCTTTGAGCTTGTCGGGGGTCGACGAGCCCGCTCGACCGTATTCCTTGAGCTGTTTGAGATCGTCCAAGGAAGCCAGAAGTCTCAGTTTCAGTCGCGCCACTGCCTCAGAAAAATGACTCTGGAGACTGGGATCCAGGGCTGTCCACATTGATTTAAGCGACTGGAGTTGTATCTGAGTTTTCACCAGTACGCCCTGAATCGTTACACGCAGCTCCTCGGCGTCGCGTTCCAGGTGCTTGATATCTCGGTATATAGCCCTAAGTTGGGTTCCATATCTGTCATGTCACACACAGTCATCAAGCAAGCCATATTTAATCAGATTGAAGCAGTAAAACCTCAGTGAACTTACTTGACGCAGATGTCCAGCGTTCCAGCCACGGCGAGTACCAGTCCAGCGGCCTCCATACTGCAGCGACCGAAGCTCTGAGCCTCAATCCTTGGCAGGTGCACAGTCGAGGACAAAAGAGGCTAAATATAAACAGGCCAATCCTTAACCCTAGTCAGCATGGCGCTTACTTACGGGCAAACGTTCATCCGACCGATCAGGCTGAGCAGTGAACAGGCGCGTACGTGGTAGCTAGAGTTGCAGGCTAAGTTTCTTGAGGGAAAACAGCTCAGGTCGCTATGGATGAAGATCCCACCCATTCTCAGCTGGATGTGACGGTGTTGGGGGACGTCAGTCGAGAGGTCACCTACACATCTGGCGGCGGCGACGACGTTCGGAAGCGGAATGTGACCATGTGGAAGAAGAAACGGTCAATCACGGTGCATGTCCACGTCGAAGAGACTTCTACTGGAACATTAAGAGTGATCAAGAAGGTCAAGCCTCATAGCCCGCAAGTGAAAGACTGGCGTCCTGAGATCCAGCTCATGGGGAGGGCATCCGATGCAAGTAAATACCAATTCCCGTAGTAGGCAGTATTCGTTCGATTCACATAATATCTTCTCTTCTGGTGCTTTGCCTGATTACTAACTGCCATCCAGGAGACCTCGCTATTCATTCAGTTGTATGGCTGGTTCTGATCCGAGGGCTTCGTATGCATTGCCATGGAATATTGCCCCCTTGGGGATCTCGCCGCTTGTTTCAACGAGCCCTTACACGAGTCAGTGACATGGGGGATGTGCAGCCAGCTGCTCCAAGGCCTAGCAAAGCTGCATGAAATGGCCATTACCCACAGGGACATAAAGCCACAGGTACGTCCGGGGGAAACAGTCAACTGATCCAGGGTCATTAGACGTACCAACACGGCCACAGAACATCTTAGTGGTCACGAAGGAGTCACCCTTCCCGAAATACCAAACTCTCGCCGATCACTGCAGGGGATTGGTGCCATATCTAGAGATTTCGCTGACACGCCGGGGCATCAGCCTCTCCGGCCGGCTATTCATCAAGAAGCTCATGGTCCTCGATTCTGCTGGCCGACCTGCGGCATCTGTCGAACTTATGTCGAACTGGGTTGTCACCGAGACGGCGGATATATCGCCCAACGAGCTAGACTGGGACCGAGAAGAATTCATCAGCAGCGAGAATGACAACGACATCTTATCAACGGATGGCTGGCGAAACCACGTTGCGGCCGAGCATACTCTCTTCTCTCCTAATAACCCTTCAACAGACCAGCCTAGTACCACCAGTACAACCGCCGAAGACGACGTAATAGTATCAACGCCTTACCCTGTATGTCTTCAGAGAATCCTCCTAATCATGAACCAGGACTACCACACCTCCGAGCTATGGCACATCCTAGAGACACCGATCACGGCCCTCCATCTCGCCACAAGCACAGGTTCTATCAACAGAGTTGAAATCCTCCTCGAGTACGGCGCAAAGGGGTCGATCCGCACCCAACCCCACGGCGAGACGGCGCTCCATCTCGCAACATTCAACTTCGACCTCGACAGATATTCGCGGTCGGTTTGGGCGTACGCCGTTAGTCTACGCTATGTATTTGTGCCAGCAACGCGTGGCTGAAGTGTTACTCGAGGCGGGTGCAGATCCGAATATTGTGGATAGTCAAGGGCGAACTGCGCTTCATTATGCTGCTGCTGCTTCAGGCAGATTCAGCAGTGAGTTCATCCACGACCTGATCAAGATCGGTGCGGACGTGAATCAGGTGGACAATAGTCTGAAAACACCATTACATGAAGCAGTCGAGGCAGGAAAAGGAAAAGTCATTCGTGCGCTAGTAGATGCTGGAGCGGATACAAAGGTAGGAGATCTCAGCTTCGAAGGACGCCTTCAGCGGGTGTTGTTTTGGGGAGGTATATCTGAGAAACTGCCGTGCCCGCTTGGGAGCATCTAAATAAGTAAAAATTCTTCTATAGTCTTTTCTAACTGCGATAAGGACTGCAAATTCGATATTAAAACATAATACAATAATGTTAAGTCCCTTCTCAAGCTTCACTCAAGGTTATTTCATCGAAGCAAGGATGATACTCGTCAAACAGAACAAGCTCCACTTTCCTTCGCAAGCAGCAGCGTTGAAATAGATAAGGAAGTTTGACACGGATGTGATAGGAATCTTGTCTAAAGGTATCGCGAGCTTCGCTTGGATTTCTTCCAAGTTGAGATCCGATATCTCGATGATGAATTAAAAGGCGAGGATTAAAGCACCAATGCTGAAGACACTTGACGAGAAAAGAACAGTCAGTCAGCCTATCTGTAGCCGGGAACCAAGTAGATTAGGTAGACATAGCGCCCAACTTACCGAAACAGTTTATTAGAAAGATCATAGACATGTGCTTTCGCAAGTAATTCTACAAGCAGAATACTGCCGTAGAAGAATAAAGACATCACCGAGACTCCGGTACCTAGCAGGCCATGACAGTCAGGGTAAACGATCACGTTGATCCATCAATCTAATTCAGCTCGAGGAACACTTACCACGATATGTAGGGGAAAAGCTTCCAGCCGACAAAGTAACAAGCGCTGCCTTCCACATGACCCGAGGAACTAAACAGAGAGAAGAATCTAATATATCCCACAACTTCAGTGCGTTAAAGACACATATTGTTAACAGGTCCAACAGTATAATCCCAGCGAGGACACTTTGAAGGCCGAATCTCTTCATTGCACGCATGGTGAAGTAGAGAAACATTAGAGTGAAGGGGAAGAAGACCAGCCTCGTAATTAGGGTCGTTTCGTCCAACACCAAGACCGGAGTTTCATATTGGAATCGCATCAGAATAAACGAGAACAAAATCACAATAGAGGGTAATAGCGCTCGGCTTTTCTGAATGCTGCAGAAGCGTCTCCAAGATGACTTTGCTTGATGCAATCCCTAGCCGCCCATCTCGAGTTGATGATAAATCCGGAACAGATCCCGAGCAGCTTCGAGGTCAGTGGGTCGAAGAGAGCGTAGCGATTTGTATGCATGACGCATTTCGCCTCTGCAGATTAGCGGGTACGGTGACTCCCAGGAAGTCATCATTGTTGCCAGAAATAGAACAAGTAAAAGTAAGGTCAAACTAGTCATGCTCCCCAGGATGGATATCTGGGCGCTGACCAGTGATACAATCCTAATGGTCTCATCAATGACTATGTGTTCTGAAGCTAGACCTGAATGTTTCTCATGGAAGAACTTACACTATCCACGCCGAGATCAGATAGCCTCGTAGCCCGGCTCGCTTATCTCGGCCAAATTGACTGGTGCCGTACACATCTGGACTGCCCCCAAACCAAGTAAGAACAATTTATGGGCTTTTATCTGCAAGTCACTAGACATATCAAGCCACAGGACATCGACTATGGACCGAATGAGGCCGATAGCCCCAAAAGTGAGCATAATATTGCGCGACGTAAGACATCGGCTTAGCAGGGCTGTGAATATGGAACCGGCTAGATATGGCATCCTATTCTGTTGTTTAGACGGGTTTAGACTTTTCGCATGGAGCACTTACACATAAACCCATTGTATTGCGTCGGGATCATAGCCATTACTAAAGGCATATTCAGGAACCATCAATCCACTTCATGTCCAGGACTATCCGTCAGCGGTCTATCTAGACGTTATTCGAGTTAGGGCATATTTCCAGGCATACCAAGTCCCAGCCGCCACGACAAAGAACCAAAACTGCAGCATACGTCGAAAGGAGGGCGGTCGAGCAGCAATAGTGTTAGCGAGAATGGGCGGATCTTGCTCCAATCCCTTAGCATAGGAAGCATTGGTTGGGTCGTGAGCAAGAAGAGCACCCTTTCTCAGAATATCACGAAGATCGTGTAACTCATATTTGGTAATGAATTCATCGGCATTGAGTAAGACTTGTTGCTCAGTCCAGTCTCTGTATCCCCTATATCGGATTTAGTGAGGCTCAGGCATCAGCCTCTGAGACCACCTGCCGTGAATTGCTTACTGGTATTGTATGAGCTCCTCTTGACCCCTGGGTACCATCTCATCTCTATCGCCGTTTCCCCTTGAACTCGTCATGATAGAGACGCTCTAGATAAAGAATGTCAGGTTCAGGGGTTCAAAAGCCGCGACAGTAGAAGTGGAATCAAGGCTGACGCCGCGCTCAGCCCCACACGTGACCTGGATTGGCCCTGCATTCCCGGTGCAGAATTGAAGCCATTCACCTTTGTATAGAATCCCAGGGTAATAAATAGTACAATAGGTTCTTTATACAGCAGAAAAAGATGAACTAGAAGTCTATTTCATTCATTAAGGATACAGAAAACGTGGTTCGCGTAGTATTACACTCAACATGTAGTCAAAGAGTAGGAAAAAAGGTGACTTCGAACACGACCACATCAGAAACACTGCTAGTTCCGCTGGACTCGGTTCGAGCAGTAACAAAAGTTGGTCGTGCCAAACAGCTCATCCCCATAGACAAAGAATGAGAACACAGAAATGAAAAACCATGCAGCAAAGAACGCAACACAAAAGCACACCCTGGATATGCGGAGACTCACCCATTTCTCCAACCCCTTGGATACACCGAGCTCATTAAAAAAAGCAATGAAACAAAACACAGGCAGAAGGTGAATATCAACAGCAAAAGACCATATCAAAAACATAAACACCGTCAAGACTCATACATCGCAAAACAGGGAAGAGACCACCAGGTGACTCGTAAACGCCACAAAATGCCCGCCGAAAATATGGTGGATTCGACGTCGATGGCTCGTCAGAAATTAGAAACAAAAAAACAAAAGAACAAATCAAATCCTCTCATGAGAGCCCCGCTAATTTTGGTCACAAAGAAGTAGTAAGAAAATAATGATATCCGAGTTGAGTTCCCTTTCATAGTAGGTAGAAGGAAGTTAAACCAAGTCCGCGTTAGATGCGACTTCCGATTCCGTCAAGGCTTTAACGGCTCCATTGGGTTTGCTGTCAGGTGAAGCTTCATCGTCCGTAGGATCAGAATGATCCTCATTGCTAGCGTCAAGAACCTCGAGCGCCTCGATAGCGTGGGAGTTCTCCATGGGTTCCAGTTCAGGTTCCAGCACTTGTTGGGGTTCCGGATCCGGTTCGACGTCTTGATTCGTCAGGTCTGCAAACACGTCGTCTAGATTCTGTCGCGGACTACTATCAAATGGATCCTCATTATCGACGTCCACGCCCGGGGCCGTGTCATTTTGGTCCCGAGTGAACTGGGGAGAACTGAAGAGCGACGTATCTAGCCCTTGGTGATGCGGGGAGGGAGAGCGAGCAGGGAACGAAGGAGAACGCGCCGCAGCGTGGGGTAGGAATGCGGAAGAATCTGGCGCGAAGGCCGGTGTGGTGTCACTTCCGGGAAGAGAGTAATTGGCAGAGAAAGGGTAAGGGGGGTTTTGGGAGTCTGACATCGTGGCCAAAGTAGGCCCCGAGCGATAAGCATCCGAATGAGAGTCGCCGGTAGGAGTGTGAGGTGCGGGCAGGAGGAGGGGAGGTCTGCTGGTTGGGGAGTCAATGGATCTGCGTTTGGCGAGATTCGGCTGTTTCGAGCGCAGGTGAGGTGGAAGGTCTTCCGGACGCTCGACGCCCAACTGTGCCATAATCTTTTGTTGCTTCGTTGGGCGCGGCTTGCGAGTGGAAAGAGACTGTTCTAGGATCGGCGGGGCTTCCGGAGCCACAGGCGCCCACTTATGGATTTCTTGTCGGAAGAAGTTGGTCTCGTACGCCAGTAAAACCTCGGCGCCCTCGATCTTCCGCAAATAAAATATCAGGGTCGGAACTTCTTCGGTGGTGGTACAGGCGGCGTTGGTGAAGCTCTGAAGAAAGTCACGGAAGGTAGTCGCTTGGTTGAGTATACTGTCGAGGATCTCTTCTTCATCAGGCTGGAACGGTAAACCGGCAATTTCGGCCTGCCATTCCTGAAGATCCTCAAGTTTGGGGCGCGCGGCATCACGGGGAATCTTTTGGCGCCAGTCGCAGATAGGACAGGTGTATTTGTCAAATTCCTTGACTTTGCCTCTCGCGATCTTCAAGCATTTGCCGTGGTACCTAACGAGGGTTGGCGATTAGCGTGTCTATCTCATATGCAGGGAACACAAGGGCACTAGCTTACCATTCGTGGCAGACTTCACACTCGATCATCATACCCGCCTCCGAATGTCTGCAAATACAGAACACGTCTCGTTTGCGTGACTTTCCTCCTCCCCACATGCTGGGGGCAGTATTATTCTCCAGAAGACCGTCTGGGCTGTTATCTCTCGAGGCCGGTTCGACCGGAGGCCGACATCGATCTTCCAGATCAAAACAGTAAGAGTTTCTCTTTTCAACGTACTCCATGTGGGATTTCAAAATGTGGAGCGGAGCGTTGGCCTTTCCAAATAATTTCTTGCCTTTCCTCATCCAGTCCTCGTGACGTTTCTGTTCTCGCTCCAGATCAAGGGCACCGGTTGGCCGGCTGTTTAGTTCCTCCAGGGACTCCATAAGCTCGCGGACCTCTTTATACTTGGGACGGTTTCGAAGGTCAGGATCCCTACTCCTTTCATATAGGGATTGGATCTTTTTCTGTGCCTCACGCTGTTTTGTCAATATGGCATCCACGCCTGCGAGGGTCTCGGGCGAGACGGGAAATCGGGTTGCCTGGGCGGACAGCGCTTCGAGCTGTTGATAGTGGACTGCCTCAACGGACATCAGTTCCTTGGCCTTAGCTTCCCAGGCCTCTCCATGGCGGCACAGGTCCTTGAGATAGAGGAGATGGTCATTGGTTTCCGAGAGTCCTAGTTGTTCGCCGGCTAGGATGAGCTCCTGGCAGTCCTTGAGGGTCAAATACTGTTCCCGTCGCCGACGCGCCTCGTCATTCCACTTCATCTGCCGAAGGATGTGTTCCAGTCCTTCTACCTCGGGTATCTCCACGTTGAAATTGCGGGAGGACTCCACTAGCTCTTCCACTTCCTGGACCGATCGGATATGGGGGTTCATGAGGGCACCGTTAACGTCCTGGCGGAATTTCTCGATCTCGCGGGTCTTCTCTTCCAGAGCAGCCATCTGTGGACAGTCGAACGACAGTTTATCAGCCTCTGCAAGAAGGGCGTAGATGTTTTCTACTCTGCGAACTTCACGATCACGTTCTTCCAGCTGCGCGGCCTTAGAAGTACTCCTGCGCCAAGCCTTCTCGTTCTTCCTCCGGTTCTGCTGCTTCCGGGTGATGTAGTTGGTTGCTTCTTCAACCCATTTATCGCAACGCTGAACGAACGCCGCAAGATCTTGGAGACCAGGCAAATGGTATGGGATTTTCTCACCTTCATTTAGTAGGTTATGAAGGACCTTCAACTGGGGCCTAGGATCTTCTTCCAGAGTCTTGTCACGCTTCTCACCCCATGCTTCCGGGATCCTGGCACGTTCCTGAACCTTGTGTACCAAGGTTCTTAAGTCGTCGTCGCTAATCCGGTAACGCAATGTGTGGTCTGGTCCAAGTAACCTTTGGGTGAGCGGTTCTCCACAGCAATCGTAAGTTTCCACGTGTACCAGGCACACTGTCTTCCCGGTCCTATGGCAGCGGAATTGCGTCAGGTAGCTAAGAGCCTTGCAGAATTGGCATTGGTAATCCTCCTCGGGAAGATCTTCCTCTTCGACTATGAGTTTTAGTTGACAACCACCAGCAGCCGGAGGCTCCCGGGATCCGAGAGTGCAATTATGAGGAGCGACCTCTCGATGTTGAGCTGCAAATAAGGCTCGATCAGCCAGTTCACGCTCAGAGGTCCTCTGGAGCGCAGGAGCCAACCACTTGGCAGTTTTGATTGATGGATCACGAGCCGCTGCTGTTAATAGCAACTCGTCGTGTGAGAAACATGGATGACGCCGGAAGGCCTGTAAACGCTCGACACCCGCTGCACCCCACGGCTCCCAGTCTGCGGGCGCAAAGTTGACAGCTTCGTTGAAATTGAAGCCGTGGTTGAACCCAGCATGATACGCCTGCGGGAAAGTGATGACAAATTGCCCGGCCCTTTGATCAAGTGCATAGACATTGACGCCGGCTTTCCGGAGTTGGTCCGGTGGCATCAGAGTAACAAGCTGGAAAAGCAAGTCGGGCTGACCTTCGAAAAGCTCCGGGACAGCCTGTCGCATTGCCTCCTCGAATGCTTCGGCATCCGCCCCGGGAATTCCGTACCATGTCTTGGTGGCACCAAAGTGCTGGTAATTGGCGGAATAGGCGTAATGATCCTCGTTGTGCCAACAGAAGGTTGAGAAACACATGCCGACATACACCCAGGGAACCGTCATGCCGGAAATGTCAGACTTGATATGGCGGAAAAGCGAGTCCCCATGGAACGGGAGAACATTTAGATTCCAAGGGTCAACTGAATATCGGTCGAGCGGATTCCGCTCGATCGTGGGAAACCCACTTCCATGCGTAGTTGAGTGGATGTCGGCACCGTATTCGACTTCAACCGTCTCCGTCAGACTTTCCACTAACCGCCAAAACTCACGTTCCACGTCATCCTCGGATTCACGACGGTGAGTGTTGAGAACGGGATCAAAAGGCATCTTGGAGGCAAAGTAATGTTTCTTGAAGTTACGGGCCTTCTCCTGGAATTGCTTCAGGGAATAAACTCCTCCTTCTTCGAAACCGAACTCCCCGGTGCCTACAAGACACTTGGGGCAGTGCCAGTCATACTCCGGGACAGTTGTCAAGGGAGGGTCGAGACATTGCTTATGGTACCCGTGATCACAGCTATCACACACAAGAATAGAAGATTGATCTTCTGACTTTCCACAGTTCTCGCACTTCTATAAGTTCATTTAGTATCCAAGACATGGTGAATGGGGGCCGCATGGGATACTTACATCACCGGTTTTGCGACTGTCACTCTTACGGGGCCGTGGAGGAGTAGGACGAAGAAGACTCATGTGTGAACCAGCGACAGTTGGTGGAGCATCTGCAAAGAAAACATCAGAAACCACGATCCCTTGTTTAATTTTTTCTTTTATATTTAAAACATACCTTTTCGAAGGCGCTTACTTCGCCGGCCGTTCGGATCATCGCCGTTGTCAGTTTGCGAACCGCTTTCATGGCTGATCGCGCGTTTCATCGGATGGCTTCCGTGGCCATTAGAGACAGGCGTCGACGTGGCAGGGTGTTCTGCGACGCTTTTCGGGGTAAGTGAGCCATTCTCAGCTTCACGTTTCACCGGAGCACTGTTGACCGCGACAAAAGGAGATTGATTGACAGCGGTGAAGCCGGAGCTGGCATTGACGGGAGTAAAACCGGAGGCGATGGGTCGGGGTGGAGTAGGCTCAACCGCTGGCGGGAGTTTATCAGGGGTTGCCTCATACTCTTTCGAGGTGCTCTGGGGAGCCGTAGCCGCCATGCTAAGTGCGCTTTGAGGAGTCGCTGAAGGAGTCCGGTTTTCCGGCGGGATCGGCTTCTTGGTCATAGGTGAATGGTTGGGCGACGGCGTGTAAGGCCCGCCATGTTCCAGCTCCAGTTGCTGCTGCACTCCAGGCTTAGCTACCCGTAGATATTCCTCGTACGGTTGAAGCCATCTCTGATAAGAATTTTTAAGCGATGTCGAAAGAGAAGACATAATTTTGCCGCTATAGCCCAGATCGCGACCAATCTCCGCCCATTTCTTCATCTTGCAGACTTGATCAAAACCACCTCGAACTTCGACCGCCTTTTTCAACTTGTAAAGATCCAGGGGTCGCTTATCGACACTTGGGAAGCGATTGAGATTGGTACCATTTTGTTTATGATACTTGGCCAACTGGTCGAGGTAGTTCAAGTTCGCACGAGTACCTGGGTTCGAGTCAGAACTGGGCTGCGGAGTTCCACCGGCAGCGAACGTGGCTGAACGCGGGGGCATACCTCCTTCAACCGAGTTAAGCTCCTGTCGACGAGTTTTGAAGTGAAAGCGCTAGGAAATCACGTCGTCAGCTATTTTCGATCGCGAGAAAACACGCATTGACCCGCTAGGAGAGGCGCGGAACTTGTGCCGAGGGTTGGGGAGAAGAAAAGAAAGCAAAAACACATAAAAACAAGGTGCGAAAAAAAAAAAAAAAAAAAAAACGAACGCATAGTAATCTCATCCATACCTCCGTGTCAATAGCAAAGGTGGGTTGCCATCCTTCTGGTGGAATAACCCTGCAAATTCCATATTTCTTGCCTTCGGGCGCGATCTTCCGAATGTATGCTTCCGGATCCCTGAACTCCTCCTCGGTTGGACGAAAGGTCGGGGCTTCTTGCAGGCCATGAGGTCGGATTCGTTTGCTCGGTTCTCGAGGAGCATTAGCCTGTCCTCGTCGCTCTACCGTGGACAGATCCAGAGGTTCGGAGCGTCGAGCGCTCAGAGGTACATTGTGAGAATGCGATGGGTGGGTGCTGGAGGATCGGGTAGGTTGACGGCTCGCCGAAGGCTGCAAGCCTGTCGAGTTGCCTCCCGTTGAGGCCGGAGCCACCATCTCTGAGAGGCAACGGCCTAATTGAGAGCGAGGGGGAAAATTGCGCCTGTTTTATCGCGGACGGAAGGGGGCTATCATCCGATGCGAAAAACACATGGGACGATCGAAAAGCCAGGAAAGGATTGAGATGGAGATAGGATATAGAGAAGAAAGACCATCCACTACTGCCGTACGATGGTAGGGGAGTGAACGAGGGGGAGAAGAGAGAGAGGAGGTGAAGGAAGTGGACGAGAGAGGACTAGCAGATGGATGTTCAAGGGAAGACCGAGATGAGCCCGGGAGGGTTAGTGTGGAGAATCTCGGAAGAGTAAAAGTAAGTCAGTCAGACTCAGCCTAGAGGGCCGACGAGGAGGTCGTTAGGTCGGGGATTCCGGGCAGAATTAGCAGGGGACTAGGTCGAAGTAACAATACTAGTGAGTTAGCACGCCGTCACCATTGGAGGACTGGAAGGGGAGGTAGTGAGCTTCGTTAGTAGTTCGGTTCGGGCAAAGAAAGGTAAAGTTGGATGGGTTAAGTAAGCCAAGCGATTTGGATCGGCTAGAACCAAGGAGTATATATGACTGTATGACAGGGCATGGATAATGGACATTGAAATTCTTGATCTCGGAAATTGACGAGGGTTCAGACAGAGGAATGATTATCGAGAGGATCTTACCGTGGGGAGTTGACGGTAGTCGGAGTGGAGTGGATAAGAATCGGTATACTCCGTACATCCAAGGGCTGAAGTCGGATGAATCGCGGCGAAGTGGAGCGTACACTAGCGAAAGCGATGATAAAAGGCGAAGGGGGAGGGGGCGTGAAAGGAGAAAAAAAAAAGAAAAAAGAGAAAAAAAGAAACGAGAGGAGATCAACGACAACAAGCCAAGGATTCAGGAAGGGGAGAGAGGGGGAAAGGAAGAGAAGGGGAGGGAAAAGAGGGAAAAAGGGAAAAGGCAGAGAGCGACTCGATCCATGATTTGCATCTGGCAGCCTCAGGCTCTGGTAGCGAAACCCTGGAACGTCGAGACGATACCGTATGGAAATTATTGGAAAGATACCTACACCTCTGGCTGCAAACGGTGATGTAACGAGACCCCGCCAAGAACGGGGTCAGATTGCTCTTGCTCTATGTAACCTTCCCTAGTAGATCGATTATAATAGATATCATTATAGAATGAGTTAGAGGCTTATGTGTAACTTCTTAGAAAGGATCTGAATATATTTCGACACCTCAGTCATCCTTTATCTTATTATTTTCTGTCTCACACTACACCGTGATATATGACTCGACGACAAGGAAGTGGTGGTGTTTAAGATTTGATGTGCACCACCAACACTAAGGTAGATAATTCACTAACTTACGGTATGGGAATGACAGTACCTGCCAAGCCCGCAGCCAAATACGATACGTATACGGAGCCGGATGGGGGAAGGTCGCGTACTGGAGGGTTCCTCTACTTAGTTTCAACTACAGTAGACGGACAGTCCCGTCGCCCTTTTCTCTTTTCTCTCCTGCTCCTGCATGCAAAAGTCAATTAGCCAGTCTAGCCGATTCTCAATCATATCCGTACTCCGTTATTAATCTTAATCAACTAACCAGGCTGGTCAGCCCACTTTGCATCCCACCGGAGTGCCGACCTTTTCCCGCGGACTACCCATGCCTCGGCAGGGTGGCCATATGACGGGGCACCTCCTACCTTCGGTATGATACGCATTCTTCCTATGTGACACGTCAACCATGGGCCGCATCCGACCAGAAGTCGTCAAGCCTCCCCAATGATTCAGGGTAAATCCTGCTTAGGGTTCCGCGGGCAGCATGAACCAGGAAAACTCCCCAGTATCTCGTCGGTGGAGCGATACCTGGCGTTTTCCCTAGCGGCGCGTTGGGGTGCCTCTGTTTGCAGGGTCAGGCATCAAGGCCCCCAAAACAGCCTAAAGGTAACAAAAGAACGCGAGATCGCGATGTCTTCAAAACAGAGCCAAGTCTTCGGTATCTAAGGAGTAAGTACTGTAGGTAGGTAATGATAACTAAGTTAATTAGCTCTAAGGATATCAATCAGCAATCTATCTACTCAGTTAGTGGTTATCTATATACATAGGCATTCATCCGGAATATTTGTTCACGACCCTGTAATAATACGGTCGGGTGTCAAACATTCCCCAGGGCGTCGGATTATCTGGTATTAAATGATCTTCACCAAGATCTTCTTGCCTGCAGTAATACGAGATTTTATTCTTTTTTTTACCTAAAGTCTAGATTTAACCATCCCTCGCTAAATTGTCTCTCCCAGCCCCCTAAGGTTGTCTTTGTTTCCCTGTCATTTGCTCGCAACCCTGCGCCGGTCTTGTAAGGGCACGGATCAGGCCATGATCTTTCAGGGATTTATCAGTTATATCACCGAGACATTTCAGCTGCTGGGAGCCTGGGACGAGTCGGTCGTCTCGTGATCCAACCCAAAATAGCAAAAGGTCAGGTTTCCTGAGGTCATGGAATTGGATGTCTTGCCCTCGTCGCGCTGTCCATTAATCCGTGGTCTTAATCATTTTTCCTCTTGGCGGCACCCAGGCGGACCGCGTAGTCTATTGAATCATCGTCGCTTGCTATTTTGACTCTTTATTTTTGCTTTTACTTTGGTTATTGTTTCGATTCCTTATTATTAGTTCCCTCGTATTGACATCGGACAGGACGGCGATTGTTGGCATCGTTGGATGTATGTATGTACATATAGGTACTGTACATGTAGTAATGTCTCATTCTAATAAATTTCCATTGCCTGGTCACAGAGTACAAGCAATTACTGAGCTTAACTTACTGTAGTCCGACTCATTATTGGATTCAGACCTGATGGGAGGTCTCAAACACGTCCATATAGACCGGCGGTGGAGTCGACCCACGGACCCAGTAATCGATGCCTCAGGCCACAGCGCGGAATGCAGTCGGAGGTCGCCCAGCCGGACGGAAGTACTGTAACTAACTACAGTACATACATACAAGTAAATCGTCAACACAACCTCCCATTGCTCTTCCAGCTGTCGACTCTCATCAAGTGAATACAGCCGTGACCGGGCTCATTGAAATTCACATACATCCATACATCTTGTGTGTCCTCTTTGTATATCATCAGTGCATCACCTCCCCACTCCAATCAAGACTTTGTTGACTGAGACTCGCCACCATGGCGGACGCCCGGGGCAACCATACAAAACCCATCCCGGCATTCTACTGTTGCTATCTCCTTCGGTCGACTGTGAAGCCTAAGTCGATGTATATCGGCTCGACGCCTCATCCTGCCAGACGTCTAGCGCAGCATAACGGTCTCGCCAAAGGAGGCGCGCGCAAGACAGCAAATGACAAGCGACCATGGGAGATGGTTGTCATCGTTGAGGGATTCACTAGTCGCATTGCTGCGTTACAGTTCGAGTAGGTCACCTGCCTCACGAAATAGTGTGGATGTTTTATCTGTCGAACTGACTAACTGAGTCTAGGTGGGCGTGGCAGAACCAGAGAAATTCTCGCCATCATGTTGAATCAGACGACGACGAGAAGGCCAAACATACTGCGTCCCAGTCTCGGAGCGATCGAAACGATGGCACAAAAAGGAAGAAACCGTGTCGCTCCCATCGTCTAAAGATATCGCTGAGCGCGCATCTGGGTACGTTGCATACTCTGTTGCGGTCCACTTTGTTTGCAGGCTGGCCTCTGAAGATTCGATTTTTTGCTGCCGACGTGCACAGGGCGTGGCAAGCCTGGTGCGACCGTGTAGATGGTTTTCTGCCGGAACACATGGCGGTCATTTCGGATGGAAATTGCCTTGAGACATACAGGCAGCATGGCGCTAGTGATTACAGAGTAGGGAGCATTCAAGGCGTCAAGTTCGACTACAGCAAGATTGGAGATTACGCGGAGAAGGCAGCATTTCTGCTCGACAATTCAGAGACTCTACAGTGCAAAATCTGTGGGATACGGGTCGTTCCAGACGCTGAAATGGTGGTTGTCTGTCCAGAGGGTGAATGCTATTGCACCGCTCATCTAATGTGTCTATCAAACGAGTTTCTGGATTCTGCTAATGACTCGGACCGGCTGGTTCCCACTTCTGGACCATGTCCCGCATGCCATAAAACCGTCCAATGGTCATTGATGATGCAAGAATTGAGCCTGCGGAAACGCGGTGGAAACCAATGGCTGAAGGTACTCCGAAAGAAAAAGAAAGAGACGAAACGAGCCAACGCCGTTGCCAAGTCGAGATCCAAAAAAGATCAGAAAGCCGCCAGCGAAGATTTGCCCGGAGCAACTGAACCAGCAGACCATGAGGCGAACTACGACTCAGATGAAGATGCTCAGGATGATGTGTCTTTAGATGAGAATTGGAGTGAGCTTCTGGACCCCGAATCGGATTCCGAGCGCGAGGGTCCACCCAAATCCCAGCAGGTACCCCCAAGGGCCGAGATCGTCATCCAAGATAGCGACGACGATGGGGACGAAATCCCTGAATGGTAGACTTGATGATTCAGAGAATCACGACAGGGAGTAGGAGTAGTTTAAGCTACAAATTTCTCCAGCTTCCTCAAAGGCCCGATGTGATCTAAGCGGGTTATGCGCTCCGCTACAGCTTGTTGGATGTCCCTCGACACGTCCTCAAACTGTCTTCCTGCATCAATAACGTGGATGTCGCCGCTTGGCTGCAGGCCGAAGATGGTTCCGAACAGCTCGCGCACCCGTTTTTGCATGGGTTCGTTTTCATAGCGCTCTACGCCAAAACCACCTCGTTTGGCAGCTTGCTCCGGGGAGATTTGTAAGAAGAGGCAGATGTCAGGTCGAGGCAAACCGATTTCTGGTAGCCATGCCCACTCAAGCGACAGGTTCGGATTCCCTTTTGCAGCGGAGTACACAGCACCGGAGTACGAGTAACGGTCGACTATCACGGTGATCCCGCTCGCAATATCCTCCTCGATATCCTTAACTGCCTCCCAGCGGTTGGCGGAGAAAAGAAGATGGATTGAGTGGTCATCCAACTGCGACTGACCCCGTAAATAACCATCAATCATCTTACCAATAGTGGTGGTTCGGTCTGAGGAGTGCAGTCAGTATGGATCGTTGTACAGGTGAGCGCTTATGGAACATGAGAGGTCCTACCCGGAAACCGAACATATTTAACAGGCTGTCCCGACTCCTGTAAGGAGTCGCGCAAGGCCTCACACTGGCTCGATTTACCAGCGCGATCTAAGCCTTCGACAACGACGAGGGCCCCGCGCCTGGCTTGCTCTACCATAATGGAAAACCAAAAGCCGTATAATCCGATGATTAAACAAAAAAAAAGAACAACCAATCAAAGCCACGGGATGTGACAATTGCGCAGAGATCGGCTTTGGGGGACGATGTGCGACGGAGAAGGATGCGGAGTTGTCGGTGGTGGAGAGCGGAACCGGCTTGGTTTACCCATTTCTCAGGCACCCATTCCGCTGGAATTCATTTTCTCCGACCAGCATCGGCTTTTTACCTTTCTGCTTTCCAGCCGTCTTTAATTATTTTTATCTGTCTCCTCCACTTTCCTTGCCGATATGGAACCTGAGACCCTATCTCGGCCTCAGGACGAGATGCTCAACTTCACCCTTTTGAATCCCACCACATCCTCCACTTTGACCCCGCGGCTGGGCAATCTGGCCATCGCAGGCCGAAAGACCATTTCCACGCCGCACTACATCGCCCTGACCTCCCGGGGCGCGGTGCCACATATTGCGCATGATGTGATGCAAAAGCAGACTGCTATCGGCAGTCTGTATTTTGGACTGGAAGATTGTAGGTCTCGCCGTTACTCATCGCAATCCGCAATGAGAAGGCTAACTGTTGATGCCCATGGGGGCTCAGATCAGTCATAGAGAAACAAAACCACAAGAACAAATCCCCTCCAATCTACCAGATTCCTACCGAATCGCACGAATCCGCCTTACGCAAATTTACTTGCTTCCCCGAAGATCAGCTATTAGTCCTAGGACCACGTCGCGTGCCTCCGATCCCGACCCCTCCGATGAACACGAACAACTCGGTGGCTATCATGACGGCCTTCGGATTCCGACAGCTAGAGGCCAACCAGTATGTCGAGGCGGTGCATAAACTACGTCCGGATATTGTCGTTGGTCTGGCGGATTTGGTTGTAGGACAACAGCCTGGGTACAAAAGGCGGGGGAAGATGGTTGATCGGACCCATGGCTTCACGATGCATGCCACTGATCATTTATACGGAAAGGCGGCCCCGGAAGACAATCGTTCCAAGGCCGCTTACTTCGCGCCGGTGCTGCCACTAGATAATACGGAACAGATGATCTACCTGGATGAGCTCGGAAGTGATCTGCGACCACACATCGCAGGCCTCGCATTGTACGAGTCGGGGTCGCTATCCGTCTTGCCCGATGCCCTAGGCGACCTGTCGCGACTGCTTCTCAGCGAGCCGGCTACGCCCCAGGATGTTCTGCGCCAGGTATCCCTCGGTGCAGACCTACTCACTGTGCCTTTCATCGGCGTGACTTCAGATGCCGGCGTAGCGCTGGAGTTTTCATTCCCAGCTCCGTCTGAAGTAAAGGCCTCCGAAGCCCGACCGCTTGGCTTCGACCTGTGGTCATCTGCACACACTTTCGACACTTCGCCGTTGGTCGAAGGATGCCAGTGCTATACCTGCCGGAATCACCATCGCGCCTACATCCACCATCTCCTAACCGCCAAGGAAATGCTGGCGTGGACCCTCCTACAGATCCATAACCACCACACAATGGATCAGTTCTTCCACCAGATTAGAGAAAGCATTCAGCGCGGAACCTTTGAGACCGAAGTCCAAGCCTTCGAGCGATTCTACGTCTCCGAGCTCCCCAAACAGACCGGCCAAGGCCCTAGGTGCGTTTCCACCCACCCCGGATATCTACCAGGTATCCCCTGGTTGTCGAATAAACATCCCCAACCCGATAAGCTAGGTAGGTAGCTAGGTAACTAACAAGCATCCACAGACTTCGCGGCCACCAAATCGACCCATCGAAAGCGAGTCAACCCCGTCGGAATCCTCGCGGATTCGGTCGACTTGACGACGCGCTCGAGAAATTCGCCGAGTCGCAGTCCTCCGTCGCCACGCCCGATACTGATGCCTCGGGCCTTGAAGCTCACGGATTCGCAACGAAGCAACTTTCATGATCACACTTTTTTTTGTGGTTTACTCTTTTGCACTTTTCCCCTTGCTGTCTTTTGCATGGATAGAAATGCATACGGCTATTGCATACATACCTATATATACATAGCTCAGGCGTTGTGGATTGGCTTTTTCAGACAGCATTCTGACCTGTAGTTTCATCTTTATCTTTATCTTTATCGCTATTGCTATCTCTATCTTTTTTATTTTTATTCTCTCATACGAAATACACATTACATATCTTTATTATACTATATAAACAAGGGCATATAATCCATTTTGATCATAAAAACCCGTTTTGACATGCATATGGAACAGACAGCAAAAAGGACCATCAAAAGGACCATCAAAAGGACCATCAAAAAAAGTAGAACGTTAGAAAAGAAAAACAAAGTCGTTAGATTCAAATTATAGCAAGAAAAAAAAAAGCAAGGGTAAAACAAAAAAGAAAAGGAATTGCACGAGCATCAAGTCTATTTGCTATTGATCAAAACCCGCCACATGAACTTCAACTCATCCTCTTCTTCCTGAGAGCCGATCTCGGTGCCAGCGCCGAAGTCCTGGCCGACGACACATACCAACCAGACGTCGTTCTTGGTGTCGTCGAGGAACTTCCCAGCGGCAGAATCGCGCGGGTAGATGCGTCGCCACTCGTCCCAGATGCGGAAGGCTTCGTCGCCCCAGGCGCGGAAGCTGACCTCCTCGATGATGGTCGGGGTGACGATTTCCTTGCCGCGGAAGACACCCCAGGTGACGGCGTTGACGTTGGCCGGGTTCATTTCCAGCGGGTCGGCATCGGAGGTCGGGCCGGGGAGCGAGGTCTCGAAGTCGCCGTGCACGTTGGCGGCGAACCAAGCCAGCTTCTCGTGGCCGTGGCGATTGAGGGCGGGCTTCAGCACTTTGTGGTAGTCGGCGGAGGGGCAGAAGAACTCGACGAAGGGCTTCTGGAACACGAAGCCCTCACCAGGAGGGCCCCAGCCGAAGACGGGGTCGGAGCTGCGGATGCCGTTGACCGCGGGTTGCGAGGCCAGGGTCCACCAGCCCTTCTTGTCAATCAGCTGCAGCAGCTCAGGTCGGATGGTTTCGGTTTCGGCGTTGAGGCCGTTGCCGCCTTCTTCGGCGCCACCTTCGGACCAGGGCACGATGTATAGGTCACCCGACACGTGGCGGCGGAAGAGGGTGCTGATATCCTCGCGAGACGCCGGGTGGCCCCAGATACGGTGTGCGATGGCGGGTTGAACGTGAAGCGAGGGCCCGTAGCCGTCGATCTCACCGAATGCGGGAGAGCGAGCGTCTCCCCATCGACCGTTGGGGAAATCATCCCAGGTCGCCTCACGGCCTAGGGCTCCCAGACCTTCGGAAATCTGTAGGGTGGTGTTGCGATCCGGTGCCATGGCCGGCATACCGGCACTGGTCGCGGGGGCCTCATGTGAGGTAGAGTCCTTGGACGAACCTCCGGGCGTCTGTACCCTGTCGACAATGACACGGTTGTGAGGGAGAGAGTTGATGGACGAGGCCCGTCGGCGGGTGAGAGAACGGATAGGCGCACCGTTCGGCGCCACGTAGGAAGAAGAGTCAAGGGCCGATAGACTACCACCGTCGACCAGGGCATCGGAGTATTCCGAGAACGGAGGGATCAGGTCGCAGCGTTCAAGAATGAACGACACCGTCTTCTCCAAGTTGAGCGTGTAGAAGTGGAATCCGCGGGGTGCCGGGGTGGCTATGTCCCTCATGCCGTCCACGATGTTACTGATGATATCGACACCGATACGCTTGACAGCGTCATCGTCGTGTTTGGCCGCCTCAAGTTTGGAGAGGATATGGGGCGGGATTTTGACATGACTAAGCTTGGTGACTCGAGTCAAGATCTTATAACTATGAATAGGCATCAGGCCTGGCACGATAGGAATGGTCTTGAAAGCCCCAGACTCATGAGATCGCAGCCGGTTCTCGAACTTGGTGTAGGCATCGATGTCATATGTCAACTGAGTCATGATGAAATCGGCCCCCGCCTTCGTCTTCTCGACCAGGTAGGGTAGGTCTCGCTCGGGATCCTGGACATCCTGGAACGAGTCGGCCGGATGGCCCTCTGGGTAGGCAGCAACACCGATGCAGAAGTAGTCGCCATGCTGCTGCCGGATGTACCGTACCAAGTCCACCGCGAACATGAAGTCCTTGTTGCTGTCGTCCTCGCCGTGCATGTTGTATTCCTCACTCCGGGGCGGATCACCTCGCAGCGCCAGGATATTACGGATACCCAGTACCTTGGCCTCCTCCAGCGCATGATCCACCAAGGCTCGACTCATGTTGGTACAGGTCAGGTGTAGACATGTCGTCAATTGCAGCTGGCGCTGGCAAATCTCGGCCAGCTCCAGTGATCTCGTCGCAGTGCTTCCTCCGGCTCCCCAGGTGACGGTGACGAAGAGTGGTCGCAGCGCCTGAGCCATACGCTCCAAACGGGCTTGTAGATTGGCAAAACCCTGTCACGATGCATGTCGGTTAGCGAACTCATGGGCCTCCAAAGAGGAAGTGCGGGGCGAAAAGAGGCAACCCCACCATCTGCGTTTTAGGAGGGAAGAACTCCAGCGAGAAATAATTCGCATCAGGCGGCAAAGCCGCGATCTTATCGGTGATCTTCTCCATGGCGAGACTCGAGCGGTGGAGGCGACGAGAGCGATAGGAGAAGGGAGGTGAGGAAGTGGAAGAGGGAAGAAGAAGAAAGGCAGACGGCGAGAACAGAACTGCCCGAGTGGTGCTGCGGGCGGCCAACGGGAGCCCTCCGATCGTCGCCGTGAGGAGAATGGCTGGACAACTCCGTTCACGCCCTCAACCAGGCTCAGGCGCGTGTTCTGACCGGCTCTGAATTGCTGCGACTCTCTTCTGGGTGGATCATTCCATATCGCAAAGAAATCCCCGGCCAAAGGGAGCATATAAAATTCGCCCGGTGAGGTGCAAACACCGCAAACACCGCCGGCCAAAGAAATTGTGCTGATAGTTTCAATCTTTCTCCCTTCAGACATCTCTCACCATGTTCTCTCTACGACCCTCGCTACGTCCCCTTCGTTTTTCGCCATGGAGGAAGTCCCCTTCGCGACCTTATTCATCGCCCGGTCCAGCTTCGTCATCCCCCAAAGACTCCCGTTCTCGTTTGCGCCGCCTCAATGATCGCCTGCCGTCGTTTCTGCGGACCTACACGACGCCGCTCCTGGGGGCTCCCGGAACGCACATCACCTCCTTTCTTATCTTACACGAGATCACAGCGATCGTCCCCCTCTTTGGTCTGGTGGGGGCCTTTCATTATGGGAATTGGCTACCGGATCTGACGTCGAGTGGTGCATTCGAAGACGGCACGCGGCGCTTTGGCCGGTGGTTGCGCAAGAAAGACTGGGTAGAGGAAGATGCGGAGGTGGACATGGAGTTGCTGGCGAGGGAGCGAAGGGAAGGGTCGGCCGACTACAAAGGCTTGAGCTCTCCACGGGACGGAGAGAAGAAAGGCATGCGTTTAGTGTGGGAGTTCGCGACGGCTTATGCAGTCACGAAGGCTCTGCTGCCGCTGCGAATCGCCGCCAGCGTCTGGGCCACGCCGTGGTTTGCGAGAACCGTTCTGGGTCCCGTCGGGGGGAGAATCCAGACGCTGTTTCGGCGGAAGTAGATCGCGCTGGGGTTGGGACCTAATTCCCCGGAGTTTCTTGTCGGCATGCGGCCTCGCTGTGCAGAGTGACTATATTCCCCTTCTCTTTCACCTCTCACTCCGTCACCTTTATCACGCCCTGAGCAGGCTCAGGTCACACGAAATGTGATAATTGGACCGCCTAGGGGAAGGTACTGGTTATCTAGAGGATTCCTGGTTCTGATTCATTATTAAAGAGTTTCCATAAGTAAATACTTAAAACAAATGTTTAATTATGTCACTGGAGGTCTAGAAACACAGCACTGATCGGTGATGAGCAGGCTGGTAGAAGTCGGCATGCCATATATCTTCTCTTTTAGCTAAGCTAACTATATGACAAACTCATAAGCTCATGCCTAGTCAACCAATCCACGAGCGTGCTCAGATCCACTGGCTTCGGGGTTGAGCTCAATGCCGATGATTAGGAACCATGACACTGATTAGGAATCCTGAGTATTCGAACCTGCGTCCGCGGACAGACAGAAATCGGAAAATTAACAGAAAACTTTGAATATTTAAAATGGATCCGGTAGAGTCTCAAGTAGATCATTTCATGATTGGTTTGGTTCTACGGAGTAGTCGAGTACAAAAAGCAGCAATGTCTTCGATCCTTCTTATTACCGGTGCTACCGGGAAACAAGGTGGCAGTGTGATCAACGCACTTCTTCAACAGGACGCAGGTATCCAGATATTGGCCGTCACTCGCGATGCCAATTCAAACGGAGCCCAGAAACTCAAGCGCAAGTCACCCAAAATTGAACTAGTCGAAGGCAACTTCGACCAGCTTGACGACATCTTTGCGAATGCTAAAAAGTTCACGTCTGAGCCCATCTGGGGTGTTTTTGGCGTTCAGGTATGATATTACAACTTCGCAGAAGAATTTGTTTTCAGTATCCTGATTGTCATGATCCCAGTAATGGGTGGTAACAGCCAGGATGCCGAAGAACGACAAGGCAAAGAACTGGTTGATGCAGCCCTGGAAAACAATGTCAAAGTCTTCATCTATTCATCAGTAGATCGAGGTGGAGAGGCTTCATTTGATAGTCCTACGCCAGTCCCACATTTCATCAGCAAACATAGCATCGAGCATCATCTTATCGAGAAAACTAAAGGCACCGAGATGAAGTGGACAATTCTCCGCCCGGTCGCCTTCCTGGACAATTTCTCTCCTGGTTTCAGCGGAAAGGGGTTTGCGGCCACATGGAAGATCTATGTCAAGGAAAAGCCCTTACAACTGATCTCCGTGGGAGATATTGGCTACTTTGAGGCCCAGGCATTCATGAATCCACACCAGTGGGAAAACAAGACCCTCTCTTTGGCTAGCGATGAACTCACATTCGAGCAAATGGCAAAGATCTTCAAAGAAAAGACTGGTCGAGATGTACCAACTACTTTCAGCTTCATTCCAGCGATTCTAGCGATGATGCTGAAGGATTTCGGGTACATGTTTAAGTGGTTCTACGATACAGAGTATGGAGCTGATATCCCCACCCTGAGGAAGATCCACTCGGGTTTGAAGGACTTTGGAACTTGGCTCGTGACTGAAAGTGGGTTCGTGCAAAAGTAATGGAATCGTTCTTTCCTTTTCTGCTCTGTAGGTGGAGTGTTGTACACCATCTGGACCTTGCCAGCGATGTCGGCCAAGACGACATGATGGTGAAGGACAACGAATCAGGTTGTGCACAGCTTGCCAAATGGATTCTTGTTCAGATGTGGCCTCTTCGGCATCCAGTTGGACGTCTCGTCTCGCCCATTGAGCATCCGTTGAGTGGCCGATGACCTCCCTCTTTTTTTAGCTCTACCCGACGTAGTTTTTGTTGGTGAGATGCAATGTCACCGGACGCTGTTGGGTTCGCAGAGGGTGAGCTCGCCTCAACGATGTAGGGCACTATATATGGCGGGTTGGATGGTGGAATCCCTACGGGATTCCATGTTGGTTCGGGGTGTGATTGTATCAACTCCCAACAAAAAATACATGGCTGTAATGAAGGTGGCACCGTGACTCTGTACATACAGTTTATTTTATTTTTCATAACGTCTTGACTGATATAGTAGTATCATCTACCGCCTCCTACATACACATGATAACGGGACACGGCTCCTGCGAGGGAAGATCGAAAAGAGAAATTTAAGCCTTCTCGTAGATCCAGTCGAACTGGCTCTGCTTGTAGCTCTGGAGCTCCTCCTTCTTGAACCAGAGGGCAATCTCCTTCTGGGCGCTCTCGACGCTGTCGGAGCCGTGGCAGACGTTGCGGCCGACGTCCTATTGAAGAATTAGTACACCTCCATCGATGAGTTCATCGGACAGAACTTACGATGGCGAAGTCACCACGGATGGTGCCGGGAGCGGAGGCGAGGGGGTTGGTGGCACCGAGGATGGTACGGCCGGTCTTGACGACGTCCTTACCCTCCCAGACCATGGCGACGATGGGGCCGCTCAGCATGTCTGCATTGGACGTTAGTGTTTGCCGATCACATTCCCAGTGTTCACACTTACAGGAGACGAGGCCGGGGAAGAAGGGCTTGGAGGAGAGATCAGCGTAGTGCTTCTCGAGGTGCTCCTTGGAGGGAGAGGTGAGCTTCAGGGCAACGAGCTTGAAGCTATATGAATAATTAGTATTCAGAACCATCATGATGCTGGTAGGCATAACTCACCCACGGTTCTCGAAGCGGGAGAGGATGGGGCCAACGAGTCCACGCTAATAATCAGTTAGTTTTTGATCAGAATGCAGACATGTTCGACCGAATGTAAAGCGGGCCGAGTTCAATTGGTCGTACCTGGACACCGTCGGGCTTGATGGCAATGAAGCTGTAGGAGGATCATTGGTTAGCGGGGTCGGTGAAGTGAGGGGCATATTCACGGCGAGAACACAGGAAAAAGAAGAAAAGGGAAGTAAGGAGGAAGAGAGGACCAAAGGAGAAGTGATGGATAGACATGAGATGAAGGTGAACTTACGTCTGCTCGGAAGACATTGTGATGGATGATTGACTGAAGAGATACGGGATCAATTCGAAAGCGATTGAAGAAGAGAGAAGAGAAACTTCGTGTGAGTTGGCGAGAGAAAATATCATATAAATGGATGCCCGCAAAGTGGGGCACCGAGGGGCTGTCGGCGCCTGATACCTGCCTGGACACCTGGCGGCCTCAGGCAAGAGGGTCCCCCACCCCAACGGGCCTAGTGCGGCACTAGGCCGGAACGGGAGCTCTCCACGTTCTCTCCATCAGGCCAGGCTGGACCGATCCTCCATCAGATCAATCATTATCATCATCCATCCCATCTGCAGGACGACCCGACAGCGGCCTGTACTCTAGTGTGCTGTAACCTGTCCCTCCGGATAGATGCAGCTCGCCATTTCTGAGATCCATTGCACTGTCGGAGGCTGACAGTTTTGGCTCTGCATTTTGTGAGCTTAACCATGGCCGGGAGCCGGCCTATGTCCGCCTGGACGATGTTGTTTTCCTGGGTCATCCTGTTAGGGTGTCTCGTCATCCCCGGAGGTGAGAAAAGTCCATCCATCGCCATTTGTCGGTCATACTAAGCTTGGATGCCTTAAATATAGTCTCCGTGAAACACGAGAACTTCAAGAAATGCTCGCAGTCCGGCTTCTGTAAGCGAAACCGAGCGTTAGCCGATGATGCCTCCGCTAAGGGCTCGTCGTGGAGCTCCCCCTACGAACTGGATCCTTCTTCGATTCATTTCCAAGATGGTCAACTACAAGGAACAATTCTGAAATCAATTTCCTCGGACCAGAAGGTCGAACTTCCTCTGGTGGTATCCTTTCTGGAATCGGGTGCCGCTCGTGTCGTGATCGACGAAGAAAAGCGACTGAAGGGCGATATCGAGGTTCGTCACAACAGCAAATCACGAAAGCAACGGTACAATGAGGCAGAGAAATGGGTCTTGGTCGGTGGTCTTGAATTGAGCAAGTCTGCCGCCCTGAACCCCGAAACGGAGGCTGGAATCACCAAGGTCCTGTATGGACCCGAAAATAAGTTCCAGGCCATCATCAGCCATGCTCCCTTCAATGTGGACTTTCAGCGTGACGGTGAAACCCATGTTCAATTCAACCACAAGGGGTACCTGAATCTGGAGCATTGGCGACCGAAAGTGGACGCCCCTGAGGGTGAAGGGGAGGAGAAGGCCGCCGAATCCAAGGAAGACGAGAGTACTTGGTGGGAGGAGACCTTTGGTGGAAACACCGACTCTAAACCTAGAGGCCCGGAGAGTGTCGGTCTAGACATCTCGTTCCCCGGCTACAGTCATGTATTCGGTATCCCGGAACATGCTGACTCGCTCTCTTTGAGAGAGACTCGGTACATATTCCCTGCCCATTATTGCCTATATTTCCAAGCTAATGAATTACAGAGGTGGTTCCGGCAACCATGAGGAGCCTTACCGGATGTACAATTCGGATGTCTTTGAGTATGAACTAAACAGCCCTATGACCCTGTATGGCGCCATTCCTTTCATGCAGGCACACCGAAAGGACTCTACAGTGGGTGTATTCTGGTTGAACGCCGCCGAGACCTGGGTGGACATTGTCAAGTCCAGCTCCTCCGTCAACCCCTTATCTTTAGGCGTCAAATCCAAGACCGATACTCAGAGTCACTGGTTCTCGGAGGCTGGACGAATTGATGTCTTTGTTTTCTTGGGGCCCACGCCGCAGGATCTCACTAAAACATACGGGGAGCTTACCGGCTACACTCAGCTGCCTCAACACTTCGCTATCGCGTACCACCAATGTCGCTGGAATTACATCACTGACGAAGACGTCAAAGAGGTCGACCGCAACTTTGACAAGTACCAAATCCCTTACGACGTCATTTGGCTTGACCTTGAGTACACCGATGACCGGAAATACTTCACATGGGACCCCCTCACCTTCCCCAACCCAATCGGCATGGAAGAGCAACTCGATGACTCTGAGCGTAAGCTCGTGGTCCTGATTGACCCCCATATTAAGAACAAGGACAAGTACACTATTTCGGAAGAGCTGAGGAGCAAGGACTTGGCCACCCGGAACAAGGATGGCGACATCTATGAAGGTTGGTGCTGGCCTGGATCGTCAAACTGGGTTGATTGCTTTAATCCCGAGGCTCTCAAGTGGTGGAAGACCCTCTTCAAGTACGACAAATTCAAGGGCTCAATGGGAAACGTTTTCATCTGGAATGATATGAATGAACCCTCGGTCTTCAACGGGCCTGAAACCACTATGCCAAAGGACAACCTGCACTACGGTGACTGGGAACATCGTGACATCCATAATGTCAACGGTATCACCTTAGTGAATGCAACCTACGATGCCTTGCTAGAGCGCACGAAGGGTGAAGTTCGTCGTCCCTTCATCCTCACCCGGTCTTATTACTCTGGCGCTCAGCGGATGTCCGCCATGTGGACGGGTGACAACCAAGCCACTTGGGAACATCTTGCCATCTCCCTTCCGATGGTTCTGAACAACGGTATTTCCGGCTTTCCGTTTGCCGGTGCCGATGTTGGTGGCTTCTTCCACAATCCGAGCAAGGAGCTTCTCACGCGGTGGTACCAGACTGGTATCTGGTATCCTTTCTTCCGCGCCCACGCGCACATTGATACTCGCAGGCGAGAGCCGTACTTGATTGCCGAACCCGAACGGTCTATTATTGCTCAGGCAATCCGCCTGAGATACAGCCTTCTGCCGGCCTGGTACACTGCCTTCCATGAAGCGTCGGTGAACGGAACGCCTATCGTGAGACCGCAGTACTATGTCCACCCTTCGGACGAGGCTGGGTTTGCCATCGACGACCAGCTCTACTTTGGCGCTACCGGCCTTCTCACCAAACCTGTCGTTTCCGAGGGGACCGACTCGGTGGACATCTACATTGCCGACGACGAGAAATACTACGACTATTACGACTACACTGTTTATCATGGTGCTGAAAAGACTCATAAGGTCCCTGCTCCTCTTGAGACAGTACCGTTGCTCATGCAGGGTGGCCACATCATTCCTCGCAAGGATCGTCCTCGTCGCAGCAGCGGATTGATGAGATGGGACCCATACACCCTTGTTATCACCCTGGACAAGAACGGTGACGCTGAGGGCACCCTCTACGTGGATGACGGAGAGACCTTTGAATATGAACGTGGTGCCTACATCCATCGCCGCTTCCAGTTCCACGACTCCACGCTATCATCCGAGGACCTTGCAACCAAGGGACCCAAGACCGCCGTGTATTTGAAGACCATGGCGGATGTTCGGGTGGAGAGAGTGATCGTCGTTGACCCTCCCAAGCAATGGCAGGAGAAGACCAGCGTGACTGTCATTGAGGAGGGATCCAAGGCCGCATCGACCGCGGCGGTGGAATACCACGCCCAGTCCGCCGGCAAGGCCGCGTATGCCGTGGTGAAGAACCCCAAGGTTGGCATTGGCAGGGCTTGGAAGATCGAATTTTAAGCCACAGTGGTATAGATGACGAGTGCGCGTATAAATATGTTGATTCTATACTAAATTCTAGACGTTGATGACCTGTCGCAAGGGAACAAATAATAATAGAATGTAAGGTACATACTTCTGTAGATAATCTCCGCGGCGGATTTAAGGGCGGCGTGGAGCCGCTGAGTCAGCGCCAGGGACGAGGGAAAAAATTGACGCATTCGTTGGCCGCGCATCGCTTTTAGCTCCTGGTCGGTCTGCTTGGCTCCGGTCCATCGCCCATTCTTATTCTTATTCGTATCCTATTTCTTTGGTTTGCTGGTTCTGTCCCTTTTCTTCGCATGGACTCCTTCTGTTAGGTCCCAACTCTCGAAATCCCCTCCTCAAGATCGCCCCCCTGAGCTCTCCTTTCTCCCAATCAATTTGACCGGGCAGAAGCGCGCCTCGTCCTTGGCGATCTACCAGAGTCGATTCATTGATTCTCTCTGTTCTTTATCTACTCGGTTATCCGAAATTCCCGCCGGGGGAGGGCATCCGCACACGCACGATGTATTTGGTGTCGCTGGCTCTCGAATATGGGGCCCCGGTCTTGTACGTGGGGACTCAGTCTGCCTACTATATTCTGAAAAACGTGTTGGAATGCTGACTGGCGCCGCATCATCTAGTCTGATCACCTCTCCTTTAACCTCGTATGCCGATCAGATTCTCAGCATCCATCGCAGTCGGAGTTCGGCCGGGTTTTCCCTGGACATTCCCTTGATCATGCTGGTCGCGTCGGTCTTGAAGTAAGCCGTTCATCTACGTGACAATCTCGCGCGCGACTCTCGATTGACACTCGTGATATAGGGTATTCTACTGGTTTGGCGACTATTATTCAACGGCTTTGCTGGTGCAGGCGGTCATCATGATCGGCGTCCAGATGGTCATGCTGAAGGTTGCGCTGGACAATCGGCCGTCTGCCGGCGCAAGAGATGGTGTCGAGCACGTGCCTTTCAGCAATGCCGATTCTGGCGCCGGGTTTTCGAGGCCGTACGAATTCTGGCAGTGGAAAAGCGCGAAGCCGTATGTGACTCCTCTCCCAGTTTCCTCGGTGTAACGTCCTTGTGACAGGGTCGCTAACATAAGATGGCCGGTAGATACTGGATGTTCTTGGCCTACTTCATTGCTGGACTCTCATTCATCCAATTGTTTTTGTCCCCCATCGCTCAATCGGAGCTCTACATCAACGCCCTTGGCTATACCGGGTTGGCCGTGGAGGCTACCCTTCCGTTACCGCAGATCATCGCGAACCACCGAACCAACTCGTGCAAGGGATTCCGCGTTTCTGTGCTGGCCGCGTGGATTCTTGGAGACCTGATGAAACTCAGTTACTTCTTCTTCAGCGTGGAGGTGATTCCGTGGGCATTCCGCATCTGCGCGATGTTCCAATGCGTTTGCGACCTGTACCTTGGGCTGCAGTTTTGGATGTATACCAGGCCTTCCTTCGCGACGGCCACGCCCAGCAGCTCAGTAGAGCTTGGAGAAAAGGACCTCCGGATGACCTAAACGTACTAACGGCGTTAATAAACTCGCCGAGGCGCTCGATGCGTCGTAAATACACGAGGCCGTGCGTAGGAACGGCGATAATCTTCAACCAAATGGATAGACTTAATAATGCGACTATTTTTCATATCGATAATGAATATCTTTTCAAGCAGAATCCTCAAAAATCCTCCAATAGATTAGATCCCTGGTAGATGGCAGGCCATGGATGACGCGACGCCGCAGGGGAACCCCGCCGTGACCCCACCAAAGCTTGTCTCTTCGTCGGTTTCCTCCCCCTCACTTTCCTCTTCTCTCTTCTCTCCGCCGGCTTGGGAACAGGTTCTATTTGATAGCATCAATCCTTTCTCTACTTGACGACCATCTTCCCTCAACCCGATATCTCTGTTTGTACATACAGCATCATGGCTTCGTCCTCAGAAACCATCCGCATCGGCTACGTCCCCGGTATGGCCCGACTTGCCTTTATATGCGGCGATGGCGGATAGCATTCTTGAATACCAGCTTGCGAAACATAGTAACTGACGCGTTGAACTACGATGCAGAGCACTACCTCACTCCCCTGCACTTAGCCCTCCGCTCGCCGGCCCTGCAATCGCTGCCCTTCAAGGTGTCCTTGGTTCCGTTCCCATCCGGCACGGGACATATGATCACCTCCCTTCGCGAGAAGGAGATCGACATTGGTATTGGATTGACCGAGGGCTGGGTTGCTGGTCTAGCGGGCAAAGCGCAAGCCCAGAAGGATGCTTCCTCCGGGGGTTACAAAATGGTTGGCCAATGGGTCGATACGCCCTTGCGGTGGGCTATCGTGACGGGTCGCAATCGGGATGACATCCAGACGGTGGCTGACCTGAAGGATAAGCGGGTTGGTATCAGTCGGCCGGGAAGGTGAGACAGAACATGCGAAAACTCGACTGAGTGAATGAACCCACTCATACTAATTAGTTGGGAAATCTAGTGGCTCTCATATCATGTCCTTTGTCTTGGCCCAAAAGCAGGGCTGGCAACCCGACTCGTTGACTGCCGTGCCGCTGGGTCCCTTCGGGGCCTTGCGTAACGGAGTCACCGGCTTGGATGACTCGCGCCCGGATCAGAAGCCCGAGCCCACGGCGGAGTTCTTCATGTGGGAGCAGTTCACCACGAAGCCTTACTTCCACCCCACCGCGGAGAAGCCGGAGCCACCGCTGAAGAAGTTTGACGAGATTTACACCCCATGGCCTTCCTGGATGGTGGTCGCGTCGACGGCCATCTTCCCAGACCCGGAACGCGATTCCAAGCTGCAGCAGCTGTTCAAGCTTTTCGACCAGGGCGTCCAGGACTTCGAGGCCGACACGACGCAAGTAGTTAGGCTGCTTGGGACAGGAGAGCTCGGATGCACGTACAACGAAGAGGATGCGAAGGAATGGCTGAAGGATGTCAAGTTTGTCCAAGGGACCAAGGGTGTGGATCGGAAGATGGTAGAGAGCGTGGTAGATGTGCTGAAAATTGCCGGTGTTATCGATAGCAGCATGACTCACGACGAAGCCATTGAGAGGGTCATTGGAATCCACCGGTGATCGGAGGATTCATGATCGACGAGTGAAGACCGCACAGGAAACAGAAAAAATTGGGACGAGCGATTATCTTTGATCGGAACTGCCTTTTCCAGGGTGCACAGGCGTAGGATGTCAGTGTTCAAGGTTTTTCTAGTGGGCCAAGTCAAGTGCCATGTTCTTGCTATCACCAGGACGACAGTCACATTCCTCGTGGCGGGTCGGAGAACATGCGAACATCAATCGAGCTTCTGTAACCCTTGCAGCATTGGGTCTTCTAGAAATGGACACGCAGCCAGCCTGAACCTGGTGACAAGGATAATCCGACTTATGATCACCTACTAAACAGGCTCGGGGTATTTGCTCCTTACGTGTTCCTGGGCCTTACGCTGCAAGTTACACATGGGCTTCAAACTAGACTCGCATTGCATGAGCAGCAACTTTACTGCCATACTTTAGGCATTGTTCGCTCAAATGTAAGAGGGGCGCCTTAACAAAAAAGAACCAACTTGCTGGCCTTGCTTAGCCCTCTCGAAGATCAGACCTACAGTAAATGTCCCGCAAGAGAGTATATTTAAGGTAATGATGTGTCGCAGCTATCTCAGGCTTGTGGTCGAACAAGGCGGGCAACATTCCAAAGACAAGCGCGGTCTCCCGACAACGACGCCGGAATGTATATCGAAAGTGTGCGAGCCAATCGCATATGGCGAGGAAGGTGTCAGCAACGACGATACTGCCCTGTCTAGGAAAATGACAGCTATAGTCGAATATTGAGAATGGATGATCAGCTACTCGGGGTGACGAGTCTCTCCATCAGATATCATCTGTTTGGTGCCCATAACAATGAAATTTGGGGCTCACGACAAGGTTTAAAAAGCCTCATCATACTGGCCTTGGATTAGATTTTGATCTTCGACAAACGAATTCGACAATCTCGACAATCTCAGGGCCCTAGTCACTCTTTCTCTTGTCCACTTTATTTTCTCGTCAAAGTCATTCCTTTGTGATCCGATCCAGACCTCTCTTTACTACAACCTAATCGGTGTCAGCCAACATCATGTCTTTCCTTAAAAACATACTCGCCCTGTCAATGGGTGTGGCTTCTCTGGGAGGAGCCTATGCCAAACTAGATCTTTCTTCTTCTTCGAACGTCGTGGTTTACTGGGGTGGGTTTCTGCTCTTCCTAGAGTTACATATCACTCTATCTAACCTCATGGATCTGTATCACAGGTCAAAACTCGTTTGGTCAAACTGGAGATCTTGCGCAGCAGAGGCTCGGTTATTACTGCGATGGTTAGTGTCGCCATCACTGAATAATAGTTCCTCATTGCTAACCATCATTTAGATTCAAACATTGATGTAAGCCTGGCTTCCAGGCAATTGTACTCGATGATTTGCTCACACTCAAGCACAGGTTATTGTACTTGCCTTCTTGACGACGATCAATGGCCAGGGCGGGGCCCCGGAAGTGGACTTTGCAAACGCTGGCGATAAATGCACTATTATCGAAGGCACTAATCTTAAGAAATGCCCTGAGATTGGGTACGCATCTTCCTTTTCCATCTTAGCAACAGACAATACGGAGGACATGGCTGATTCTCTGCAGAGAGGACATCACCACATGTCAGAAAAAAGGAAAAAGCATCATCTTGTCGATTGGTGGTGCTACTTACAGTGAAGGTGGCTTTCAATCTGAGGCTGCCGCCAGAGATGGAGCCGATCTAGTCTGGAAGACGTTCGGACCGGCGTCTGACACAGCTCATGTCAACACCACCGTTCACCACAAGAACAGCACCCACAGCCCCATCCACAACAGCATTGTCCGTCGTCAGAACCAAGTCCGACGACCTTTCGGAGATGCCGTGGTGGATGGATTTGACTTCGACTTTGAGGCTCACGTCGAAAACATGGCTCCGTTCGCGAACCGGCTTCGCGAATTGTCGGATGCCGACACGTCCAAGCAATACTTTTTAACCGCTGCGCCGCAATGCCCCTACCCCGACGCAGCAGACAAGGACATCCTGAACGGCCCAGTGTCCATCGATGCCGTCTTCGTTCAATTCTACAACAACTTCTGCGGAGTCGGGTCTTTTGTCGAGGGCCAGGACACGCAAAACTCTTTCAACCTCGAGACCTGGGACAACTGGGCCAAGAACGACTCCCAGAACAAGAAGGCCAAGGTTATTGTCGGCGTTCCGGCCAACACTGGAGCGGCTGGCTCCGGATACATCCCCGTCACGAAGCTGAAGTCCGTGGTCGAATACAGCAAGACCTTTTCCAGCTTTGGAGGCGTCATGATGTGGGATGTCAGCCAGGCTTATGGAAACGACGGCTTTCTTCAGGGAACTCGCCAGGCTCTGGGAAGCAGCCAGTCTCGCATCTCGTCCCGTCCTTACCGCTACCACCCAATCCGCTGGTAGAGTAGATGACCCACGACTCCATTTTGTCTCAGCTCAGATGCGCTTCGTGCCAGGGTGGGGATTTCTATGGGGCAGTTCATTGTTTATATTCAGTTCTCGGGGACATGCCCGACACCAAGCAAGGGGAAGCGCTGTGTATATATAGTCTGATATCATTCTACTTAATATCTAACATCTAATAACTAATCATTGACGCCTAATCTTTAATTTATTCTTATATTAATCGCGCGAATTTGAGTTGTTTTGAGTCTCTTGTGTTGTCGATCCCAATGGAAGGATGAAGTTAGGGTTTGCCGGCACGTGCCTCGACGCCATCGCCATCGTGTCACGCTATGGCCTCATCAATCATCCTTCTTCCTTCTCATTTTCTTCAGCTCACCTGCATCCAGATCATTCCCCTCTTCTCCTTGCACCAGACTCGATCTCCCGACCAATCAGCCCCACCCTTGTCTGCTCTGCAATCAAGGCATCGACTCGAGCGACCAGCTCGGGATCTGCACGCGGCATGAACTATTGGCTCGCAGCCCTGCCGATCACCTTGAGGTGGCATCGCGATTTCGGCCTGCAGGAGGGCAAACACTTCGGACTGCATTCTTAGTAGACATGCATTCACTCCACCTCACGGCTCGCGTCGATTCCAGCGCATCCAGCCAGCCACCAGGGTGGGCTTGCCTTCTTGGCTGCATCCATGGTGCATCCATGCCACGATGATCATGCTCAGCTCCTCCTCCAAATTTCGATCATAAAAGGACTGGCTCTGGCTCCCGAGACCTGGCTGTCACTCCTCTCCAGGCCCGGTGATCTCCCAGCTGGTAGTACTAAGTAGTCAAGTCGTTGTTGTCCAGGTCGGTCGGCAAGCCATTCAATTCTCCTTCGCCGTCGTCAAGCTTGCACCATGGCTCCCAAATCCCTTCTCTACTCGCTTTTCTCTTCCCTGACCGTCGCTTTGGCGGCCTCTCTGCCCCAAACCGACTATGAGGTTATGGTCATTGGCGGAGGCCCGGCCGGTCTCAGCGCTCTGAGCGGTCTCTCGCGAGTCCAGCGCAAGACGGTACTTTTCGATTCGGGCGAATACCGTAATGCTCCGACTCGGAACATGCACGATGTGATCGGGAACGACGGTACGAACACACTCTCCTACAATTCTTCCTACATCTCCCCCTCTTCCCCACATAACTCACAAACCCTAGGCACCGTCCCCAGCGAATTCCGCGGTCTTGCCCGCGAGCAAATCTCCAAATACACCACGGCCTCGTTCGTCGACAAGAAAATCACCTCCATCACCCCGGTCACCGACCCCGCCGCCAACACCTCCTACTTCAACGCCACCGACGCTGACGGCGCCGTGTACTCCGCCCGCAAACTCATCCTCGGCACCGGCCTCGTCGACGTCCTCCCCGACACCCCCGGCCTCCAAGAAGCCTGGGGCAAGGGCGTGTACTGGTGTCCGTGGTGCGACGGCTACGAGCACCGCGACCAGCCCTTCGGCATCCTCGGCGAACTCCCGGACGTGGTCGGCAGCGTCCTCGAAGTCTACACCCTGAACACCGACATCATCGCGTTCCTGAACGGCACGCACACCCCCGCCGCCGAGGCCGCCCTTGCAGCCAAATACCCGAACTGGAAACAGCAGCTCGAGACCTACAACGTGCGTCTCGAAAACGCCTCCATCGCGTCCTTCGAGCGCATCCAAAATGGTGCCGAGCACACGGACGACAAGGGCCATCAATTCGATATCTTCCGCTTGCATTTCACCAATGGCTCCACTGTTGACCGGAACGCGTTCATCACGAACTACCCGTCCGTCCAGCGCTCTTCGATCCCCACCTCTCTCGGCCTCGCTATGAAAGACGGCAAGATCGATACTAGCATTAACCCCGGAATGCGAACCAGCTTGCCCGGCGTCTTTGCCATCGGGGACTGCAACAGTGATGGGAGCACGAATGTCCCGCATGCGATGTTTAGTGGGAAACGCGCGGCGGTGTTCTTGCATGGTACGCTTCCCATCCCCCTCTGTCTATCCTCTCATCCCTCCTTTCTTCTCTCTCTATCCGTCCGCTACAGGATTAAGGAAGCTAACAAATCGTAGTCGAACTAGCCAAGGAAGAATCCGCAGCGGCTATCGAGAAACGAACCCTGCCATCCAAGCGTGCCATGCTCAAGGCCGCCGAGCGCAGCATGGGCAATGAGCTAGAGGAGTTGTGGAAACGCGCTCGGGGACTGTAAAGGGACTGACTGTGGATGGTCAATGGGATGGATTGTGCATTATGGGGAATGAGGATGGATGAACATACTACGTAATTACTTATGAATAGTAACTGAGTTAATACTTAAATTTGACTACATGTAATGTGGCTTTTGACAATGAGTAGTAATTAAGTTTAGTATATAAGGGATGTGCTCGAGTGCCTCATTTTATATAACGCGAGTTACCGATATTTACTCTACGATTAATTGGGTTAAAGTAATATAGTTATATATCCACAATTAACGTATCAAAAAAAAAAAAAAAAAAAAAAAAAAACTATTAGGTGTTAAATAAAATATATCAAAAAATCCAAATCCTCCACGACCTTCCAAAGAGTATCATAATAAACAGACCAAAACAAGGTTTATCGAAATTTTGTCTTTTTCTTGTTCAATGCCACGTTCGAATTCTCGATGATACTATGTATACCCACCAGTTCCGTCTGTACTTCGTCACCCAATAAATCAATCGACTTCTTCCTCCTCCTTGCTGGTAGCCAAAAAGAAGCGACCCGGTGGCTCGCCGGGCTTCTCATATTCGACCGTCAGACGGGAAAGATGACCCAGTAGGTTCTCGAACTTGAGCGCGTTCTTGTCTCGCTTCTCGCGGCCGAGATCATCCAGCCACTTGAACTTGTTCAGCATGAAGTATACCAGAGCAATGACGATCTCTACGCCCAGGGAGTAACCCCACACGCGAACCACCGTGACGATATCGGTCCAACCGTTCGTGGTCTCGACGAACTTGTCCGCCGGGTTGGTGGGCATGTTTTGGTTACTAAACCAACCAAACAAGCAGAAGATAGTCGCAAGGATGTCCACGCCTAAAATGGCCGTCACCAGGTGGATAGATGGCCAGGTGTCGGCACCGCGCGTGACGAAGATGAGCCAATTCTCGGTGAGAGCCACCTCGAGGAACAGAACCTCTTGGATCGATCCCCAGTTCTGGATAATACCACCTGAGGGAAGGAACATGCTGCCACGAACCACCCACGTTCCCAACGCGAGCAAAACACCAAGAAGCACCGAAATAAACCAAATCTTCGGAAGTTGCCATTGGACCGGTCGTAGTTCAAAAGAGGCATTGTCATAAGCCACCGCAACAGTTGCCAAGTCGGCGAAAAGGGCAAGGAAAACGATCAGCTCAACCCGAATGCTTTCGTTAATAATGATCATAGAGGTGACCAAATAGATTTCCAGATGCAAGCAAAGAGCAATTCGGTACTGAATGTATGCTTTCATGCGATGAAAAATTTGGCGCGCGACCTTAATCGAGTCGATGATAGTCGAAAGTCCCGGCTCCAAGAAAACAATGTCCGAGGCTGATTGCGCTGCCTCTGAAGCACCCTCAACGGCAATACCACAATCCGCCTTTTTCAATGAGGGCGCATCGTTCACGCCGTCGCCGGTCATAGCTGTCAAATGACCTCGCTCTTGAAGCATTTGCACCACTTGATATTTATGTTCCGGAAAAACCTCTGCGAAACCATCCGCTTTTTCAACCAAGTCACCCGCCATGGCTCCACTCAGGCCGCCGTGAATCAGCTTGTCGGAGTTGTACACTTTCGTTCCGAGAGCCAGCATTTTGCAGGTTTCCTTAGCAATAGCCAGGGCGTCTCCGGTAAGCATTTTCACACTTATACCCAGGTTCTGTGCTTCATGGATTGTTTGCGCCGTATCCTCTCGCGGGGGGTCAAACATCGGAAGGATGCCAAGCAAGGTCCAATCTTCTCCCTCCTTTTGCACTGCAACTCCCAAAGACCGGAATCCGCGATGCGCGAACTCCTGTGTCTTTGCTTTGTAGTGGTCCGCCGTCTCTTTCGAGCAGTTAGACAGCTGCAGCACTGCCTTTGGAGCACCCTTCGTGCAAGTGTACCTAATTCCATCGCAGGTAGCAACAGTCACAATTCGCTTGGACACCGGGTCAAACGGTTGAAATTTCTCAGTTTCCCAACCCCGGCGGAGAATCTCTCTTGCTTTGGGATACTGCCTTAGCGAAAGGATGGTCACTTTATCAATCGGATCCAGCGAGTCAATGTTATGCGAGGACGCAAGAACAGCAACGGCAAACATCCAGTCAAGGTCAACCCCCTCGGCGACATAAGGGTTTCGAATACTAAGTTTGTTGGCCGTCAGTGTGCCGGTTTTGTCGGAACACAAGATGTCCACACCCTGTTTGTATTGGTCATTAGCTCCCATTCTAAGAAGTCGATGATGAGTGTGGGTTAAACATACCGCCAGCGATTCGATGGCTGTGAGTTTCTGCACGATCGCCTTTTTCTTTGCGAGGTATGCGGCTCCAACGGCCATAGTTGTGGTGGTCACCACAGGAAGACCGACGGGAACACCAACAATCAACAAAGCAAGGGTATAGTGGAGAAGAGTCTGCTGGCGAGGAGAAGCAATTGGCAGATGACGAAAGAAACCACCGATCCAGGCAGCTAAAATCCATGCCATAACCAGAATCAAAAGAGAAGTTCCTATGTTGTCCATCACGAGTTCGAAATGACCAGCACCTTGGGCCCCTTGAACCATGCTTGCCGTCTTACCAACAAATGAGTTTTTCGCGCTGGCCTGTACAATGGCGTAGGCTTTACCTCGTTTACAACCAGTCGTGTAGAAGATCATTTCGCCCATGAAGCGATCGACCGCCAAGGACTCTCCGGTGATAGCAGAGTGATCGCAAGCTAAGATAGGATAGCCTCGCTTTCTTGTCTTTTGTTGTTGCTTTTCGGCATCCTCTTCCTTCTTCTCCTCGCCACCCTCTTCATCCCCGCCTCCATCCATGTCTGACTCTGACGAGCTACTGAGATCACCTTGGTCCTGGAGATTTTTGAAATCCTCGAATCCGCTAGGGTCTTTGAAATCACAGACAACACGAGAATCAGCGGGCACCACTTGACCCTCTCCAATTATAATCTGCCGTTTGTATTAGTGACCAAATGCCTGCCAGTCGAGTTCTAGGGAAAGGCGTTGGGGAGTTGGAGGGCAATCTTGGCTTGTATCCACGTACCACATCACCAGGGACAAGCTCGCGAGCCAGAATCTCTTGTTCCTGGCCGTCGCGGATCACGGTTGCTCTCATTGCAATATCGCCTTTGAGACTAGCAACAACATCTGCTGCCTGTTTTTCCTGGTACCAGCCAACAGCAGCGTTGAGACACAGAATACCGATGATGACACCAAAATCAACCCAGTCCTCCAACCCGGCAGCAAGGAGAACCGCTAGCTCCATCACTATGGTCAAGGTTAGAATATTGCACACGCCAAACTGACCTATTTGGACAAGCACAGGCCGGACGTACCATAAAGAATGGGGCCCCGGAAGTAGGACAAGACCTTCGCGATGGGATTCTCTTTCTCCGACACCAGTTCGTTCCATCCCGACCGACGACGCCTGACAGGGACTTCGCCATCGGGGAGACCTTGACGGATATCGGTGAGCAGCCATTCAGGCGGCAGTTGCTGGGCGTCCTGGTCGACGCGCTTGACATGCACCCTGCGCTTTTTCCAAGGTGCATACCAGACTCGCTTCACCTCCTCTTCACTTTGGCCTGAGCCTGCCTGCCCTTCGCGATAAGTGGAAACATACTTCACTAGCTTCCCGTACTCATCAAGGTTGGCGTAGTCCTCTTTATAGGAAACACGAGAAACGCGCCTTGATGAGCGCCCCTCAGAGACAGAAACGCGACTCTGCTGAGCCCGCTCGGGGTCGCCAGACGCATCGCCGGCAGCGCCTCCATCACCACCTTGCTGAGCCATATTATCCTCGATAGCTTGCTTCGGGCAGCAGGAATTTTGGACGTACTGGGCCCTGTGCTCTTCAGAGCCTTTCAGTTACGGCTCTCAACGAGCTAGGGTACAAAAGTGAATGAATCGAAGTGAAAAAGAAGGAAAAGAAAGAAAGTGCACAAGCAAAACGACGGGACACCCTGCACGAAGAAGCGCTTCTCTCCCCGTCAGACTTTACAGAACTTGCAACAAAGAAGACGGAAGGCTTTTCGATTCGAGAGGCGCAGAGACTACACCCATCCTCCAAGGATTATCCGGGGTCTGTACTACGCAAAGACTATCATGCTGACGTATTCGAGTCCAGTAAGGTTCCAAATGGCTACCCGGTGATAGACACCAATGTAGTAGTAGCGCCCACGAAAAGAAGGCGCTGAGGCCCGGTAGAATGCCTTGGGGTCCCGACCAAGGAAATTGCACATTGCATTCGACTAAGCTGCGACTCTTGACGTATGAGACGGCGGTCAACTACCCGAGAGAACCGTTCTTTCGCCCTATGACGAGGGTCGGTGCGGAAGAGGTCAGGGAAAGACGGTGTGTACCTCAATTAATCCTGGCGTATTACATGTCGATCCTAGAAGATACGAGCAAATTGACTCTGGCGCGATGATCATTTCCAGGGTTCAAGCAGAGAGTGTCAACCCTCAAGTTCGGTGAGAACCACGGAAGGTTCGGAGAGAAACCCCATGATAGAGGGAAGCTTGACGGGTGGGCCGACCCAGTAGTGGAGACCTGGAGAGACCTGCGGAAGCTTGTCTTCGGTTTTCATGCTCCCCTGGTATATTTTCCGGCATATTGTCGCGAAATTGGGAGGTAGAGTGCAAGGACTCGTAGATCATTGATCAATGCGGGAGGAGAATATTCTCCGGTGAGAGATGGGAAGAGAAAGAGGGAAGGATCGAAGAAGAAGAAGAAACAGGAGCAAAAGGGGAGAGGAACGTGATGTCCAAATCGGGACTAGCGGCTTCGGCCTGCATAACTAATCTGGCTGAGTCATCAGAAATTCCATTTTGGGATAAAGCCCTCATGTAACGTCGCCGGCGTCTCGACGTAATCCGTGGCCATCCGTGAACAATAATGGTGAGATATAGACCATGGGCGTCTTACTGTCTGTCCGGACGTCGGGCTTCTTCCCCCCGCTATCCTAGTCAAATCTCCCCACTCGCCCTGGGGAGAGCAATCTTAACGCAGTCCCACTTCGTATCTAAAGACGTATTAACATGCGATATAAACCCTTACCTAATCATTCACTATCCTATCCTCTTTTCTATCCCAGTAGAAATGTTCTGAGGAAAGAAAAGAGAAACAGCTCTCTCAATGTGATACCTCTCCTCCAGGGCCCGATTATGGCAATGCCGTCATGACTATATAAACTTCAAGGAATGCAACTCCGGAGCTGCGGTGGAACCATACTTCTTTGTCCGCTATAACCCGAGAAATACGACTTCTCTTGGACAGTTGTTTATGCCCATATTTAAGGTTTACTTGGGGGAAAGAATGGTAAGTCTGTTAAAATACCATGTAAATCTCCTTTTTTATTATGCCTTGGTAAATCATGTCATATCGTATATGCATAACACGGAAACTCTTTCATCGACACATCTATTTACCGGTCTTTCCGGTGGGGATGTTAAACAGTATGGCCGGCTTTCCGGGCGAGTAGGGCCGGTCGACACGGAAGTAACCCTTGCGCTCGAACTGAATGATATCGCCCTCCTTGAGGTCGGCGACGTTGCCATCAGCCACGGCCTCCTCGCGGGACTCGGCGTGGTAGTTCACGACGTCCTCAAGGGCATCGTTCTCCTCGATGACGTCCTTCTTGAGAAGATAGTCGAAGTCCACGAGCTCCACAGGGATCAGCTCCTGGCCCTCCGAGGACAACCAGGTGACCTTCTTCTCGGTCTTCTTGAAGTCACCCTCCAGGTGAAGTTCCAGTCCCAGCTCCTTGACCGCACCGGATGCGTCGGTCTCGATCTTACGGACGATGGCGTTACCCCAGTTCATGAGGGTGATTTCCTCGTCCTGCTTGAAGCTCTTAGCATCCTCCTGGTCGAACACAAGACTGCCACTGTAGGCAACCTTCTTGGTACCGACAGCAGGGTTCTTGTTGTGCTTGGGCTTGTCCTCAGTGTAGGCGGCGGGAGCTCCGGTGACGGTCGCCTTGACGATGTCCTTCTTGAGGACGGCGGTGTGGCGCGGGGCAACGGGATCAATGTGCTTCTTGTTGGTGGCCCAGAAGACAGTCCAGTCGAGGTTGACGATGTTCTTACTGGGTCCCTGTCTGAGAATGAATTCTCTCAGGGCAGGAATGGTCATTCCACGCCGGCGAATACCGCGGATGGTGGGGAACAACGGCGAATCCCAGCCGGACACAGCGCCCTGGTCAACCAGCTTGGTGAGTTTTCTCTTAGAGAGAAGAGTGCGAACCAAGTTCATGCGAGCAAAGTCCCAGACTTGAACGTTGCGAAGCTTGAGAGTATCGAGAAACCACTGGTACTGAGGGTTCCGGTCACGGTACTCGATGGTTCGAAGGGCATGGGTCACACCCTCGATAGAGTCCACGATCGGACAGCAGAAATCGTAGGTCGGGTAAATCTTCCACTCATCGCCGGTGCGGATGTGCGGCGACGGGTTGCAGCGGTAGATGACGGGATCACGCATGGCCTTGTTCGGGTTGTCGACGGACATCTTAGCACGGATGCACCATTTCAGACCATCGGGCGTACCCTGCTTCATTTCCTCGAAATGAGCAAGGTTCTCCTCCACAGAAGCATCGCGGCGCTTGCTAGGCTCGCCGTTCATTCTCTGGGTAGCCATAGTCTCCTTGTCGGTGTCATCGGCATAGGCGTTTCCTTCCTTGATGATCCGAAGGGCGTAGTCGTACAGCTCATGGAAGTAGTCGCTGGTGTGGCTCATTCTGTCGGGTTTAATGCCCATGAGAGCCAGATCCTCCACAATAGCGTTGGAGAACTCGAGCTTCTCGTTGGAAGGGTTCGTGTCATCGAATCGAACCAGCAGGGTACCGGCGTACTTCTCGTGGGCAAAGTAATCGTTGAGAAGCGCGGCCTTGGCGTGTCCAATGTGGAGGTATCCGGAGGGCTCAGGAGGGAAACGGGTCACAACGCCTTTATCGGTGTTGAGAAGGGCAATGTCGTAGCTGGCACCGGTCTCCTTGGCCTTGGATACCTTCTTCTCCTTGGCGGCGGCAGTCAGGCTTTCAAGGGCGGCGGAGACCCAGGGGCAAAGAGATTCCAAGAAAGTAAACCAACGAGTCAGGTTGGCGAGAGTTCCCTTCCTAATTGCACCAATGGCAACGCGGTTTCCACGGAGAGCACCCCAGAGGGCAATGTCGGCGGTCGAAAGCGAGTAGCCGACCACGAAGGACCGCAAGATGAGGTGGTTGTTCAGGCGCTGAAGCAGCGGGTCGATGGCCTTGAAGTCAAGGGTAGTGTAGGATTCGAGTTGCGAAAGCCATTCGTTCTCCTAGAGGCGAAAGATGTTAGCTCTAGACTTTTCCTTTTTGCTTCTCCCAGTGCAGGCAGGATCGGTCGTTCTTACCAGCTTCTCATCCTTAGCATTGAGGAAAGGGAAGTTCTTCCGCAATTCCTGGATGGAATTCTCAGTGCCATAAGCGGACGAGCCACTGACTCCAGTGAACTGCACCACAGCCCTGTCACCCTGCTCCAGGACAGCGGCGTCCTGGTAAGAGATCGAGATCACCGGAGTGGGGCGGGCCTCGTTGATGGAAGTTGCGACCAGAAGAACCGGAAGCAAAGCGGCCTGGTTGGCCTTAGCTGCCAGAGTCAAGGTCATGTCCGACATGATAGCAACGGCTTCTGAGAGTCGGAATTGAAAGCCTCAAAAGCGTGGATGGTGGGGGAGGAGGAAATGGCGGCGAGAGGGGCATCCGTGCCGATTTGACTCAACCCGATCGGGGTTCCGCCGGCGTCACATTTCTCCGGCCGGACAGAGCGAGAGAGCTTTCGGGCAGAAAACATTCCCCTTCGCCGATGCCATCAGCACTCCCAGGCCTGTCGGGTGGTTCAACAATGTCCTCCTACAATTCCCTCCTGCCCTCGGCGGCGCGGGGACTCCTGTCGTCATGCCGTTTACCTCTCCGCCCGAGTCCAATGGCCCCCGTTTTCTCCAGTGTTCAGCAGCAGGCTCGCGGAATCAAGAGCAACAATCCCCAGGCGCTGGCCAAAAAGGCTAAAGAGAAGAGCTCAAAGAAGACGGGGAAAAAGGGACCCCGGATATTCAGGCAATCGGATCTGAAGAGCGCGCAACAGTTCTCGCTTTGCGAGGCCATGAGGTGGGAACCCATGTGTCGTCTTTCAGCACGGGACTAGAACTGATCGAATCGGCCTTTTAGATACATCCGTGCGTTCGAAGTTGGTCGCGAGCCAACTATCACAAAATACGAAATCCACATCCGCTTGAGGACTCAGAAAGACGGTCCCGTCATCCGTAACATGATCCGATTCCCTCATTCAGTGCAGACCGAATCCCGAATCTGTGTGGTGTGTCCTCCCGGTACGAGGCATGAAAAAGAAGCTCGCGCGGCCGGTGCCGTCATCGTGGGAGAGCAGGAGGTTTTCGACGCCGTGAAGGATGGTCGTATCGAGTTCGATCGCTGCATTGCCCATCCCGATAGTTTGCCGGCGTTGAACAAGGCTGGACTGGGTAGGATTCTGGGTCCTCGGGGTTTGATGCCTAGCGCAAAGACCGGCACGGTGGTCGAAGATGTGGCCTCTCGGGTTGAGATGCTGCGCGGCGGTACTGTCTACCGCGAGCGTGATGCCGTCATTCGATTCCCCATCGGACAGTTGGCCTTCACTCCCGAGCAGCTGCGAGACAACCTGCGCACCACGATTGATCAGATCAAGAAGGACGCGGCTGGTCTCAACGACCGTATTAACAAGGAGATCTACGAAGTGGTAGGTGCTACCCCATTCATATTCCCAGAGTCAAGGGAGCTAACTTTCAGCAGGTGCTGAGCTCGACCAATGGCCCTGGCTTTAGTCTGACTGGAGACTTCAAGCCCGACGATTCCTTCGATACTGCATCTTTGAGCGGTCTGTAAAAATAGCGTCAAGTTGTATAAATTATGTTTTATTAGGCAGGACACGGTGTATAATGGTATTCTTTCATATATATTTCTTGTTCTAAAACGGAATCAGAATATTCTCCCAACGCCGACGCTATGTAAAACAACTCTGGTATCTGTCAATATGGCGATTATATTTTCAGATTCTTCAGCGCCGTGACGGCGCTGGTATTCTCTCCCATGAGCTTGTAGAGACGCAACACGACCAGCGTTTTGGTATCTCGTTTCTCTCCGGCATGATTGGCTTGCTCGAGGGCGGTTTTGAGGTCCAGGAGCACGGCCGACTTGATTTTGGACAGGCGGGGTTGTTGCGTGAGTAGGAATGGATGCTCGTCTCCGATCCGGGATGAGAGCCTCGTCAGATAGACAAATTTCTGGATATGATGTTCGAGTCGCTTGAGAGAGACCAGCGGGGTGGTCGATGCACCGTTGGATAGCTCCTCGTCGTCATCGGTCTCGTCGCTTTCACTTTCCAGCATATCGGAGTCCTCGTCTTCTGCGGAAGTGCCTCCGATCATCAGCCTCCTTTCCAGCTCTTCGACTCGATCGGCGAAATCCAGCAATGCCCGGGCAACGTTGGTGCTTCCTTTCAGTCGTTTCTTCTCGGCGATCAATTGAGCGACTTCTTGATGCCTGGCCTCTACTTTATCCCGAATCGCCTGCACGTCTCTTTGGAATGCCAACAGACCAACCCGGACCTGTTCGACCTTCTCTTCCCCTCCATGCAAAGCAGTGCCCAATGATAGGAAATCTTGGTAATTCTCGTTGACCAAATCCAACAGCTCTCTGCTCAGCGATTGATCCAACTCCCGCAATTCCTGTCGCAGGTCTTCTAGGCTCTGGTGTCGATTGGTCAAGGAGGATAGGTATTGCGCCGGGTCAAAATCGGGAGCGAGAAAAGAAGCGCGAGACAAGGGTTCAGGGAAAGGAAGACCGGCCGTATCGTCGTCGAGATCGGAGGCCGACTCGTCGGAGTCGCCAAACTGCGGGCATCACGGATGATCAGTTTCCAGAGGCCAATCAACGAGAGGGAGGGGCAGAAGAGGAGGGGGGGGAAGAAGCTGCATACGCGAAACTTGTTCATGCTGTCGAAGGAGGGGAAGTCGACGAATTGGCGAAAGCGAACGGGGGAGGGCTGGATGTAGAGAGGATGAGAGAGAGAGAGTAGTTCGAAGTAGACGGAGGAAAGCAACAAGTGACCTTCTTCCCTTCCCGCGGGCCGCCAAACAACATGAACACCACCACCCTCCACCACCAGCACCAGCGAACGCTAGCCAGCTGGCCCCGACGGGGTTCATGTCTCTTTCCTGCGTCACTCGGTGAGATTTGTCTCGAATCATCTCGCATCATCTACAAAAATGGACGTCCGGTCGGAATTTCTGTCGGGTCATTCCTTTCGCTCGTCCTCTGCCTCTGCCTCTGCTTCTACCTCTGTCTTTACCCGACCGGTTGACCATCGCCATCAGTCCAATCTTGGCCGGTATGAGTCCATGCTGGATGAGTCTGCTCGCGCGTATCGTACCACAGCTTTGCGACAACTAAACGGGACCCCCAGGCCGCTGTCTTGGAAGAACCGACAGGCCAATCATTCTGGCAGCCGATCCTCCGCGCTGGCGACGCAACCCGTACTGGTGAGGGCCTATTCCGGCGGTCCTGCAGAGGATCCGTCGCCGCCATCCCGGATGTCTTTTCGGCGATCGTTCCCCTTCACCGGGGGCTCTCGAGCCCAGAACCGGGGTCCACAGATCCCCTCCGACGAGGAGTTCAGCATCGATAGCATTCTTCGCGCCATCGAACCGAACATCCGCGGCACGTTGGACTCCATCGGAGAGATCTGCGGACGCAGCAAGCTCAGCTTGGCCAACGAATACGGCAGCCATATCGCACCACTCGGGGAAATTCGCGCCCCTCCCGGCGGTTTGGTGACCGTTGAGGAGGCAAGCACGGACAACGAAAGACAAGCTAACGATAATGTGGTCATCTACGATGACGAGAACAGCGTTGTCGATGGTCGTGACCACATCTCGTTCTCTCATTACGGATACTTTCAACATGGCAGGCAGCCTGGGACAATGTCGTCCCATGGGGGATTTCACTCGATGCATCCTATCTCCGAGGCAGACGTATCATCGACGCAGGCGCAGCCTCACACTCCGCGGTCCGCCGGGTTCAACACAGGATCAGATCCCGATGGTGCTTTGGGCTCGGTCTCTCCAAGTAGAGAATCCGCGTCAAAGCCAAGATCGTATGGTCGGGCGCTGCTGGGAAAGAAGGCCGTGTCCGGCACAGACCAGACGCAGGGTATCTTGACGCCGGCTATTGTATCGGAGATCTTGCTTGATGCGCAAGCAGATGGTCACTTGATAGAGTCAACACCGTCATCGAGACCTCGAACCGGTCGTCTTTCCCCAAAAGGACGCGCTCGCTCTCGGGTTAATGCTGTTGAAATCCGGGAAGGCTCCCCCGGGGAACCGCCCAAGACGTCTGCCTTAGACGACGTGCAGGCTCTTTTCAGCTGGCTTGCCCAATTTGCCAGACAAGGAGCAGATCCCGAAGGGTCGAAGCAGACAGCCGAGATGCGATTGCGGACGATGCTTGAGCGACAGAACGACCTAGTATCACCGGATTCAAGTTAACTCGACCCATGAGCTTTTGATGAAATGATTCTTATGATGATGATGCCTTTATGATAATGGCCTTTGATTCTTATGTTCTGTTGATTTTTATGTATTATGGCAACTCTCATGACTTATGTTTATGCTAACCTAGCTTGAGTATACCTAGTTTCAAATGAGATCAAGATCTTTCACATAGAATTGTAGAATGAGTTTCACCCACTCTGCCCCTCTATGTCTGATAGTAACGTTTTCGCAAACTCCTCGAACCGAGAATACGACCAGCAATCCCGATACCTGTCCACCAACGGCCTCTCATCCACGGGCTCTGGTTCCTGTGGCTCCGAAACCACCCCATTCTGACACTCGCCCTCCTCATCCTCGTCCTCGTCATCACTCCCCCCTGTCACCTTCCCCTCAACCAACTCCCCAAACTTCACATCAACCGGCACAATCCCCAAGAACTTGACCCCCATCTCCTGCGCCATGACCTGTCCACCACCACTAGAAAACAGATTCGTCACCTCCCCGCAGCACGGACACGTATAGCCCGACATATTCTCGATAACACCCAAGGCAGGAATCCGCGTCTTCACGCAGAAATTGAGCTCTTTGCGCACATCCGACGTCGCGATGGCCTGGGGCGTCGTGACAAGCACGGCGCCCGTCAACCGGGGCACGTTCGAAGACACCGCGGCCTGCGCGTCCGTCGTCGAGAGCGTCAGCAGTTGCTCCGCCAGCGCGATATGCTCGTCACTCGTTCCCGGCGGCGTATCGATTAACAGATAATCCGTCTCGCCCCAGTACACGTCCGAAAGGAACTGGCGTATCATGGCGGTCTTCTTGGGTCCGCGCCAGATGACAGCGTCGCCGCGATCGCGTAGCAGGAACCCTAGCGACATGCATCGCAGCGAGCCCTTGGCGGGTGTAGTTGATGTTCCGTCTATGGAGGGGTTCTCGGTGGTGGCGGGGTGGACGGTCACGGGGAGCCAGCCGCCCGGGGCTTGTGTGATCTTTGCATCTTCGAGCCCGACTAAGCGGGGGATTGAGGGACCTGTTAGGTCAATGTCGAGGATTCCGACGGATTTGCCCTGCAGGGAGAGGGCGAGGGCGAGCTGTAAGGTGACGGAGGATTTGCCGACGCCACCTTTGCCGGAGAGGACCTGGAGGGCGAGAGATGGTTAGTTTCCTGGTTATTGTTTCTCTTGTCACCTGCAGTAGTAGACAGTGGGTGAGAGAAGACGCATGAAATGCAGGACAACTCGTTTGGCTGTACAGCGCAAATCATGTCCATCCAGGCGAAGGCAAGCATCGTTATCGATAAGCGCCAGATGAGGGGCAATTCCTCGGATTTTCTTGCTGCTCTCATGTCGCGTGAAGAACAAAAGACCCAGGAACACTCACCAGCACGATATTCTTAACATCGTCTAAAGGCATGTCTTATGTGGCTATGAATGGCGTTCTGAGGGGAGAGGGAGAGGAGAAGAAAATCGAGAGCGGCCGATGTCGCTTTTCTGCGTCATTCCGCCGCTTATCAATCAGCCTCTTCTTTCTACGCAACAACAGACACAGAAACCCTTGGAATGGTTTTGAATTCATGATTACCCGCAAGATAAAGTGACAATGCTCATGGGTGTCGTCTCTTGCAGCAAGCTATCTAAACGTCATCAATTTTGGTCTTTCCGCCGTCACCCCAGTCTTCAAGTCTTTTCGTAGCATCCTTCTATCTCGTTAAAAGCTCTCCCATCGCACTCTCTGTGAGCTTATTGCCACTTCTGGACCACCACACCTCCGCGTTTGAACTCTGCAAGATCACCAAGGGCAACGTCCTTCTCAGTGAGCTCCTTGCTGGGGAACGTAGTCATCAACACCCAGGGACGTGCCTGATTGGCAGGGTTGGCCGCAGAAACGAACTGGTAGACATCGCCAATAGTGTGTGTAGTGTTGAAGCGGGATACGAGCCGTGTGCCGTCTCCAAGTCGGATCTGCAGAGTGATCGTTGGCTGCGATTCGTCGACATTTGGTTTCTCGGGTTCGGACTCGGTTTGACTGGGAGCGGCAGGGGCCGCGGCAGGCGAAGGCGTGCTCACGCCGGGAGTCGGACTTCCCAGCCGTTGTCCTTGTCCGGAGAAAGGCTTGTACTTGGGTTTCGGCTTCACGTATTTCTCCTCGTGCTGCTTGATCTCCACGTCGACCTCCTGACCGGGTTGGACATTCATGATGGAAAGCGGAGCGCGACCTTGTCGAATTCCCTCAAGGATCTCGCCATTGCGGGGGTCGTCGGAATGGTAGAGATCGCCATCATTCACGGAAAAGCCGTCGGCCCAGAAGTGGAGAGTGCGCTGAACTCGCTGCGGTTGTTGCTGAACGGGTGCACTTGGAGCATCAATTACGCGACTAGGAGCGTCATCGCCGCCAAGAGTACGAGCGGTGCCTGTGAAGTGAGATTGTCTGGGCGTAGGATCATCCGAAGCGGGAAGCTGGGTCCTACAGGGAGTTAGAAGATGAAGTCTACTCCACAAAACAAAACAAAAAGGATTCATACCGTTTGGCTTTCTCAATGATCTTCTTCTTCACGTCATCCGGGTTCTGCACGGCCAATCCCGACTTCTCACCCCCGGCGAAAAAGTCTTGGTTCGGGTTATCATCCTCCTCGGACGAGTCCGCATCCCCGCTCCCGACACCTCCACTTCCAGATGCGTAGTCGCCTAGTGTCGCAAATCTCTTCTTGGGCGCTGGGTTACGAGATGAGGATGACTGGGGGTTAAGGGACGGAGAATCGGAGGAGCCACCGCCCAATGATCGACCTCCGGACGGCGCAGGCTCGTTTCCAGTCGATCGAGCGGGGTCTTGTAGGGCTTCGTCTTGTTCGGCAAAAAAATCAGTCACTGCTGCCTCGAGGTCCCAACCATTGCCCATGAGATACTCAAGCGACTTTGAATTCAGGTGGGGTTAGCGAAAGTCATATATACACCCGAGGGTACTGTAAGGCTTACCTCGTCGGGCTGCGTCCTGGTCATGGCGCAGAACTGCGAGATGATCTCATCTCTGTCGATGTTCATGTTGGCGGTGTGAATAATACCGATCGAGAGAGAGGTGGAAGGCGGAGAAGCAGGCGAAGGCGAAGAGGAGGAAATGTTTAGATAAAGACAGAAGCTCCGCTCAGCTCGAGGAAAGAAGCACCGGACCGGTACGTCACTGTTGCCTGATTGGTCATCCGGAAGAGGGGATCTTCCGCTGGGTGCCCTAGAGACCTGGCATCAACATGGCTGGAGGAGGGCTTATCCCGGCTTTGTATCCTGCCGTCACTGAGGAATCCAGGATGCTTGCGCTTCCCCAGGCTGTACCGACTCTTCCCTCGTAATTGCTCGTGTCAACCGACCTCCCCCTCCTCGTTGGAGGCTCCTGTTGCTGCTGGCCGACACTCGGCGCATCGCTGCTTACATAATCGCCTGGACAGGTCAGGCGGAGATCGACTTCATGGACTCTCCGTAGGCATTGATTTGACCTGCTGCTCTCCGTCCAGAACTCCCGTCTGCTGTCCTGAATTTCATTCTATTCAGCGGGAACTCAGTCTAGCTTCAGCACAACTCTTGAATCTTCTCCCGAAACCAACCGATCCTCGTTTTGTACCGCCTCCGTTGTTGACACTCCTCTCTCCCCTCCCCCCGCGCCATGGCGACAGACGACCACTCGCGCATCGAGCTCTATGAATCGGGGTTGACGGTCCCTTCGGATTCCGAGAACTACTCAGCCAACAATGAGCTATCTTCGTCGACCTCAAGCTCGCCCCTGATTCTCTACAAGCCCCCGACGTTCTGGAGCCTCCTGCGAGGTGCAGCGATCAACCTGGTCCTGCCCTTTGTGAACGGATTGATGTTGGGATTTGGTGAACTTTTTGCACACGAGGCAGCCTTCAGACTAGGCTGGTCCAATACCAAGGTACGGTTTATCCGCTCCCGTCGCTGAATCGTGCTCACAACCATCCCTTTTCTAGATTTTCCCTACCTACCGACGATCGAGACCGTTGGGTCCTGGCGTGGAGGCTCGAGTGCTGTGAAACAGCACCGTCCTGGAATAGATTCAATTGCCCAACCAGCGTGATAGATTTGCGAAGCCCCGGGTCGTCCCATCACTCCAGATGCGGAGTGGAACCGTCCCGTCAAAACTCGTTTCCTTGCCAGATCCATCTGTCCATTGACTCTGTTGTCGTTTCTCTTGTTTTACCTTTTGATCATCAGCATGGGATGCGTATCTGTGGGGAATACCTAGTGTACATAGATCCTCAGACACTAGTTGGTCTGATTGATGTAACGGCGTTTGGCGAACCATCTCGAACTTGACCGTGCCACTACCGCCCCAACAGGGGCAACCGGATTGTCTTTTATATCCGTATCATAAGTCTCTGAAGATGGACTGCTGCAGGTTGTAGTCGTAGCATCGTCGTTCTCTCTAACTAACTACTCCGTACAGACTATACACTGAGTCATGTGATGACTATCCGACCGCCCGGCAGAAAAAAAGAGCGTCTTTCGGAGTTCCGAAGTCTTCGTCTCCTTCCAGCTGTGCAACTCTCACTCTCTCCACGAATCTTGACAATGCTGGGAGGGTCTGGACTTCAAGGGCGTGGCGTGGTGCCCGCCATTGCGCGGCAGCGATTGACTACTTTCTCGCGCTCCAGTCGTTCGGTTTGTCCCCTGGAAACCCTTTCTGCTGCTCCGTCTACACCGTGCACAGCCAGCGAACTGACTCCGCTAGATGTCTTCATTCCGCCCCCAGACTTCGGGCTTTCCTGCTCGGTATGGGAGACTGAACCAGTCTCTAGCAGGACAGCGCTCCTGGCGACCTGCTTCCGCTATGTCCACGATCTCCAGCGCGCGGTTCAACTCGTCCTCGTCCGCCTCCAACACAGACGCCCCGGTAAATGCGTCGGACCTCTCCGATCTTTCCGTCGACCAAATCAATTCGATTCCCGAGAAAATTGGATATCTGAAAGACATCGGTCTCGACTACGGCTGGGGTCCGTCGAGTCTGATGGAGTACGTCATTGAGCACTTCCACGTCTGGAGCGGTCTCCCGTGGTGGGCCAGTATCATCGGCACCGGTCTCCTGGTCAGGCTGGCGCTGCTTAAGCCGATGCTTGGAGCCGCGGATACTTCGACGCGATTGAACAATATCAAGCCGGTTCTGAACCCGATCCGAACCCAGATGACCCAGGCCATGAGAGATGGGAACACCGCACGCGCGCAGGAGCTCAAGATGGAAATGAGCAGGATTCAGGAACTGCATGGTGTCAAGGCCTACAAGTCTTTTATTCCGTTGTTACAGGTCCCGCTTGGATTCGGAATGTACCGTGTCGTTAAGGGAATGACCTCCTTGCCGGTACCCGAATTGCTTAACGAATCCGTTGGTTGGATCCAGGATCTGACCGTTGCCGATCCGCTTTACATTCTCCCGGCATGTTCGGGTCTTTTCTTGTATATGGCACTGAAGGTATGATCATGTGAGCCTGGACCGGACGCTCAAATACTAATGTGCATTATTACAGAGAGGAGGAGAATCCGGTACCAACCAATTCATGGACTCGGCCGTCGGAAAGGCCGTTCTCCACGGTCTGCCTGCTATTTCTTTCGCCTTCCTGGCTTTCTTCCCTAGTGCGCTCCAGCTCTACTTCGCCGCAACCGGTCTGTTTGGTTTGGGCCAGGCCTACCTACTAAGCTCTCCGGCTTTCCGAAAGGCTGCCGGGGTCGCCCAGGCCCAGCCGGTCATGACCCCCGAGGAAGCCGCATCGCAGCAACGGAAGGCCATTCGGCTACTCGCTGATCAACTCGAAGCCAGTACCAAGGCTGCCAAACAAGCAACGCCTGATGTGGAGCCTAGCGTCATCGATCGTGTCATCGGGTCGCCCACGTCGTACTGGAAGAACTTCCGCAAGGATATCGAAGACAAGATGAGTGACATCAGCGGTAAAGGGCCGTCGACGAATGCCGACGGGTCCCCTGCGGAAGCTCCGCGACTCAGCGAGAAGGACCGTCAACTGGCGGCCGACTACGAAAAGCGACGTCAGGAGGAAGAGGCATGGAAGCGGGACGAGCGAAACCACGCCCGCCGGGAGGCCCATATGAGGGCCCTGGAGGCTCAGAAGGAGAGGGCCCGCGCGTCATTCAAGAACGCATCCACCAAGCAGCGGTGAGCTTGACAGTTTTATACCAGCAAGTTTGGAGTTGTATTTCATTGTACAATATTGAGCAACCTCTTGTACGGCTTTGTATTTCTTTTTCTTCCTTTCAATTTTATGCCTGTTTAACTACGATTGATTGTTTTCATATCCCGGACATTATTAGAATGATACATCTCCCAATAGAGCATCTCCTCTGAAACCCATCTCTCCTTCAAACCAACATCTTGAAACAACTTCTCCCTGAGCCAACTTCTACCGCTCAGCCCTCGTCGCTTATCAGTATCTCAGTGCAGACCGTGCGAACAGCAAATCCTGCGAATTGAGGATCTAGGACAGATAAAGACGAGACCTTCCTCACGGTGCAGGTTCTACTTTGGGAGCGTTGAGGAAAACCTAGCGACGTCGTTAGCAGGACAGATCCCTTAGCAACGTTCTTCGCGAAAAAGAAAAGAACCTACCCGAATCACTCGTCTGATCTGCCGATAATACTTTTTGAATGGATGATCCGCCTCCACCTGTTGCTTTCGATCAGCCAAACGATCCCATTACACGACCAACCATACATAGTCCATCCATCAACCTACCCGCATCGCTTGGGTTTGAAACCGACTACATCGTTGAAACTCGCGATCCCTATTGGAAAAGGCCGTCGACTCTCGCAAATAATCCTCCCAGATTCTGGTGCCGGGGTCATTGTGAAATCTAGATGCCATGCCGGCACAAGTCGCATTCCGACGGAGGGTGAATTGATATCCAAATTGCTAGATGATATTAGCCACTTCTCTCTGCATATCGATGTAACGACAGAGTCCATCATCTGCCATATACCATATGGTAGGATGGCTTGGCAGCTAGATAACTAGCTAAGTATCCAACTCACTCGTTCAAAATCATAAAACTGCAGCATAGTCTTAGGGAAGTTGTCCATCAGAAACACTCGCCTTCCGTCCTTTAGCTTGTCGTGGATCTCCATCTTCAGCAGTAGAAGCGTCATGATCTCTGACATTTGGCCCTTTCGGTCTTTGGCTGTTCGCAGGCCGTCGAATGCCGAGGCGGTACCGAAACGACTGAGGTCGCGGATCATCTCGTCTGGTTGGAGGTGCACCATGTCGAGATCGCGGGCGAGATGCTGCGCAAGGGTGGTTTTTCCGACGGAGGGACCTCCTGGGTTTGTTAGTTCGTCCGTCATTGGTGAGGCAGGTCAAGTTCTGGGGTTTGGAATGTGTGTTCTGTGGCTGTAGTGCACTGTACCTTGGAGAAAGATGACTCTGGCCTCGGAGAGGTTCACAGCTGGGACTGTGGCAGGTAGACTGGATTCATGTCTGTTTGTCTGGTTCGAGGCCTGATTTCCATGAGTCTGGTCTCTGGATAGATCTCTCTGTCCAGGCCGTTCCATCTTGAGGCCCAGACTGCCGATGGAGGGTGTTTGGTCTGTGATCTGTGAACAAAGGGATCAATTCCTGCCGTGAACACAATCACAGTCAATCACCGAGTCGAATGGAGTGGATCTGCAAAGACACCATATAAGAAGGGGTGTATCTCTTTTCTTCACCAGCCGTGTGAATGTAAAATGCTACACCCCCCTCGTTTCATGACGCTGAGTCGTCGCTGAGTCGCCCACTTGACGAGAAGGATGAGTCTCTTAACAGTAGGAGTGTTGTTTCTTTTTTCCTCTTTCTTTCTTCTTCCTGCTTTACCCTCCCTATCCATCTCATCCTTCTCGTCCGTCATCTCATCTCCCTTCATTCTCGGTGTCGTGACCTACATCAATATCAAAGTCTACACTCCATCTACATCTCTCGAAACAACACTCTCCTTGACAGGAAAGCTTCCTCTCTAGAAAAGAAGCTCTCTAGCTCGTAAGGTATGTCAGACAGTCATCCTTCCAAGTCCATACAAAACACAAACCCCAGGCAACCAACCCACCTACCAATCTAACGCTACCAACCAACCCCCCAATCCTCAGTCCCAGACCCAAAAGATGTTCCTCCAAGCCCTCCTCATAATCCTAGGCGCGGAACTCATCCGTAAAGGCCTGATCCGATTCGATCTCCGGCGCCGTAGAGCCCGACGTCTTGCGCGTGCCGCAAACATCACCATCCATCCTCTCGATCATATCGAGATCGAGGCCGAGGTCCTCGTCGACCAGTGGCAACGTCAGGATGGACATGAATGACGTGGACGAGTTCTGCTTGAATGTGGTTATGTTTGGCCTGGTGAGTTTCTCCCTTTTCCTTAAATGGGTGTTAGATGGGTGGGTGGGTGCCTATATACATACATCTACCTACACACTCACCAACATACGTCCATGACTATATCCACATGCCCAACCAAGCCCTACCCAATCCCAATCCCGATCCCAATCCCCTCTTTCCTCTCCCCTTAGCATCCCAAAGCCCCAAACCAACCAACGAACTAACCATGTGCATATAATACAGATCGCCTACATTTTCGGCATCTTCGGCATTGTACTGTACAACTACATCATGACTCTGCACCACCATCCGTTTCGCGAGGAGTAGCTACGCTACGATGGAGTAGTTGGATGGAGTTGAAAGGAGTAAGTACCCGAATCCAACCAGACCGATCAGAACTAACTAAATCTAACCTCACTGCCTACCTAGATCAGACCAGACCAGAATAGACCAGAGCAGTTTACTCGTTTCTACTTCTTTCGCCTCATGGTACTGACATCGGATGGATGGATGGATGGATGTGAATGCACCTTTTCTTTATGCTATCTCATGCTATCTCGTTCTATCTATCTACTTTCCACTCTGCTTCCTTTGAGGTCTGTCTAGCTCTGTCGGTCTGTCGGTCTGGCTCTGGCTCTGTTCTATCCTGTTCTATCTGATCCAGTCCATCTCACATGGAAAACAAGCCCTTCCCCCAAACACACAAAGAAAAAAAAAAAAAAAAAAATGGAACGGAAGCGAAAGGAATGTACCTAGGATCAAAGAGTCCATTGATGGTGATGCAGGATGGGTAGGGCAATGAATGGGGGTGTATGGGAATGGGAATGGGAAAGGCCAGTCTGAGCCTGGTAATGATGATAACTACAGACGTAGTGAATCAAATCGGACTTGTTCTTCGGGATTTTGAAATCTGAAACCTGAATAATCAAGACGGGATATGTACTCACTCACTCTTTACTCCTCCGTAACTTGTAGCTTCTAGCCTCTAGCTTTGGTTGATAATGGAATGAATGGACATTATCATGGCATCCATTTATTAGATTGACTATTTCTCTGGAAGTGTGTAGATCTTAAGTCTTAACTTGCTCTCTCTCTCTTCTTAGGCTAGGGAATATTTAGGGCTAACATCATGAACACTCTGTTGCAAGTGTAGGTATATTATGATGGCTGTTTGTTGATCAGATAGGCTATTCATGCTTAAGTGATACCTAGCCAAGCAGTTTGTCTATAAAACTTTACCTTGCAATCAAGATTCAGACCTATAAAATGCTAGTCGAATGGTATGTTGGTAGCCAAGGAACATAAAGATACTCGAAGTGATATACTTCGAGCTGAAACATAGACTACTTCCTACTACATCCTGATGACCTTCATCCTATAGTCAAGTAATCTTCAGTTAATGTTTTCTTTATAAGACCAAAACTAGCATACAGAGACCAAACTCCCAAAACTGAAACAAAAACCAAACAAATAAAGAAAAATGAATTATCCCTTGCTAATAAGTACATGAAGAGTATAAAAATAAATCTTATGAAGACATCGGTATAAATGTATATAATCGGTGTAAATGCGATGCGGATGCGATTGTCGATATGCATAGAGTTATGGATATGTGTGGTTTTCAATTCGATATGAACATATCAGAACAATGGACCGGCCATTCATTCGTCATCGTCCCCTGGGGAGGGAACCCCTTCGTGATTCACCTTCGGCATCCTCGTCGGATCGTTGGTGTTTTGGTGGTTTTTCGTTTTTAGGCTGTGGGCATCGGGATCGAGGTCAACGGAAGGGCCGCGGGCGGCTTCTCATCCTCCTCGAACATCTTCTTCTCCAGTTTCGCCGTGATCTTGGCGCAGGCCGGATCAACGTAGGTGGTCCACAACGAGGCGCAGAAGTACACCAGACAAATCCACGCCGGGATACTGATGGCCACAACCCAAGGGGGACGGAGAGGGATCCAGGGAGGCTGGATGATCTCCCCGTCCTGGTCGTAGATGGGCTTTCCGTTGTCATCCACGATATCCTCCCACGGCTGACCCGAGATACCGTACAGCATCCAGCAAAGGACTGTACGGAGAAGGGTGCCGTGAACCAGGTAGACGGCGAAACTCTGCTTACCGAACCAAAGCAGGACTCGATTGGCAAGGTGCTCCTTAGTCGACGGGGAGAGGAAGATGGACATAATGATCAAGTCGATACCGATGGCGGTGTAGCGCTTGCCGACGTTGACGTCGGGCGGGAAGATGTACTGCGCCGCCTTGTACATGTACTTCGACCAGGTGGCCCATTCGGGGTGGGAACCGGGGTAGGAGCAGACGAGGAGACCAGAGATACCGCAGATGGTGGCGACGATACGGCGAGGCCACTTGTGGCGCTCGAGGAATTCCTTGAACGAGGTTTCGTAGGAGAGATCACTCAGGAACATGCCGTAAATAGCCTGAATCTGGAAGGTTTCTGGTTGTCGGGTTAGCATGACGTTTGACGAGTGCGCTCCATGAGGGCCAACTTACCAGTGTCTTTGGTGGCATCCTGGTGGAAGTAAAGAATCATGGCGATGTAGATTCCGATGCGGTACCGGAACTTGACATACATCAGGGCGCAGAGCATGATGTAGACCAGCATGGAGGCCTGCAACAGAGGAAGCATCGCCCACTGGTGGTCGTCGTAGGCCTGGAAACCGGTGGTCCAGGTACTGAGGAAGTTCTCGAACAGGCGCACGACCTCCTTCCAGAAAGAGTCCTCGAGATCAACGGCGGCGTAGCGACACCACCAGCAGTCCGACCGGTTGGCAGCGGTGAACGCTCCAAATTGAGCCATAACCCACGAGATGACCAATGCGAGGGTGGCGGGTAACATGAGACGCGGAGGACGGCGGAAGGCACTCTTCGCGACGGAGGTGAAGGCACCCATATGGTCGCCATTACGAGCCTGCTTGATGGGCTTCAGAGCACAGACGTATCCGGTCAAGAAAGCAAAGATGGTGACACCGAGACGACCTTGCCAGGGAATACGGAGAATGGGCCATTGAAGAATCCGCGGGGTTGCGTCGGGGTCGTCCCGGGGGGCGAATAAAGCGAAATCCCATCCTCGAGCCAGATGGGTCATAACGACCAGGAAGGAAGCGATACCTCGGAGACCCTGACATGTTCATCGTCAGTTTGAAGTCCTTTGTGTGGTGCGGCCTCCCTATCCCCGCCTTTGGGGAAGGGTCTCGCTGTCTTTCCCCGGGAAAACTTACATCGATCCACTTGACACTCTTTCTAGGGTCGCCTTTGACCGAGGAGTCTCCGCCGGACTTCCATGGCAGATTATCTACAATCTGTTGATACAGATGAGAGGGTTGTAAAGCTTGCATTTTCAAGTGACCGTTCCTCGGCACCCGAGGAGGGAAACAAGGGAGGCAACAAAAAGAAGGGAAGGTCGGCAGTCCGAACGCGATCGCAAATTCAAGAGAATGACAGTGCGAATACCAAGAAAGCCATCCAGGCTCCGACAGAAACCAGGAACCAAAAAAAAGGGAGACCCCAACAAGAGTGACAGGGGCGAATTGAAAAAAGGAAAAAGAAGAACCGTGGAAGGACAGGTAGCAAGAAGGAGAAAGGGAGCGGAAGGGGGGGAAAGGAAGAAAAAAAAAAAGAGGACAGCGAGGGAGAAGAACGGAGCAATCAGAATGGCTAAGTAATAAAAGACACAAAAATAGATCGGGGTAAGGCAGGGCAACAGGATAATACGGATCAACGACAGCGACATGTGCCAAGCATCTAAGCTCCAAAAGCAATTAACGAGAACCCGGGTTCCCCATACGTCGGGCGAGGATAACGGACGACTGAGAAAACGAGAAAGGATTCGTGCCAAGCGATTGCCGCGATGGGGTCGCCTAAGCCCTAGTCCGAGTTGGTTTCAACTAAGGGACTGACCATTGAGACTAAGGGAGGAAGGGGGTGGGAAAGGGACCAAAGGAGGGCAGGGCCGGCAGGGTCAAGAGAAAGTGGTCCCTAATGCAGCAAGGTGAAACTGGATCGATGGACGCGTACTCCGCCAGGGTAGACTGAGGATAGTTTGGACGAGAGAGACAGAGAAAAAAAAATCCCAAAGAACCGACAGGACTCTCGACGGTGTAAAGCAACTGATAGTCGACAGCATCAAGTAGAGTGAGGACTCGTAACTCCTGGGGGGTAACTCCTCATGTCCCATTCCAGAGGCGATTGCGCCATGGGGACCAAATCAGGATGGCTCAATACGAGGGGGGCAAGGCCGGGCCGGAAAAGCAGGAGTGGCGGCCAAAACCCGTGGACTGAAAAGGATCATCAGCCTTATTAGCCCTATTGGCATGCAGGGCTGGAGAAGCAGTAATGGCATCAACCGATTCCACAATAACACCAGCCAGCGCCAAGAGCTCTTGGCAAACGCCGGTGGGTTTTTTGGCCCGTCGGGTCGGTGAGACAGATGGAGTTCAGGGGAGAAGAGGGATTGTCATGATTGGTACCCAGAGAGGAAATGTTCAAGGATGATATATCTGATGGGCGGAAAAGCCCAGATGGAAGGATTCCGAGGAAGGATGAGAAAGGATGAAGAAGAAGATGAAGAAGAAGGAGAGAAGGGAAAGAGAAGAAGAAGAAGCTGAGAAGGGAGAGAGACAAACATACGGTATGGTCAAGCGGTCGTAATAATACCGATCAGTCCCTGGTCCCACGGGGTTCCTCACTGTTTCTTCGCCGGTTCATCCGCGGAGGGCTCCGTATACAAGAACTATAGGTGTCCGTATGAACTGTCATAGTAGTATACAAATTAGCTAGATGATCGTAATCTACACTCTGTCACAGAGTGATAATATCTATACTATCTAATGTCCTCCGAACAAGATATCAATCAAGTACGGAGTACTCCGTTCTCTGCATTCCAGATTGATCGAGGCCAATAGTCCGTCCTCAGTACTATAAGGAGTACACTATGCAGGAGATTGATAGAAGATTAATTAATCTAAGTGACACAGACTCGACCTCCCCGTCTCGTTCTCGTATCCACTGTCTCACATCCGACTGGTCCCCTCTGACACGCTTGTCAGTGTATCAGAAGTTCAGGCGACTCGCTTGTTCTTCGCCTCTTCGCCGTGAG